GGTATCGTGATAATTACTTCCTATAGTTAGTAGTATAATTATTCGAAGTATATAAATAAATACTATAGACTCTCCCATATTGAAAATATTGTATGCTATATAAATTTCTATACAAAACTATATTACTAAATATCGCTGTGATTTTTTTATGTACATGTAACACCATGGAATTTACTATGTAAATGCTATTTTACGTCTAAAATACCAGCTAAGGATTGAAATATGGGTGCCCCCATAAGGTTGGGTGCCCCCGTAAGACGACCCGGATGCCCCCAGATGAAATGCCAATATCAATATCCTTGCTTTGCAAGCTTCATGATCCTTCCGAAGCACGTTTTTCGCCTGTCCTTGCACGTGGTTCTCATTCTCTCATCCTTGAACTTGACCTTACTCACACTCTCGAAAGCAAAGTGAATTTGCTTCTTCGATGGCCGAGCTCCGTGAGGTGAGCTCATCAGAAGGAATTGTTCAACGGATCTCGATCGAGACCGGAGAGGGCCAGGCCTCAGGACCCTCAAGAGAAGCAAAGCCATTGTTAGCACATACTTTCCATCACCAACGTTGTTTCGACGAGGTCTCGACTTCGCCGCAATATCAGAACGAGCTATCGACAATGAGATATGACGACACTTGAAAAGGAAGGTGGTTGCGGTGACGACGACGGCCGAGGCAGCGAATTAGAGGAAGAAGCATGTGTAGAACTGGCCCGGGCAGGGGAGGATGATGATACGCCATGGATTCGTGATCGAACACAGGCATTGTCGCCGGCGATGGGTCCAGACAATGGCCTGAGTCTCGTCGTCTTGTCTTCTTCTGGGGTGTGTATGGGAACATTGATGGCATGGAGCAGTACAGAGGAGTGGTTGGTGGTCGCCTGGGGGCATTGTGACATATGAGTGATCGGAAACTTCCTATGTTCCTGGTCGTATGCTATAGAGAGACCCTTGACGCAATGCGATTGGGTTTTTGGGGGGAAAGGAAAAAGAAAAGTGACAGTTAACGTCGGTGTTCGCTTAAACCCAGAGGTAAGTTCGAATCATGAATGTTGACTGCCGTAACGTGTGCCATCAATGACGGCAATCGCAAGAGCACGGCGTCTTGTGCAAGCCACAATGGTCGCGCGGAGAGTTTTGATCGTTGCGAATGCCGAGGAAGGTGTAAAGGTGTGCGCCTGTGCCTGCAGAGAAGGTGCCTGCCGTCTCTCCTTTCTGTTCTGTCAGTGTCCGTACAGTGCACATCAAGATGCACTAACAATTTAACATCTTGGCTCTTGATTCCATCTGCTCATCGGCCCGCTCCATGGTGGGAAATCTCCCGTTTCAATGACAGAAAATCTTTCTCTTCTTCTTCATCCTAGCAAATGCACCCGTCGTTTTCCGTCGTAGCAATATTGCTCAATGTGCAAGGTGAGGAAAGTGTCCCCGACGGGCAAGTCAGAAATCCGGTAGCGAATCATACAGGGCGGTAATGTACCGCCCTTACATTACGGTCTTCGTAACGAACTGTAACGCTCGGTACCAAACCTTTTTCTCAACCAACCAACCAACCAACCACATCTCATCTTCCCCTGAGTGTCAATAATTGACCAGACGGCATACCCTTCCGCTGCCCGCTGCATGAGATTCCATCGCACTAGGTAGTATGGCGCCCCTGCAATCCCACCCTGGGGAACGACCCTGTTGGGCTAGACGAGCCATCAGAACTTTAACGAGACGCCGAGAGTAGACCAGACAGTTTCCGTTTCCATTTTTCCTTGTTCTTCACCCTTCCTTTGCGTCTCGCCAATGCATCGTCAATGCATGGCAACTTACGATTTTGGCAGGTAGCGAATCTAGCGAATGTAACACAAGGGACATACACGAGGTGGAGAAGGGTAATGTATGAGGTCGGTCCGAGTTCCGGGAACTCTTCTGTTTGATGGACAACTAGAACATGTGAAGACATGCGTTATCGAGCTTCTCTTGGAACCCGATGCGGTCGGTGACGTTGTCGGGGGATTTGAAAAGCAATGAGGAGCCTCGACGACTTGGAGAGAATGCCCTCTTCCTGATGAACTTTGAGAACATTGACGCCACATGCGTGAAAGCATCTGTTCTTTGCATCGCCAGAACAACCTTCTGTGTCGACTGTGTCATTCTCACGGGCCATACTCGTCAGGTCTACAAAGCCGACCGTCTGACTAGTTGGACGAGTAGGGTAGGTATTTCACTATGAACCCCAGAGAGAAATTCCCTACCCGTGCCTCGCCCCCACTTTTTTGGGACTCGCTAGACTCGCACCCCTTAAAGTGGGTGCTCACGACCAGTAAGGCTAACCCAGCACAAGGGCCAGACCCAACTTGAACCTTAATTAAACTTAACGATTTCGAGCTTCTTGCAATCCTCTCTCTTTCTATATTACTACTACGTTGTATTGTATTAAAATAATCGTTAGATTAATATGGAAGTACGTCTATAATGAGCGCTCGAGTTTCACGAGAAAAATCCTAACGTTCCGGTAATAACCCTATTTAAAATATTCGAGGTAACCCGTAAGCGCCTCCGTAATTGTATTAAGGGGACCCTTCCTAAGAAAGGCCTCCTAGTATATAATATTAAGCTGACGGCAATTGAAGAGAAGGTTCTATATAATTATATCGACCGTTTTGATAGAATTAACCTTATAGTACGTCCCTAATATATTTAAGATGTTGTAAATTATTTATTTCAAAGTAAACTTTCGAAGGAAGAGTTTGAGGAGGTTGCGGCCGATAATGACCTACCCCGTGTTGGTTATAATTAGGTATTATAGTTTATTAAGCGCTATAAATATTCTAAAGTTAAATAGAAGAAAATAGATAATGCTAGGAAAGATAATGAGGATGTAAAGAAGGTAAGCCTAGTTTAGTCCGGTATATAAATATTGTCTATAAGTAAATATATTAATAACCGATATAGTATTAATGGATAGGTAACGGTTTACTTCGAAAAGCTCTATAATATCTTTTGGAAAGAAGGCTTCCTTCTATTAAATATATAGAATATAGACGAGACGGGTTTTTATATCGGTATAGGAAAAGATTAATTCGTAGTTATTAAGCGAAAGCGTATATATTATTTCGCTATCCCCGAAAATTGTAAATTAGTTACGTATATTGAAGCCGTCTCTATAGTTAGTTAATACTACCTAACCTTTATAATTCTTACCGGTTAGCTTTATATAGTTAATTGATATCAAGTTAATGAATTGGACCCTTGTATAGTTATTGCTACTATTTTAATAAGGTATTTAAATAATTAGTTGTCTTTTGAATGGTTGAGGTATTGGGACGAGTATTTAAAGAAGTTTTAATAGGGTAAGAAGCGGTTGTTTATATTCGATGGCTATAGATTATATTATATTAGGTAAGAAGGTTGCTATAGGGATAACGGTTATAATTAATAGTAATTTAGGGAGTTTATATAGTATTGTAATGATAATAGTATTGTAGTATTTAGTTTACTTCCTTATTTTACTTATTTATTACAACCTTTTAATATAGTGGTCTTTTAATTATTGAAGTACTATTACTCTAAAGTATTGGATATATTAGTTTGTAACGGTTGTATTGAAATAACTAAGTTTGATTTCTTGAGTATAATCGAGGGTATAAGAAAGAAGGTATTTAAAGTATTAATAATCCAATTAGTGTTTAAGAAGATTGGGATTTCCCCTTTTAAACCTTAAGTAAATTTCTGGCCATTTAATACCCTTTTAGACGCTTAATAATTTTCGTTAAGTAAATAAATTAGTTGCTAAACTATATAATATTGTAAAGAATAAGGATTTATTTCTATTATTTAAAAAGATAGTATTAAGTTTCGTAAAGGGTAGTAAGGTTATTATAGTAGAGTTGGTATAAGTTAAGCGCAATTTGGGAAGAATTTAATATACCGAAATTATATAAAGATGATGTAAAATATATAAGAATCGATTTATATAGGCTGGGGGGATTCTAAAAGTTTCCGACGGCCGTACTATGGTATTTAAACGAGTTGATGATGACTTTAGAGTTGTATATAAGAAGGCCGATAAAGCGAATTAATAGATTTAAAATAAGGCTAAAAAGTGTGGTGCTGAAGCGGTAAAGCTAGCCAGAAAGTGGCGATTCGAAAGAAAGCTCCAGCCATATGAAGTATATGAAAGGGGATTCGAGAAAGTACGGATTTTACGTCGTGGTTGAATATAACCTCATTTCTGTGCCCATCTGGGAAGTGCGTGGCCCTTGTGCTGGGTTGGCCTTACTGGTCGTGAGCACCCACTTTAGGGGGTGCGAGTCTGGCGAGTCCCAAAAAAGTGGGGGCGAGGCACGGGTATCCCTTCATCAGGCCTTTAGCTCAGGCTTTTTAGCGCAGCAGTCAGGTTTTATAGCTTACCAGTCTGTCGGATCCGAATGGCGAATCTCTTACCTCTTTCGTAGGGCAATGCAACGTTCGGTCTATCGAACGATGAGTTGTTCCCCCTGCCACAGTAAAAAAAATTGTTGAGACTTGACATGACATGACACTGACTGACAGTGAAGACCGATGTAGAGAGCGATGGGAGTTTCCATGGGCTTTGTTGAACAATTACAACCCGAGCGATGTTTCTTCTTCTCAAACGAAGAAACACGAAACAATGAATACCTATGACAGGCGGAGCACCATTATGAGGGAATGATTGCAGCTCAGGAGCAAAGATGGATTTTGTTAAAACGGTGTTCATGTTTCTCTATGTCTAGCATCGCATTATAATGTGAACATGTAAAGGAGTGAAGAAAGAAAAAAAAAGTACACAACGCTGCCAAACAGGTTTTGTGAGAGGGTATCTCAAAGGGCAAAGAATCTAGAGAGCTTTTTTGCAAGTAGCTTTTGAAAGGGGCACAGACAAACGAAACCAATCCTCCCTAACATCACTCATCTCCGTAACTCATGATCCGGTCTCCAGTCATACATACTTCGAGACATCATGAATCAGTACCTCCAGTGAATCGTGACCTACCTCTAGGCATGCGCCCTCTCAACATCAGAATACAACTCCTCCTCCTTCTCAATCGGATTATCAATCCGCATATTAAACTCCTTGCCCTCCTCCTTCAAGAAACACGCCAAGATCGCCGCCAGCGCCACGAAGCAGCTCGCAGCGATCCAGACCCTCCTGAACCCCGTCGCAAACGTCTCCTTGAGCGCTTCCACTCCCGCCCCAATAATCTGCGGCGTCACGCCCTCAATCTTCGGGATAAGCTCCTCGTGATGATCGGCCAGGGCACCGATCAAGGGTCCCACACTCTGAGGCGGCAAGCCGAGAGGGAGGACGGCTTTAGCAATGTTATCACCCAAGTGACCCATAGCGCCGTTGAGGAGAGCATTGTAGATAGCCAAACCGACGGACCCGCCGAGCGAGCGGAGACCGATGACCAGGCCCGAGGCAATTGCAATGAGCTCGGGCGGAGTAGAGAGCTGGGCGACGGTGACCAGAACGCAGAGGGACATGCCGAGAGCGGTACCGAGGAGGACGGGGTAGCCCCATACCTCGTTGTTGGTTCCCACGCCGGAAGTGGACATGCAAGCGAAGAAGGCGACGAAGATGCAGAAGGAAGCGACGGTGATCCAGCGCACGCGCTTGTAGTGGGCGCAATACATGCCGGTGGCGACGGCGGAGAAGAGGGAGACGAACATCGCGATGGAGTAGCGGGTGCTGACGAGGAGGGCGTCAGACTCGTAGAGGATGCCGACTTGGAAGGCAAAGTAGTTGTTGGCGCCGAAGAAGGCGAGACCCTCGCAGAAGAGGCAGACCAGCACAATGGGGAAGTTGCGGTTCTTGAACAGGCCGTGGTGGAACATGCCATCCTTCTTGAAGAAGGTCTCGTAGACGGCGAGGGCAATGATGAGAGCCATGCCGACGCCGAAGGTGGCCGAGACGTGGGCATCCGACCATGGGAACGGGTTCTCGGACCAGGAGAGGCCAATGCAGAAGAGGACAATGCCGGAGGTGAGAAGGAAGTAGCCGACCCAGTCGAGCTTGCCGAGCTTCTCGGAGAAGGAGAAGGACCGCTCACGCTCGGTTTGAGGAGGGTTGTAGAAGACGAAGCACAGAACGGTGGCGAGGAGGAAGAGACCGGTGCCGAGGTACCAGTAATTCCGGAAGCCCTCGGAGGGGACGTTGGAAGTACGGGAGAAAGCACCGGAGCAAAGCAGGGCAGTGACACCACCTAAGCCGTTGGCCACGAGGTCGGCAGCCTGACCCCAGGAGCGGTACCGGCGCGGAAGAACCTCCGAGGAAACGGCGTGCAAAAGGGGTTGAGCGCCGTAGCTGATGGAAGTGATGGCAAAGCCGGCAATGGCCATGTTCATCGAGGTGGCCCGGGCCACGATGATGGAGCCAACGGCACCAATGAGGGTAGAAAGAACCAAGAACCAACGACGACCCCAATAGTCAGCCGACTGGGAGAAGATGGGACTCAGCACGGCGGTACCAATGGCAATCGACGACGAAAGCCATACTCCGCCAGCCGTGCTTCCATTTCCGAGTGTGATGGCGATAGTGTTCGTTTGCTGTATGAGACAGGTTGGAGTCAGTGCACTGAAACATACATGACAAGATGTCTCAGGGGAAGTAAACACAAGGGAGAGCGGGGATCGGCACTTACAGCTCCACTCCCGACGACATTGTAAATCTGAACAAAGTAGATAACACAAATGGCAAAGACAGCCAAAAAGGTCTTTGCGTGAAGGTGCGGCCTGGGTTCGCTCCGTGAGGACGCGGTATCGGAAGCAGCAAGCTGTGATGATTGAACCGTGCCCTTCTCCGGGTACTGGCCATGCTCGGAAGCAGTGCTTGGGGGAGATCCCGCCTCCCTTGCCGTATCCGCCATATTTTCCTTCTTTACTCAACTGTTTGTGCTGAATGGGATTAAGGCGAGTGTCAGGAACGGATGGATGAGTGAAGCGGCAGTGAGGATTTTCAGACTCAGAGACAACGGAAGGTGGAAGAAGTGAAGGTGTAAGGTAAAGAAACTTTCTTATCCGAGAAGTTGCATGAGAGACACAGACAGGAAAGGGAGAAGAGAAGTGCGTGACATGAAGTACCAAGACGGAAGAACAGCCGGTAGATACGAACATGCCGAAAGGGGGATGTACATATGTTCATACGGATGGCAAAAACAAACATTTGCGTTTCTGTAACGTCCGCCACTTGGAGAATAATAGAAAGACCAAGAAAACTGAGGCCAGAGTCCAATCTCTCCGGGTATACCCTTAACACCATACATCCAACAACAATCTGCCTGTGTAATTGCTCCCTACCAAGGGACAATGCGGTAACAAAACGCTACATGACACTGTCCAGCCCCTGTGGTAACTTTGTTCTAGGCCTTAGCCGCGAGGCAAGTAACAGTGGGAGGGCAAATGATTCGTCTCTGATGAAGAACGGGGGATATCAGACCCTGCTATGATACCGGGTAGATAATAGTGCGCTTGAAGATAATGATCTTGTCGAGTGTCTAGCCCGTACGAGGCCCTCTGTCACCGATCGTAATGCCAAAGTTACGATAGTTACCGTTACATGACAAATGTGACCATTGCACGCCATACCCAGGCCGCTATTCGCGGACGCTAAAGCCCAGGCCAGTCCACTAAGACGGCATGATATAGTGGGGTAAACAGTCGAAATTGCAAAGGTGCGTGATGTTGGGGAAAACAAGGGAATTGTGACGACGAGGGCGGTCAGCGGAGACGACGGGGCATCCTGTTCATTCGTCTGGAGAGCGGGGGATCAGGAAAAGAACGGCTGGGGAAGTGAAAAGGGTCCAATGCCTCACCCCTTTATTGACCGGGGCCCCAGTGAGTTGTGAGAAGCTTCAAGGGCAAGGGCAGCTGTCAATAGCGGAGAAGGACGAGGGAGAGTCTGGGAGAATGGATCTGGGCTAAGTGGTGAACGCCGTATCTGTCTGTCTATCTTGCCAGGTACCGATCGGAGAAAAAGGCAGAGACGTTTGTTCCCCTTTCCTTCTGATGGGACGTCTATTGGGTTCCTCGGCATTTCGAACAAGAAGGCGAAACTCTTTCCAGTGACCGCTTGCGAAGCTTGGTTCAACAGTATTTCCCATTGTCAAGAGAAAGCAAAAAAGCCTCTTCCTAAAAAAGAAGAACTGGTACGCACCATTGCCACTTGGTTCAACGGTATTTCCCATTGTCAAGAGAAAGCAAAAAAGCGTACGATTTCCCAGGGTTGACGTTCCAGCGCGGCTCATACCGTGTCGAAGCCCATGAGTTGTATGGGAAAGTGAAGCAATTCGCACGCTCCAGTCATGTCGTTTTCCTGACTGGCTCCCCCACTCATCTCAAACTCAACGGCCCCTTCTGTCAGATTCTAGGGTGGTATTCTGGCCAGATGTGGGCTAGATGCCAGAGTCCCAGCCACCGGATTTAACAGGTCTTGGCAAATATGGGATACCCCTAGAACCCTTATACTAGAGCGCTCGAATCAGAATATACAAAATTAATTAATTACTAGTAAATCTGATAATTAATAGTCTAATACGCGCCCTATTAATATAACGATTAATATTACGAATTAATAATAAATAATACGAGAATAATATTCTTACAATGTTCCTTTCAAAATTTATTAAAACGAAAGAAAACGTCGCATACTTTAAAGACGGCGACGATTGGTCGCGATAGGAATTTATACTTTAGTCGAAGTATATCCCTAATATCTTTAAATATTAACTTTAAGGAATGATTAAGAAGCTATCCGCCCTAAAATAGCTTTATTTTAATTACTACCCTATAATAAAGGAGGTTAGAATTTGTATTAATAATGCCGAGGCGGAATTTGTACGTTTGAATAGCAGTATTAATTTTTAAATTACTATCTACTTAGATGGGATTAGCTATAAAGAACCTATTAGATATTACAACCAAAACGAGATTATAATCGATACTTTTATTATTAAGGATGACCTTATTAATAAATAGCTTTATAAATTAGAGGTTAGCCTCTATCTTGATAATAAGAAAGATTGGAAGGAGTTCGTAGTTGGCGATAAGGCTATACGTATTTGGATAAGATTATTAGTTAATTATAAATTATAGGATAGAATTATAAGGGAGGAATGGGATACTAACGAGTGGTATTGAAATTTTAAGTAGATAACGAATTATAAGGTGGTCGACGATTAGATTAAGGTAAAGAAAATATATTATAAAGCCGTCGTTATTCTTATAAAGGAATTTAAGAATTAAATTAATTAATTATAGACCTAATCTACTGCTATGAATAATAAATAAAATAAGGGAGTCGGTAAAATTTTTATTATAAATTTATAGTATTCTAATTTTATTAATGCGGTTAAGATCGTCCGCCTCAGGTAGTACGATGGCGCTTAGAAACTCAATAAAAAAATGGCTATTAATATTTTTAAATATATAGAAGTCTATAAAGATTTTAAGCAGTACAGTATCGATAGTATTCGTTGCGGGGTTATTATTAGAAGAAGAGGAGTTTATTATAATATTTTTAATATTAGCGAAATTAGTATTAAATATAATGGTTAGAAATATAATAGTAGAAGTTATGATATTAGAGATAAGAATGCTTATTATAATAGTAAGAATGAAAAATTTAAAGGTTTTAGCGTTAAAAAGAGAAAATTGCCATTAGATAAATCCGAAATTTAATTGCGTAAGAGGAGTAACAGTATAGTATATAAAGTATATAAGAGAAGTTATTATTCTTTTAAAGATTATTAGTACGTTAATTTAAATACGAAGCCTTTATATTTTAGAGTATACCCCTCTATTAAACGCATTATTAAAACTAATTTCGCGAAAATTTAGAGTTTGCTAAAAAAGTAACTAAATTCTTTAAAAAGAAAGAGAAAGTTAAAAAAAAACAATTAGCGTTAATATAATTATTGAATCGGATTTATAAGATAATTTTCTAAATTAGTAGGGTATTTAAAATTAGAGATAAAATTTACCTTCTTAAGAATTTAATAATACTCGATTTAGGTAATTCATTTTATATATTTAATAAAATGATTTATTTCCTTTACTTTTATTATACTAATCCAGATAATTCTTTATAGATTAATAATATTTAAATAGAGATTAAAGAGTTTAGGGAAGTCGATATCGTTATTAAGGGTAAGAATAGTCCCTTAAAACTATAGTTGAAAGAGGTCGCTTTTTACTTTAATTTTACTACTAACCTCGTCTCCTATTTCTAATTACGAGGGTAGGGTTTCTATTAGGATTATCGATTATTAAATAATTATCTAAAGAAGGTTAATAGTTTATTCTTTTACTATTTAAATACTATTTATAATTAAATAATTATTAAAATAATCTCCCTTTTATTTATTAGAATTTCATTCGTAGCGCGCTATTATTAAATTAATTTATATATATAACAACCTTCAAAATAATTAGCGGAAATATAATATTAATAATTTGGCTATTTAAGTCCCTAAGTATTCAATTATTTATAAAATATTAATAAAATACGATTATATAGTATATTTTTAATTAAATACGACGCGTATAATATAGTAAAGATAAAATAATAAGTTAGCTATGTTTCGAGAGATTGAGGCTACGGCTTAAGGGAAAGACTCGTTATTAATTTCTTCGATTTTAAATTAAGATTTAAAAGATTACGCTACCTCTTTTTAATTATTTATTGATAGTCAAGATTAATCTAGGATTATTATTTATCGAACCAAGAAATTATTACGATAGCTAATACTTTAGTTAAATATATTTAGATATTTAAGTATTGATATAATATTAATATTAAAATTATTAAATATAATAATAAATTTATAAATAATAAAATTAAAGATGAATTCACTTGGTATAATACAATTCTTGAACTTTCTACTCCTAATATTTAAATATAGAATAGAGGGGTAGAATATTTAGGGGGTATAATTAAAGAAAGATATTATATAATATTATTAAATTTGAAAATACTAGAAGATTTATAGCTAGAAATTATTTACGCGGCCGTTTATTTTATTAATTATTCCTCTTATTATTTATATAATTAGAAATCCCCCTTCGAACGATTCTATACTAATATTACGAACTAATACGGTTAATAAGAATTATATAGATTAGATTTAAGTTACCTTCAAATTTATAGGTATAAAATATTTATTATAATATATATTGCTTGGAGGAAGGATTAAAAATTTTTAACATAAAATTTAAAGGTTTAGATCGGGTATTTTATTAGTTATTTAGCGATTTTTATTTATTATATATAGAGTCCTTATATAAATCGGATCGTTTAAATTAGGGATGTGATATTCGATAAGGATATCTTTTATTAATTAAATATTAAGAAGTTTAAAAGTGACCTTAAAATTGAGAAATTATACTCGCACGTGGAGAAAACTCTACTCGCACGTGGATTAAAAAATGTATTATTAAGTATAACTTAGCCTTACTGAAGTCTATTAGGCCAATAGTAGTAGCAAAGTGTTCGCTAAATTTAGGTAGATTTTACTTGGTGAATCCCGTCCTCTACAACGTCAGGCCCATTGAGATATTAATTGTTTTAGACTTTTACTATATGCTAACTAGCTTTCTATACTACTCGTTACCATTCTTATTAATTTAAAGGGTTATTAAACAGATACAATTTCGGACTGAGGCTTGTAAAATTAAGAGAAAACCAATGAAGATTCTAAGCTATTATACGAGCCTTTAAGTCTTACCTTCGTAGCGAGACATTAGATTTAAGATTTTAGTTCACGTGCGAGTAGAGTTTTCTCCACGTGCGAGTAGAGTTTTCTCCACGTGCGAGTAGAGTTTTCTCCACGTACGAGTAGAGTTTCTCTTAAAATTACTAGCGAGGAGTTTACCGACTTATTTAATAAGATAAACGAACCCGTTAATTAACCTTCGGAAATATTTAAATTATTCTATATCGAAGGCTATACGTTATTAAATAATATTAATAACGGTAATATTAAACTTTTCCTATTAAATTGTTTCGATTAAAATTAGGAGGATTATTAAAGGAATTAAAAAAATTCATAAAATAAGAATAATTAATCATAAGAAGTATTAATTTAATAATTTACTAATAATAAAATATTTATTAAATATATTATAAATTTATATTCGTCGCTTCTATTTACTCCGCTAATTATATTTTGTACCGGCTATTCTATTAACTAAATTATCGATTAGTACAATTATTATTAAAAATTATAGGCAACCGCCTTTAACGTTAGTAAATTAGCCTAATTAGTAGTTAAAATAAACGAGAAAATAATTATTAAGACGGAAATTAAATAGTTAATTATAAAATATAGTCGTTTTAATAGGGTATATTAATGTAATTTCCTACTAGTATTTATAACATACTACAATCTAGATAATTACGTATTTGGCTAATAGTTTAAAGAAGTAGAGGAAACTTATTTTAAAAATTATAAAAATATAAAGATGTAGATCGAGGTAGATAAGGATATCCCCTATTCTAAACGTAAATAAATCTTCGATTATATATGAGTATATATTTATAAATTTAATAAAAACAAGATATTTAATAAGGTAAAAGCGAGGCTCGTTGTAAGAGGTAATTAATAGAAAAAGATAGGAATTAATATGTATGCGTCTATTTTTGTAGATTAATTATTTTATACTATTATTATTCTTATTATTCGTTTTAACTTTAAATTTATTTAATACGATATAGTTAATATTTTTATAAATGCCTACTTTGATAAGGAGATTTATGTATGTATATTATTAAGGTATTAAATATTTGGGAAGGTTTTTAAATTTATTAAGGCCTTGTACGGTTTCCGACGAGTTCCTTTATTGTAGTAATAAGAATTGAACGGGGTATTTAAATCGATAGGATTTAAAGCGATCCTTGAAGATCCGTGTATTATGAAGAAAAATGGTATTTTTATATTGTATTATATTAATAATATTGTCTTTGCGTTTGATAAAAGTAAAATAGAGGAGGTTAAGAAATATACGATAAAGTTATAATTATAATATTATTTAATAGGAGGAGATGAATTCTAATAGTTTTTGGATATTAAAATTATATGTAATCGAAACTAAAGAAAAGTTTAATTAGTTTAAAAAGTATATATTAATAAGATTATTAAACTATTTAAATCTAATTACTACTTAATTTTAGTACTTATAGGGTATAAGGAGTTAGTTCTTTATAAGGGTATTACTAGCTACGTAGAGATACGAACGTATTAAATTAATATAGGTTTTTTATTATATATAATAGTTAATACTCGATTAGATATTACGTTTTCGTTAAATAGATTAGCTAAATATAATTATAATCCTAATCCTATTTATTTAGCGGCGAGCGAGAAAGTTATATAGTATTTAAAAATAATAAAGATATAGGCATTCTATTTTGGCGGGAGTGATAGATTTGAGATTGCCTTTAATGCTTCGTTTATTAATAATAAGAGTAACCGTAAGAGTTCCTAGGGATTTAGGATTAAATTATATGGTGGTTTGATTTATTAGGGAGTAACTAAATAGACTACGGTTGTTACGTTAATAATAGAAGTAGAGTTATATATAGTTGAGAAGGTGGTTAAGGAGACCTTCTTTATAAACTAATTAATATCGGCGTTGAGGGTGAATTTACTAGAGGATCCTATTCCTATTCTATATTATAATAATTAATAAATTATTAGGGTACTTATAAAGGAGACGCTTACTTGTAGTATAAAGATGAGGTATATAGATATTTATAGATATTGGTTAAGGAGAGAGATTTTCGAGAAAAAGACTTTTGATATCGAGTACTTAGAGATAAAATTGATGTTAATAAATGGATTGATAAAAGTATTAAGTATTTTAGAATATAGGAGATTTAGGGAATTATTAGGGATAGTTGAGGTACTATTGCGGGAAGATAGCGAAGGAGGAGATAATCTGGTATTGGGAGAGGTGGATTTCCATAATTTGGATGAAATATTGGGATTGGAGATATGAAACGACGAGAGCAATGTGTAAATAGTTTTACTTTTGACTTTAAAGAGGTAAAAGAGGTTTGTAAGTGAGGGGGTGTGTTAGATTTTAGGGTAGTATTCTAGCTAGATGTGGGTTAGATACTAGAGTCCCAGCTACCGGATTTAATAGGTCTTGGCAAATATGGGATACCCCTAGAACCCCCATACCAGAGCGCTCGAGTCAGAACACACAGAATCAATCAATCACCAGTAAATCTGACACCTTCCACTTCTGGAACGGCTCGCTAGCGACCTTTCTCCGTTAGCGGCCAATCCTCCAGAGGAGGCCTTGGGTCTTTGGGGGGCTCGAGCACTCAACACCCCTGGATCGTTGACGTTACAGCGGCTAAACTCAGCCCGTCATAGCGCAATTGCTCTCCCCTGCACGTATTTGACATCAATGTCTCTACCACAATTCTCCCTTTGGTACTTGGGGGTTGTGGTGCGGTTCGGTGGTGGGACCTTTCCTCAACCCCCTACTCATTAAGTAGGGGGGGGAAAAAATTCTGGGACAGCAAAATATTCATGGGACATCTGAGCCAGTGCCAAAACACTAAGAAAGCTGTTAGTGCAGCGAAGATCGCGAACCAAACAACTACGCCACTATTTTTTAAAATTCTGAGAAAATTCTGAGGAGATAAAGGAGCTTTCAAAAGACTATCTACAAAGTTGCATTGATTTTGGCTAGGTGTGGAAGGAAAGAATGGGAACAAGGGTTCAAAGTGTACCATATTTTAAAATCTGTTTCGCAAATACACTCATTCAACTTTAATAACCAAATAACACTTTTTAATACTTTTTGACCTGCCAATTTTTTCCCAGTTGAAATGAGAGCGCAAAAACTGGGAATCCTCTTTCTAATGCAGAAAAGAGTCTATCTGATTTTTGGTAGAATTTTAGAAAATTTCGGCGTGGTTTTGATGCATTGTATCTATGCTGTACTATCAGATTTCTTAGTGTTTTGCTAGTTGTTCAGATTGTCCCATGAGTTTTTTGCTGTCCCAGAATTTTTTCCCCCCCTACTTAATGAGTAGGGGTTGAGAAAAGGTCCCACCCAACCGCACCACAACCCCCAAGTAACCAGTGATGTGTCATGTTTCTCCCCTCGGATTTTTGTGATGGGTTCCAGAATGATGGGTGTTTCTAGCCCCGGCAATGCTGAGGCTTGTTTGGACCCAGAAACTGTGAGTGACGGCGCCATATCACGACGACTATCGAGCATCAGATAATGCGAGAAAGAGGCCCGGGAAATGTGATATGAGAGATAGATCGAGGTCCTAATGTTGCTCTGCGGCGGGTCGACATGGACCAGACTGAAGCGACCCTACCAGTGTCAACCTGCTGCGGTCTGCGATTTTCCCTTGGGTCCCATGTCTTGGCCAGGAAGGTGTGCTCCGACCAAACTTGGCCCCTTGCTGTGGGCGAAAAAAAATATCAGATCAAGGGCCGAGATAGCGTAACTCCCCGAGGTAAGTCTCATACGATTCCATTGCTTCTTTTAGATAGCCAAGGTAACGCAATCTTTCCTCCCGCGGGACACATCTTGCAAGGCAGCGGTTGTTCCACGGAGGTGTCTTTTTGTGCTTCCTGGGTTCGTCTGTTTTAATCTCCATTTTACTAGTGGGTTTCCTGTTGTGAAATATGAGAGACGCGGAACACATACCTGATGTGACAAGACCCTTGGAATGGAATTCGCCTCCTAACACATGGCTTGTCTCATCCATTCCTGCCAACCTGGGTATACAATCATATCACGGGTCGTATCGAAAGCTTCCGCCATGCTGCGTTGTAGTGATAGCAGAGATTTCACTATCGGACGGTGAAGGCCGGGATAGTTGGTAATCCTTGGGTCAGGGGTAAAGACCTTGCATGGTCCCGAATCCCCGTGGTGTCTTTCTTCTGACTTCTTATTGGGAACACGCCGTGGGCCAGAAAGGCTGCTTTTGATCCTTTGTGTCACTGTATCTTCCTTACCTAGTCCTGTCTTGTCCTGCTCTGCCTGTCAGTCTCATTGCATGAGTCCTTTCTGAGTCTTGGTTGCATTCCCATATTCAGTCACTCACATACTGCCATTACCATGCCTGCCCTCACCCAAGACCAGCCCCTCGATGTGATCATCGTCGGAGCCGGCATCGCAGGGCTGGCTGCCGGAATCTCTCTTCGCCGTGCGGGTCACAAAGTCCGCATATTTGAGCGGTCGGAGCTCAACAACGAGGTTGGCGCCGCCATCCATGTGCCTCCGAACGCCAACCGGTCCCTCGTGGCGTGGGGCCTGGATCCTGTGGAGAACAAGTTCGTTCCGTCTACTGGCATCGCCATTGGATCCGGGGCCACTCTTCAGCAGTTCGACTTCACTCCACTCGGTGACTGGGTTCCCAAGGTGTTTGGCGGTCCTCTGTACTTTGCTCACCGAGTCGACTTGCATGAGTCCTTGAAGAAGCTGGCGATGGGGCCAGAGGGTCCGGGGAAGCCTGTCGAGTTGAACTTGGGTGTGCAGGTGGTCGCTTATGTGAGTAATATCCAAAACGTGGAGATGAAACAGTCGGCCCCTTACGCTCCCGTCCACGCAAGATCATCATGCCGGGCACGGTAGTGAGAAGTCACCGAGACACGGGATGGGAGACAGCCTTATGCTAACCATTTCCCCTTATAGAACTCAGAGGAGCCATCCATTACCCTTAGCTCTGGTATCGTGAAGAAGGCGGACCTTGTCATTGCCGCAGATGGTGTCCATTCCATTGCTGTTGAGGCCATCCTTGGATATGCCAACAAGCCAGAGCCTCAAGCGCTCTACAATGGATGTTACCGCTTCCTCATCCCGGCTGCTGACCTAGATGCCGACGAGGAGACAGCGTGGTGGAACAAGAATGGCGAGAGGGAGGGTCTTATGAGGATCTATACGGCCAGCAAGTTGGGCAACCGCTTCATCTCGTATCCATGCCGTGGTGGTGAGGTCTGGAACTGTGTTGGCATGTTCCACGATGACGAGTTGATTGGCGCCACCAAGGAAGATTGGCAAACACCTGTCGACAAGTCCCACTTGCTCAAGACGTTTGCCGAGTTCCATCCTTCCCTCCAGGCTGTACTGAAGTATGCCATTGCTCTTTCTTTTCTCCGATATTTGGTTGCTAATATGGTCTTCCGCAATACAGCAAAGCAGGCGAAGTAAAGCGTTGGCCTCTCCTCTATCGTGGTCCTGTGCCCACCTGGACCAAAGGGAAGATGATCATCATCGGAGATGCAGCTCATCCAATGTTGCCGCACCAAGGCCAAGGTGGCGCACAGAGTATCGAAGACGGTATTGCCCTTGGTATCTCGTTAAGTGGCGCCAAATCTGAGGATATCAAGGAGAGGCTGGCCATCTTCGAGAAGGCCAGGAGGCACAGGGCAAGCGCTATCCAGGTGATGAGCAACGCCGGAGTGGACCAAGCTGAAAGAGTCGCTAGAGAGGTGGCACAATACGTTAGCGTTCCTCTGGGTATGTTCATCTTGAAAGACACGGTGCCTCGAAGACCGGATGCTGACCTTGGTTCCATCGCACAGATTCCCAGGCCAAGTTCGCCGAGTACAACTGGGGCCACGATATTGTCGACACCATAATCCAGCTGCTTCGGGGGTCTGTGGATGCCAAGTTCGAGCTTCCGGAGGGATTCTTCAAGGGGAACCCCTTCTCGCCGCAGAATGCCCCCAAGTATGCGTAGAGGACGAGCTGAGATGGTGGACGTCAAGGTCGCATATCAGAGGATAGAGCGGCGGTCGGGTCTAGACATTTCGTGTAACAAAACAGAACATAACTTTCACATAGATTTTTCGAATTTTTGATAGCATATTGATCGGTCTTGGTTTGCAAGAAGAGAGAAGAGGTTTCCAGCGACGTTCCCACACTCAAGCGCCTTGTCAGTTGCCAAGACTTTGATGAGCTGGCTATAATAACCGGTCAAACACATATATACATTGTAAAATATCGCCTTTTTACTCAATTTCTATACAGAATTAAAGCGCTACACAATCTCTTTCATCGTGCAAAGTAAACAAAGTAATTGCATTCCATCAATCAATTCTATCAATCAATTAAACCATCGTGATAATGCCTCCCAAGTCGATTTTGAAGTAGAACTAGAAGCGGACTCGTCGCGCTAACGTTACTTCGGTCTACTTTGACGAAAATTAGGGTTCGAATTTAATACCTACTTCTACCCGCCCTATGAAAAAGAGTCGTACTTTTATCAAATTTAAATCTATTACTAATTTATTTAAGAAGGTTGCCCCTAAGAAGGCCGCCCCTAAAAAAGCTCCTAAGAAGGCTGCCCCTAAGAAGAAGGCTATTCCTAAGAAGGCCACCCCTAAAAATAAAGGGAAAGGGAAGGCGCCCGCTCTAGAATTAGAGCGATTTCTAGAATCCAAAATTGAAGCCGAAATTACCCCCGTACCCTCTTTCCTACCTATACGGCTAACCCTTATCAAACTTTTTAATAATAACGATAAAAATAACGACGACGAAGAGGAAGAGGAGGAGGAGGAGAAATAATAATTCCCTAATCTCCTGGTCCGCTTTACCCCTAAGAAGAAAGTTATTAATATATTATTCTATTTCTTTAACGATAATAACGAAAATGTAGTATCTTTAACCCTAATTTAACTATATACCTATAAATAAATTGCGTTACCTTCTAAACCCGCTTTCCCTTTTTATATTTAGGTAGAATTTATAATTACTGGGTTATATTTTATTACCCTTAGAGTTAAACCCCCCGCTATCCTTAACTACGGAAATTATTAAAAGATCGAAATCAAATAAGAGAATAGTAAAAAATATAATTAGCGGTTTGGGATAATTTTATTTAGGGAGGTCCTCTGTTTGTAAATGGGGTATATTTAAAAGATTATTATTAACGCGGCCGCTGCTAGGGTTAAGTATTAAATTATTTTTTATAGCGTTATGTATACTACTGGCGTTTATAATAATAATAGGAGGAATAAGGCTATAATTTATATAAAGATTATTGTAGCTGCCTAATTTAATAATAGTAATTACAATTTTAATAGCGAGGGTATTATAAAGGTATACTGTCGTAATAGTACCATTTAATACTATACCTTTACGTTCGCTTTTACTTTCTACCTCCTCGACCCGCCTATTATAATACTAATACCTATTTTTATTACTAATTTAATTATTAATTTAATTATTAGCGTACCTTCTACACCTACCCTTTCTTATAGTATAACTAATCCCTTTATAATTGCTATATTATAATTATTATACGTATTTATTACCTTTAAATTTAGTATAGGGAGGGGGAGTATAATTAATATAATATTAGAAGAGATCGATAAATTTAATAAATAAAATTACGAGCGAAAAGTACGTAGGGAATATAAATCTTACAGTACTACGTACTATAAATTCTTTTAAACGTAGAAGTATAATATTAAATATAATTATAAGAATTATAATAAGGGAGGTAACTATTAAATATATTATTTTATTAATAGTAGTAAAATATATTAAAACCTCTTTATTAAAAACGCAGGTAAATAGGTAAAAGCTATCGTAATTGGGTATATTACCGTACAAAATCCTCTTACTTTAATTATTTAAAAAATGATTATAGTAGAGACCGTTACGGTTAATACTAATTCGAATAGCAGACAACGTAGCGGTAATAGGCTCCTAGTATACATTAATATTATTAATAACGTTGATAGTAATAATAATAATATTAGTATAGAATTTATTAATAATTTTTTATAAATAATATTAAGAAGGGAAAAGAGGCTACTAATACTATATTACCCCTATACTAATTATACCTATACTTACTATACCAATTAATATATTACCCTCTATATAGCTACCTTTATTACCTAATTTTCCCGCCGCCTCCTCCTCCTTCCTCTATTATAATTACTTCTATTATTACTATACCGGTACCGGATATTATAGTAACCTTACTAAACGCCGCTTTAAACGCGCTATTTAATTATTAAATTACCGCGTTCTATAGTTACTTTACTAACTATAATACGCTAACTACTAAACGTAACCCTCTTCTACCCTTATTTATTATTTTTATATAGGCACCTTCTATTTTACTCTTAATCGTACCTCTAGTACCTCTATTAATTATACCGCCCTTTATTACTAACGAAGATAAGTCCCCTCTAACTCCCTCCTCCCCGCCACTACCCTCGCTATATAATTGTACCTTAAGCGAATTTATTACTAAATTTTTTAAAACTTTTACTATGAGTATTATTTTAGGAAGATTACAGTAGCAGCGTAGGCATTACGGGCTTTAATTATACTACGAAAAGTATTTAAAGGATCAAATATTCCTATTACGGATATTATTAAAATGGGTCAAAACAACACAACAATACAATACAAGACCAACTATATACTACAATAAAAACTTACTATAAATAGTTAATTAGGGCTGTACTACTGGAAGTTATGAATTAAGTGGACGAGGTAATTAGCGCTAATTTTAGATAGAAAGGCTAAAATTTGAAGTTTAGAGAAAGGAGGGTTAAAGAGAGTAAACGAATAAGTTGCGAATAGTTTTAGAATTTAAAGAATAAATAAATATAAAGCTTACTACTCGATAATTAACACATAAAAGTAACTTCTTTCCTTAATAATGAATAAAGGATTAGGAAATATTCAATTATAAATAAGATAATTGATTAAATATCTTATAGAAAGAAATAACGAGAAACGATTTAAAATATTTAATTACAGTATATTAAAATATATTTGAAAAAAAAAAAAGGAGTATTATTACTTCCCTTTTTATATCCCTCTTATAATCTTTTTCTTAGTATTAATCCCCTTTTCTTTTCATCATCCTCCTATCCTTCCATTCTTCTTCCATCAGTCTTCTTTTTCTATCGATAGCTTATTTAATCTTATCTATCAATTATAAATAAGTGATCATCTATCCAAACAATCCATACGATTAGTTATTTATCAATCTCCCAATCTTTTTTATAATCCCTGATTAATGTTAGCTGACCAGTTCCTTTCAATCTTATAACTATACTCCTGAATAAAATATATTGTAGAAAAATCGTAAAAAATTCAGCGCAAAAATTATAAAGCATACTACCACAAATCATTATAGCGCTTAGGGACTAATTAGTCGAATAGTTTATAAAGCTAGATTTTATAATAGAGCTTTATAATTCGCTAAAGAGTAGTATTAAGACCTTCCTTAAATAAGAGTAATTAATAGTCGCCTAAATAGGTAGCTTCTACGGTATACCCTCTACCCTCTAATTAATAGATTTAATTAATTATTATTATTATATACTAAACTCCTAGTACGGTTTTATAGTACAATTGACTGATATTACTGCCCTCGAGCTTAGCGTTGCGAGAGTACTTACTTTTTTAGTGGGTAATACTATCGTTAGCGGTTATAATATATAAGATGAGTTATAGTAAAAGAGGTGGACTGCTCTGGTTATAAGGGGGGATTCTATATATTTCTGGCATTTTTATACACTCTTTTTATTATTATATGGATAAATGCTAGTACTCTACTTAGCACTTCTGGTATTTCTAGTATTTTTAGTATTTCTGGTATTTCTAGTACTAGATTATAGTATAAATTATATATTACCCCCTATACTATTTAGTTACCTTCCCTATTTACTCTCGCCTAGTAACGTTACTAGTCTTCTTAAATTCCTTTAATTAGCTAGTATATAGAATTGCGTAGTCTTTATTAATATTATTAATACCTTCTATAATTAATTTAGCGTTTTTAAAGTAATTACAAATCTATTATACTTTATATTTAATACTTTTAATAGTTCGACGGAGGAAGATAAGGAAGTCTTTATTAGCTATCCCATCGCTACCTTCGTCGTTATATACCCGCTTTATATATTTCTTGAAATTATTAAAGTACGCTTCGATCGGGTTAAGTTCTAAGGAGTATAGTAATAGATATTACAATAATATATCCGCGCCTATATATATAGTAGAATTAATTATATAGATACTAATTCGCGTTATTTATTATTAAAATATTATTATAATTAGGAAAGGGATTTATTATAGGAAGGAGGCGATCTATTAATTATTTAATAAACCCTAAGGTATTTATTTATCCCTTAAAGACTAGTATTTCGAGTACGCTATTAACCGATATAATTAGGAGAATATAATATTACTTACTATATTTAAAGCGGTTCGATATTATTGCGATAGTACTGCGGGGAGCCTAGCTAATACAACGAGTTCTATTACGTCAATCTATACTAGATTTATCGTAAAAGACAAACATTTTTACAATAAATAACGATATTTTTATTATTTACTCTGCTATTAATTTAGGCTCTTACTATACTGCTTTAAATATTATTTTTTTCCTTCTAGCGCTCTTAGTATAGATAGCGACGTATAGTCTCGGTCAATATGTATACATCGTACTCGTTAATTAAAAAAGTATAAATCTCATCGAAATATAGTGATAGTTTTAATACTAATAATTTTATAACTTCCTTTACAATATTAATTATAATTATACTATAGTAATTACGAATAGTTGCTATTGTTACGAGTATACTTCTATAGCCTATATGGTGAGTTTCTTAGAATTTTAGGACGTTCGAAAAGGTAGTATTAGCTTGCTAGTAATATTGAAATTGCGTTTATATCAATGTATTGTACGCTCGCAAACGCTAGCAGTTATAGCGATATCTTTAATAGGCTCGTCGTTATAGAATATTAAGTTTACGATAGCTCGCTAGTTCAAATTGAGAAAATTCACTGTATTGTATAGCTATAATAATAATAAAGATAATAAAAACGCTAAATAAAACGATAGTTAATATACGAGTATTAAAATATTGGCTTTTTGGTACAGATTTCGATAATTTACGATGCGATGCGGTTGATGTACGTTAATTAAGACGGTTAAATCTGGTCAATCTGTCAAAATCCGTTGGAAAGTCGGTGTTGTGGCCAGCTCAACACAACTAGCGCGCCAAGACTGACAAGGCGCTTGAGTGTGGGAACGTGATGTCGTGGATTGGATGAAAGGTCGCAAACGGGAAGCATCCGTCCGATGTCCATTCGCACATCTTTCAGCGCCCGACCTTAACAATTATCGCTAAACAAGCTCTGCCTTGTATCGCCCGGACGGCGCAGGGACGGTGGACCCACCGGGCGGTCCGAACGCTTCGTTCCTTCCGTCTTCAGTGGCCGCCGGGCCCGCGCGGGGCAAGCGGACCGCCTGTGGCACGCTGAGCTGCCGGAGACTTCAATCGCAACTCGCCCGTTTGACTTGTCGATCCGGAAGAACACTGCCGTTAACGGATCTCCTTCCTCTTATTCCCGAAAACCAAACAGAAGAATTCGTTCAATCTTCTAGAAGTCAAATTGTTTCCATTACATCAACGCGTCACCACCATCCTTCATGCGCCCCGCATTGCGTCATTTTCAGCAGTACCTTTTTAAAACAACAGAGGCAATCTCACTGCGCCTGTCACCAGCGACATCGACGTCGACATCGACAGCTTCATTCAAACCCGTGCTCCGAGTCAACCACCTACATCACCAAGCCAGAACCTTCACATCCACCACCACCATCATCATGTCCGCCGCCCCGCTCAAAATCGGCTTCGTGCCCGAGCACTTCTCCACCCCCATCCACTTCGCCCAAAAGCACTACGGCCTCTCCGCCGAACTCGTCCCCTTCCCCTCCGGCACCGGGCACATGATCACCTCACTCCGCTCCGGCGAGATCGATGTAGCCGTCGGCCTGACCGAAGGCTGGGTCGCCGGACTCGGCAAGGACTCCACCCAGGACGCCTCCTTCGGCACCGATGGCGGCTACCGTCTAGTCGGCACTTACGTCGAAACCCCTTTGTGCTGGGCCATCTCGACGGGCGCCGACCGGCCCGAGATCCAATCGGTCGACTCGCTCAAGGGCGGCAAGATCGGCGTCTCCAGGATCGGATCGGGTAGTTACGTGATGGGCTACGTGCTGGCTGATCAGCGCGACTGGCTGGTGCCGACGACGGCGGTGGGCACGGATGTCGAGACTGCCTCCCCCTTTTCGGATTTCGTGGTGCTCAACACGTTCAAAAACTTGCGGGACGCGGTCAATTCTGGGGAGGCGGATTTCTTCATGTGGGAGCATTTCACGAGCAAGAAGTACTACGATTCGGGCGAGATCAGGCGCGTGGGCGAGATTTACACGCCCTGGAGCAGCTGGAAGATTGTCGCTTCTACCAAGCTGTTTGATGACCAAAAGAAGCTGGATGGGCGCGTGGAGGAGGCCATGGAAAAGATTAATGAGGGTATCAAGCACTTTGAGGAGCACCAGGATGAGGCGGTCGAGTACATCAGCACGGAGCTGGATTACTCGGAGGAGGATGCGAGGGAGTGGTTGAAGACTGTCAAGTTCCCGAAGAGGGTGCAGGGCGTTGATGAGGCGGTTATTGACAAGACTGTGAACATCTTGAGGAAGGCGGGTGTGTTGATTGAGGGACGGGGCATGAAGCCGGAGGAGATGATTGCCAAGACTAGGTAAAGGGATGATTGATGGATGATGAATGATTAGGACATGATAGACAAAATGCGTTGCTTTTCGTGGTATTCATATTCGGGTTCAAGGGGGTGGGCTGCTGCTACGCCGTGTTTTGAGCGTAGTATTGTTTGGAGTGACTTGAAGTTTTTTCTCATACTTTGAGCAGCCATCGATCATTAAGTGCCGCCTGGTTGATCATGATAATCCAATTGAATCCTCCTTCGTATGCTGTCGTCGTTGTTGGCGTGGCATCTCAGCTTGACCTTAAAGCGGAGCCGCTACCCATTAGCCCCATATAAGCTCTCCTTTCTCACCAAACTTTCATCTTATGGGCTAATGGTCTAGTGGTATGATTTCTGTTTTGCAATGCCTCATTGGATCTACAGACGGTCCCGCGTTCAATCCGCGGTTAGTCCAACATTTTTCTTCTTTTTGCTTTGCGCTGTTCTGTTCTGAGAAGTTCGGTGATGCTGAGGGTTGTGTTCTCTCTTTTTTTTGTGATCATCAGGGGACCCCAGACTTTGATGATACACCTCTAGATGTTGGGATGAACTGCGAGTCCCAGCCCGAGGCAGCTGAGGTGTTCGACTTCCATGCCATGATGGAACATTGCGAAAATCACAGGGCCACTTCGAGTAGACGTCTGACTTGTTGCAGCCCTTTCACATATTTCCTTCCCTTGGAAGGTCTTCTTTGCATGGTACCTTAGCAGAAGTTCGGCCATGTGCACTTTCGAGTCTCGAGCGAACATTTCCTAAAGTTATAACACAGGTCGATAGAAATGGTAGCTGATGCAAGATCTTGAAGTGAAAGTCCAGGAAACATGAGGGAAGATGGACACTTTCTCCGCCCAGCATTGACAGGGAGAGGGAAGTCGCGAGTCTCCTCAGACTCGAATGGTTTCCTTTTCCAAGCGTCCAAATGACCTGGAGATTCGAAAGTGCAGAGTTTGCGGGTCATGCAGGCGTTGAGATGCACCTTCCCCGTATGTGCCGTGCTTCTGCTGCCCGAGTCTACAAAAACCAAAGAACAGCGAACAAGCGTTATCACCATTAATGTCCAATCCGACCGATATAAAAACATCGACAACAACAAAAAGAAAACTGCACGAGATCTCTGTACAACGTAACCCCATTTAGGTGCATGTCCAAAGGAGAAAAAAGCAAAAAATTATGCGTCACCTGCAGGATTCGAACCTGCGCTCCCGAGGGAACTGCCTTACGTGCTTTCTTGCGAATAGCAGGGCAGCGCGTTAACCACTCCGCCAAAGTGACTAGTGGTTGTTGTTGAAATTCGGTGTCTGTGGAACCACTTATGAGGGAGGCTTGGCACGCACGCAACATGGGGTGTTGTGATTCTAGCCAAAACCCTCATTGACGGAGCTCACCATTGACAAGATGTAAATTGTCTCCATCTGTTTACCGTGTCGGTCTGGCGAATGCGCTTATGTGGCGATGACATGGCGCACAGTTCGCTAAGCTGCGACTGCCGTGTTGAGATGTCTTTCAGCTGCGGGAAACCCTTAGATAGGTAATATTGATGTGCGACCCAGCCTTTTTTGTTCCTACATTGCACCATTGAAGATCTCATGTGTGGTCAGCCACTCATAGTATGGCGTGGCACTGAGCGGGCTGCATTAGGTCAGCTTTATTTGCCCTCGTGGTTGCGGAGAGCAAGACATGGCGGCATCATGGATACTACGCTGTTGTTTACTTTGGAATATCGCGAGCTGATATATTGGAATCCAGACCGGGCTTGTCATTCGCGATGTCCTCGATGTGCGACTATAAAAGCCGTTTGATCTCCTGTGATGGTGTGGCACTTGGTCGTCACCAACAGCTCGCTTTGTTTCTTTAACGACACATTCCATTTCCATCCAGGCATCAACATGAAGTCCTGCCTCCCGCTCCTCACCCTCCTCTCAGCATCTCTGCTCCTCCTACCTCAAGGAGTCTCCGGCGCAGAGGCGTTGGCACCCAAAGACAATTACCCCAAGCCTCCCAGCCTCCAGTACCTCTACACCGTCAACATCACCGGCGGAGAAACCTACAACATCGGCAACGGTCCAAACGGCCTTCGCCTTGTCGTGCCCATCTTGAACGGAACCTTTTCCGGTCCCAAGCTTAAGGGTTGGTTGCTTTTACCCATCCAACTCTCCTCTTCCCCTTGAACATTCTGCTCTTCTATCTCCCCTTGTTGCTGTTGGTGTGCTGAAACTGGTGAGCACGGGGGGGTTGACTATTGATACTTGGCAGGTGAGTTTTGTTTTTTGGTTGATGTTGGGTGATACTAATGATGTTGAGCTAACGAGGAGGTAGATGGTGCCAAATTGAAGGGGTGTCGAGTTCCGATTGTCCGGATGATAGGGGGAATGGGTTGGCCGCGCCGGGAGGAGTTGACGAAACTACATGTACCTGGGGAGATGAACGAGATAATCTAGATGGCGACTGGAACGAAGAAACGGGTAGAGGTACCCAGCTCACACAAGGACGCTTGTACATAGCATATCGAACTTGGAATATTAACGAGAACTCTCAGTCCTCCTACCTTGCGGTACCTGAGCGTCTGGTAGCCATGTGCACATGGGTCACTGTGTGCATCATCACTTCATTGATGTGTTCAGTACCAGAAAGCGGGAATGGCGGACGGATGCATAGAGGTACGTACAACAACAAACATAGATGTGTTGATACACAAACAACAGAACGAACTGATAAAAACATATGGAACAATAAACGCACAAAGGGGGAAAAAGCCTTTTGTTTTGGCTAGAATAACAACACTCTTCCTGATCCTAATAGTCGCCTCAAAAGGCGGGATCCGTTTCTGCCCAATCCACTCATTCCTCGGCCTCTTCCCCGGCGTGACCTCAATATCATAATTCAACACCGCATACGCCAATATCAGCTTTAGCTCGTTCGCCGCAAAGAACCGTCCGGGGCACGCATTCCTCCCATGCCCAAAGGCGAGACACTCGCAACTGGTAGTAGGAAAGGACTTGTTCGCCCGCTCAACATACTCCACACTGTCCTCCCTCCTCTGCTCCGCGAATCTAAACGGCCTGAACGTCTCCGCGTCTTCGTACACCTCGTCGTCGTGCATCACCGTAAAGCCCGGAACGCACACCGTGGCTCCATAGGGAATCTTGACGCCAGAAGGAGTTATGATTTCTTCCTTCGCCGTCACGTTGCGGGTTAGACCGACGCTCACGGGCGAGTTCAGCTGCTGTGACTCGCGCAGGACGCTGTCGACTTTGACCATCTGGGCTAGGGCGCGTTTGTTCCACTCGCCGCCGTGTTCGGCGAGGACAGACTGGACTTCGTCCCGGAGCGCATCGATGTACTTTTGCTTTGGGGCGGCCAGATCTAGGAGTGCGTGGGTGATGGCAAAGGAAGTGGTGTGCAAGGCCGCAAAGTCGAGAATCATGACCCGGACAGTGAGAGTGGTCGGCGACCAGAGGTAGGGATCACCCATTTGTTTGGCTTGCCTTATTGACCACTGGAGGGAATCGTTCGGTTCGGGGTCCATGGGCTTGTGACCATCCCGATCCCGTTGGCGCGCCTCATCGGCTGCAAGTCGTCGCTGGATCTCGGGTAGCATTAACTTCTCCATCTTGTGCGCGTAAAGACAGATCGGGATGGTTGCGAAGAACACCGCAAGCGGACGTAGGGGTTCCCAAACGAATCTGAGAATCGTCGCCGTCAAAGGAACAGCTTGGGCATATGCCATGGCAGTATCGAGGAATTCCAGGTTCCGAAAAAACGGTTTTCCGACAAGCACGCAGTTGGTGGCCGGGCCGATGATGCGCTGACTAGTTTCGTAGACACATACTTTCTTGTATTCGGTGCCACTGCCCCAGTTCTTTGAGATGAGTAGGTACGTTGTGTATTGCGTTATGAACAATGTCTGTCTTGGTGACGGTACCTTAAGATTGAGTTCAAGATTGTCGACAGTATGAGCGTGCATACTGAGGCATTTTCAGGTTGATCGACGACGAACTGTGTCTCTGACCGGGGCAGCAATAATACATTGGAGCCGATGAAGGGTAGTATGACTGTCTTGTTCTTGTGTTTCCGTTCCGTCTCTCGGAGGGCTTTTTCGAAGTCCCGTAGTGTCCGCCAACGGGCTCGGTGTAAGGGAAACCAGTCACCGTCCTTTCCGCATTCGGGAGGGAGGTTGGATGGCTTCAGAAACAGATGGTGAAGGATGAATCCGAGAATCAACACGGCCGGCGCCAAGTAGGCAGGCCGAGCAAGGAGCTCAAGCAAAGCCATGGTGGTGCCTGGATGTGGTGGTAGCAATTGACTGCGGTTGGTTTCAAGGTGAAATAGACTGCTTACCATGGTGGTTCGGTACGGCTGCTGTCTTGTAGATGCCTGTCCGATGATCGCGAAGCCCTGGCCAGGAAACACTATACATACATATCTTCGTTGTAGCCGAGCATCGTCGGCCGAGTCGATAGAGGTATCTCAGCGTCCGACGGCAACATCATAGCCCTTTTCGGTCTTGAAATTTGGTCGGGGTGGTCTCGGACATGACCGCCATGGAAGGTAGACAGATTGGCAGCGAGTGTTGACGGCGGCCAGGTTGATCCCATTGCAAGGTGAGGGTGAGTATGTGTCGCGGGCATCACCAAGCACTCTTCTTACGAGTTGCAACGGGGGGAGTCTTCAGGTCGTCGCCAACCCCTCAACCTGAACGCTCTTTCCTTTCCGTAAGTACCTCAATCATGCCCGCACGGCCCGCACGGGTACCAACATTTCGGTTTCGGTGCCTGCATGTCTCTCGTGCGGTGCGCGACCACGGCAGCGCATGGCAAAAAGTTTGACACCTAAACTAGGACACCGCAGAACTCGGCATCATGTCGTGAACAGTTCATTCCAGGAGGAGTGAAAAGAGAGGTGGGAGCGGGCGTGGGAAGAAATAGATCTCAACTTTAGGTGCCTCGCACGAACAGAACACTCCGATGCTATTCCAGCTCCTTGGCACCGGGAACGGACAGACAGGTCGAACCAACCGACGGTCTCATTTCTTTGGTTCCTCTTGTCCAGGATCTGCTGAGATGCCCCTGTTCTGTTAGAGTGCTAAATACTTTTGGCGGTTGGCGGTTGGCGGTTGGCAAACACGATTGTAGCAGCCTGAGACTTGAGCAGTGAACTATAAAGTCTTCACCACAGAGTCATCGATGACCCACAGACAACATGCCATGGCTTCAGCTCAGCTTCGCCTCCTCACTACCTACCACGGATTTTTGAGATTAATTGACATCTCACCTATCAGCCCTGTTACCTCGTCCGTTGTCGCTTATCATTCATCCTTAGATGCTCTGCCCCCTAAGGTAGTTGCTACCTAGTTGCTGCTAGATAAGACTGTATGTGGCTCACCACCTAGCATCGTCGATCATGTCTCTCGAGACTGGGACTTCCTGGACTCAAAAAGATGCCGAACATGAGCCAACCCACTGCACGAACGCGTGCGGTTGGCGAGTGACGTACTCCAAGACTGCAAACGTGCTCCGAGCACTGACGTGCGCATATGTAGAGGTACCTTCAATCATCTGATGTCCTGAGAAGCTCCGGAGCCCCTCAAAACCTTCTTTGGACCCCCATCGATCCCGTCCCTTGGCACCTCCACAATAACCAAGAAGTGCGAGTAGAACGCGCGTTATGATATGTGATATGTAGATATAGATAGTGGTATATATCCAAGAAGTAATTTTGATCTATCCAACAGGAGATCTTAGGGATTCCATCCATAACAATCATGATATAACCCTCCCCAATGCCGCCGCCCAATATTAATCCGTAGGTATATAAACATGTACAGGGCATGGTACAGACGACCTCCCAGTCATAAACAGGCCGAGTCGTTTCGATGAACATTTACAATATGTTCAGTCCCATCCCATCTCAAATGTTCATGTAATCCGTCCCATTCCGTGTCCCATCATATCATACCTCCCATCATGACAAAACCCAAAGGCGTAAACAGTAAAGAGAGTCCAAACAGCATGTGTTGTGGACACTTCTATACAGTGTAGCGGAAGAAGGTGGCATTGTCACCCTTCTCGCGCTCCGCAATCCTCTCCTCCTCGGTGTACTCGCTTGGGGGCTTGTACTCGCGGTCACGGCGAGCGTTCTCGCGCCTGAGGTAGATGGTCATGAAGGCGGACAGGACGAAAGCCATGACCTGGCAGCCGAGAAGGGTGCCAAAGCCCTGGTAGTAGTGGGGCGACTGCTTGGAGAGGAAGAGATAGGAGGAGACGACACCGCCCAGGTTGCCGAAACCGACGTGCATGGCGATACCGACACCGCGCTTGAGCGAGCCACCAATGTTGTTACCGTTCCATGCCACACCCTGGGGAACGTTGGGGTAGATACCCGAAGCGAGGAAGAAGCAGCCGAGGTAGCGGACACCGGGGGTCCTGGTAGCCATCAACATGATCAAGCCAATGATACTGCTCAGTTGTTAGCAAGTGTTCCAAAGATGGATAGAAGAAAATACGTACGCCATGCCCATGAAGAACATCATGAAGATACCACGCTGCTTGAGCCTATCGGCAAACCAACCGGCGCTAATGCAGAAGAGGCAGGCTACCACATAAGGCGGGACGGTCAAGAGCTGACTCTGCTCGGGGGTGAAGGTACCGATGCTGTTGATGATGGTGGGGACGAAGAGCGAGTATGAGTACAAGCCAGTGTAAACGCCAATGGTGATGAACATGTGGACCCAGATCTTCCAGTCCTTGAGGGCAGCAAAGAAGTACTTGATGTCGAACTCATCGGCAAGGGAAGAACGATCGCGCTTCAGACGGGCGGCGATCTCCTCGCGCTCCTCAGGCTCGAGGAACTTGGCAGTCTGAGGGTAGTCGTACATGGCGAAGAAGGCAATGATGGCTGGAAGGAATCATCAGAAAACGAACCGTGTGAAAAGGCAAGACGGGTGAACATACCAATAACGAAAGTCAGGATACCCTCCAAGATGAAGAGCCAGCGCCATCCATTGTAGCCACCGACACCCTTCATCTCCAGAATACCACGAGCCAGAAGACCACCGAAAGCACCGGCCGCGGTAGCAGCGGAGAAGAAAATGGCCATGCGGAAACCGCACTCGTGACGCCTGTACCACATTGTGATGCTTGAATACTGTAAGTAACTGTGATTTAACGACAAGCAGAAAGGAGATACGTACTAGTAGGTGATACCAGGGAAGAGACCTCCCTCAGCAAGACCCAAGCAAGACCGCACTGCCATCAAGCCATGGTAATTCGTGACAACGCCCATAAGGGTGCAGCAGATACCCCACGCAACCATGATGGATGGGATCCAGATGGATGGCCGGAAGCGCTTCATGGCCATGTTGGAGGGGACCTCAGCGAGGACGTAGAAGGGGAAGAAGATACCAAGCGCATCGTTGTACTTGAGGCCGGTGAGCTTCAAGTCCTGCGTAAGGCGCTCGAGCTTGGCATTGCCAATATTTGTACGGTCGAGGAAGGATAGAAGGTATAGCAAGGCGAGAAAGGGGAGCAGCCTGCTGTCTATTTTGCGGAGCAGCTTCTTGGTCCTTTGCTCATCCCAGCCGGCACTTTCCAGAGCGACATTCTCAATGTACTCGGGAAGGGGAGCCTTCTCATTGTTGACGCTGGAGCTTTCAGTCGTCGGGACGTCCCGTACGGGTGCGTCGTGGTCGGCAGCCATTGTGGCGACTGTGAGGATGTTCGATCTACCTATGAGGTGCGGATAGGTATCGAAGTGGAGGACGGCTGGGTTGGTACGAAGGTGCCGGTCGTCTGGGGATAACTGAATGGAACGGGCCGCCGATTCCCTGGAGAGAAGAAAGAGAACACACACAGAAAGGGGTCATGATGAGGATGCTCCGGTCCTTATAGTCGGGGAAGACAAACTTGAGGCTGGAGGTCTTTCATCCGCAGGGCCGGACACCCAAGCACATGGAAAATAGGAACAAGAGTACGAGGGTACCTTGTAAGTGGTTGAAGGGGGGTACAGCAGAACACCATGTCGTGGCTAATGGGTGCTACACTAAGCAGTACATGTACATGGTAAGCAAGCGTGGACAAGACATTGCTCCAGTACCAGTGAGGTAGGGTATGCGAATGCTGGATGATCCTGGCAGCATGGCTTCCCCATGGTTTCCTGTAGCTTGGCCCAGGCCCCCTGGCTCCTTTTCATGTCAACATGGGAGGTTTCAGTCCACTGAGACCAGCAGGCGGAGCATGTCTCTGATCTGAGGGAACACAAGCGTTACCGTACTCTGGCAACTCTTTTGATTCCCTAGAAAACAGAGGAGAGGAGCGTACAGATTACCGTCACTTACACCGACTCCTGACCAAGGCCCGTTTTGCCGAGAAGTGTCGTCGGCAGCGTTCCGGAAGCGGTTCCGTACACTATCCAACATGCGTGCTCGCCAAACACGGGTAAGTAATCACTTTGGGAGTGTGGAAAAAAAAGGGGTGAGAAGCGGGACGTTGGTTGAGGCCGAATATGCGTGTTTGCCAGAGACCGGGCAACTTTCCCAGGTACCGTACTCTGTTCTGATAAGCCAGCTGCACTTGTGTTTGGCTCACTGATCCCATCCGGATGGAATGGTCCATCTTTCCACCACGAAGCGAACGGTATGGGGTATTATTGTTATAATATCCAGCCATTTAAGGATGATGTAAGACGGCCTCTGAGTGGTGGACAGTCTGACCGGGGGGTATGGTACTACCTTTGGCTGGGCCTCACTACTGTAGGGGGGAAAAGAGACTTGTTGACCTGGGGAAGGTGGAAAGGTCAACGACAACAGCAGGGGATTTGCGACTCCTTTGGTTGGACTGGTCCCGCCAACCTAATTCCAGCCGCGGCCGCCAAGACGGCTTGGCTGCAGGGTTCGAGTAGCATCGAGGAGCCTTCGTCTTGCTCGTTAGACTCGTTTTAACTCGTTTATTCTTGGGCTTGCGCTCGGACTAACCTTAAGTGCACTTCTGCTTGCAGCTGGACCGCATCTAGACCACCCCCTCTTGCAGCCATCAACCACCACCCATTCCAGCAATTGCGGCCGTCGTCCCTTGTTCCTCGACCGGCATATCGACCCTTTTGGTGAGGCACAGTCCACTTGCAACTTGGGCTCGGCGAAACACCAACAACCTGGATCTGATATTTCGTCCGTCTTGGCTGATATACTATTGGACGGGATCGAAGCCGTGGTGAACGAAGAGGGCAGGAGGGAAACTCTGGACATGTCCTGTTGTCCCTCTCTCTCACTCGCTGCCTTCCTCCCACCCAGACCCCCCTCCTGCAGAGTGGAAATGGGCCTGGCATCCCACGATGTCCCGCGATACCCAGAACGCCCAGTACGCCCAAATCTCGAGGAATCTTCCCCCGCACGTGGCGACGACCACAAACGGCGTTCCGGAAGGAGGCTTCGGGCGGAAGGATATATGGGAGGTATTTGGGAATGCATGATGCACCACGTCTTTGTCGAAACGAGTTTGAAGCTTGATTTTCGCGAGACTGAAGGCGGGCACCTTGTGGGAGGTGGTGTCAACCTGAGTGCCAGTGGTGCTTGGGGGTATGTGAATCTGACCATGGTCGTGCGTCCGCCGACGGCGTAGACAAAGGGTTGTGCGGGATCGGCAGTCATGACAGTGAGGATAGTGAAAGTTGAAAGCAGCGGCAGGCAGGTCGTCGTCGTGAATGGGTCGTCTATGCTTGGCTTTTTTGCGCAAACGGAAGCGCCAGTTGAAGCCTCTCGAGGCATTGTTGGGGAAATGCATGCAGGCGGCGGCGGGTTTCCATTGCTGAGGCTCTCCCAATCTCCCAGATCGCAGGCAAACGACAAGGAACAACGAGGCCAGCACTCAAGCACCCGACCAGGCCAACATTGTTTCCTTTGTGCTGGGCCTATAGAGCCTAGTTAGCACTTCGTATCGTACCCCGGGTCAAGGGAATTTGCTGAATCGATGTTCCGAAAATGGCAACATCCACGACCTGGCTGGGGCCCTGCTTGGGTTGGGTATCACGATGTCGATTGACGACCTGGCAGGCATCGAAAAGAGAAAAGGGCCATCAACCCGAATTGGGCAAAGCAGGAGAACGCCACTTTGTCGTACGAAGGATGAGCTGAACGAAAAGCGACGAAAAATGAGAAGTCACTCACTGTCCGCCAAGTGGTTTGCTTGGAACGAAAGAAATTGAAGACGCCGCTCAAAGCAGTCAGATGGGCGTTGATGGATTGATTGTTGCCATGATGGTTGGATTGGGTCAATGGAGTGCAGTCTGCGCGGGGAGGGCACAAGTGCAGATTGGAAAATCCGAGCATCCAATGCATGAAACTTCAACGCAGACCGCCCGCTGCTGTCAGCCGGCAAGTGGAAGTCAGGGCTGGAAGACGCGGAGGTGAGGAAAGAGAGACCAGACATCAGCACCCGTGGTTGACCAAAGCCTTTGAAAATTACGCCGTCACAATTTCATCAAGGTAAGGAAGGAACGAAAGATTGATGTCGCTCAGACCCATATTTTGGTTTTGTGTGACCTTTCACGGATCACGGCGGGCGGACGCACCTGCCCTGTCTGTGAATTTGAGAATTTGCAAAGTGGCACTGATGGATACCTCTTTCCTAGGTTGATATCCCGTTGATATGATATCCAATCTCCCACATTTTGTCCAAACCCCAACCTGGAGATTGTGAGATAGTTCTTGCCATTATCAAGATACGAGTAAAACACGTACATACAAGCAACTTTGATCACCATGTAATTATCCAATATGGGCAATATGGGGAGAGAAGGCGTCGGCAGTTCTGAAAGCCACACAAAAAGACACAAACTGATTGTGTGTAGTGTATGGAACTTGTGCAAACGACAAGGGGACACTCAAGAGCCTCCATCGGTCATGTGAACAATCAATCAATAGTCGAAGACAGCTCAGCTGGAAAAGAAGAGTCGACGTTCATTCAAAGTTACCCCGGATTTGCATCGCTGGTGGAAACAGTGGAAACCCCCCCCCCCCCCCGGATTCTCCTCTTTTTACAGTGGACCTCAGGCCCATCACCATCCCCGCACCGGCGCCCAATGCCCTTGGCCATTTCGCTTCTCGACTCCACCAATCGCAACGCCTCCAGTTTCAATGCTTCTCTGCTTCTATCCCATCTCGCTCCGCTTTCCTCCATCTTCTCCACGCTTTTCTTGAGGCATTCGTGGCCTTCAGGCAAGTCAAGCTTCTCACCAAAAGACCCAAACATGCCAAGCTTCGTCCATCACCTCCATTCTCCTCCTCTTGCTCTCCATCTCGACTCCATCTCGACTCCATCTCGACTCCATCTGATTCCATCGACGACTCTATTTTCCCCAGATCATCGTCTCGAGCTGATTCTCTAGTTCTGCCCTAGCCACGTCTAGATCAATCCATGATCAGGTATCCATCGGCCATTCATCTCTCTCCGCACTCTGATCCAACTCTCCAACTGAACTCCAACCAGCCAAGCTTCTTGTTCATGCTTCGCTCCAACGGAGGCTTTTCCTCTTTTCGTTCAGACAACACTAGAATCGCCTTGGCTTCCACAGGCAAGTCTTACAATTACACCCCCCTCGGCACCTGGATTACGTGGATTACTTGGGAACTTCAAAAAGACCTGGGAACTGTGAAAGCCAAGAGCTTGAAAACCCCCACATCCCGCCAAGATGCCACCAATGTCACCACGACCTCAGACTTACCGCGTACTACCAGCAGGCACTTCGTTGACCGTTGCTCCTCGGCGGCGGTGACCCCTTTTACAGAGGTGACTTGTTGGAGACTTCTCTCCCCGCCATCTCCCAAGATATCAAACACGTCAGCATTATTCCTCCAAGCCGCTTCTCAACCACATTGCAGCAGGCTTGGCCTACGATGGGATCCAGTTATGATAGCGAGATCAATCCGCCCGTCCGAAGTGATGGCTTCATCATGGCACGATACCCAACGGAGCCAGCCCAAATGAGTTTGCATTGCACATCGGTGTGTATACCTTGCCACGCTGAGTCCACGGTCTTTTAGCGGGACCCGGCAGTCCAGTGAATGGCATGAAAGGATGGATGCAGCCATGTGGATCGCCGGGTTGTCTTTCTCTTTCAAGCTCCCAAGCCCGGTTTCCCCAGATTCCATAAGTTCCCCCCCAGGCTCACCAGGCTATCATCACATTGACGATCGGAGCAGCCGAGTTCACATGATCACATCTCGGCAATCTTGCCACGAGGCATCTGCGAACCGCCGCAAGGATCTGGGTCGATGGCGCATCGTATCGAACTGGAAGACATACGCTATCATCTCATCCTGTTCCTTCTGCTGTCAACCTGGCATGACAGCATGGCACCCATCTTGGGGGGTTTTGACAGGATTGACAGGGGCGGGGTTGCGGATAACGACCGCGAGTGCGGCATCGAGTTTTGACGGTTTGCCGAAACAGATTGTCAAACCCATCAAACAGCTGTCGTCGAACTGAGACCGCATTGTGCTTCTGCTCCTGCCCTTTGGTTTGGTCATGACGTATCCGGACGGGCCGTGGCATAATGGCATGTTGCAGATCTCTGCCATTCCTCTTTTCTGATCGAGTGAAAACCGCTTTTCGCAGACAAGCGATAGGTTGCCTTTGGATTAACTCACCCAGGTGAGGCGCTGAGGTGATACCTCTTGACTCGGACCCTTCAAGACAGCTTACTTGTCTGTCCTATCTGGTCAAGTACAAAACACAAAAGGGTTCGTTCCAATTTCGATTTGTTGGGACGGCAGGCTTGCTCAAGATGTTTCGGACCATCCCGTCTCACGCAGCAATCAGCCCTTCGTGCAACACATGAAACGAGGTGTTCAAGACCAGCATGTCCATCTTGTCGCTGTCGGTCTTGGAAAGCGATGCTTGGGACCGAGATCTTTACTCCGAATAACCGGGCATCCAACCGGTTGCATACTTGACAGATGTCAGATATGATGATCGAGTTTCTGTACGGAGCCGAGAAGAGGTCGATGGCGGGCTTGCAGAACATTTGGATGGTCGGTCCAGTCGTACCTGTGTTCCATCTAAGCTGTTGCCCGTTCTCGCTGCCCGTCAAAAAATCCCAACCACTAGGGGGGGTAATACCTGTGTTGCAACGAATACCACACTTGAATCCATGACTCTGACAATCGACATGGTACCTCTAGACATGGGAAAGGCCGCACAAGAAACACAAGAAACACAACAAGGGATCTGCGTGGCCGCGACCCGTACGAAAAGTTGTCGTTGCCTGTGCTACATAACACCAAGGCCCAAGGGTACAGAGCACTCACTCACCAAACCCTGGCGGCCGGATATCCTTCCAAGGCTTCCAGGACTCTGGATAAATGAAGTAGCGCCTTGCGTCTCGCAGATGGTGTTACAGCCTACTACTAGGCTAGGGTCGAGCGTTTTCTAGCCTGCCTTCCATGCCTCACTTCAGACCCGAGAGGAAGGATAGGCCAGCGGCACCAGCGTTCTGTCGCATCTGTCGCATAAAGTGGTTGCAATGAGCAGTCCGCCAGTCCGACTGATGAACCAATGCCAGGCGGGCGCCGAGTATTTTACCACGTGTGTGGTTACGATGGTTAATTGCTTGCGCGTCTGCGCCGCTCCATCGATGAATCTTACCATTGCACCATCGGTTACATATAAGCCTAAAACCGAAAACGCAGTCCCGTTAGAATTCTCTTTCCATGTTGCGTCCAGAAAAAAAAAACACACACACACACACGGGAACAGACGCTTATTCCATCCCGATTGATAGTACAGGGGTTGGAGGAGCAGAGGGGGTCTGTGGAAGGACTGGAAGGACTGGAAGCGATGCTCGAAGGAACCTTGAAAAGAATCGACAGAACAGAACAGAACAGACAGACGGACAGCAAATGAGTGCCACTGCATACCGTTGATGCGTTGATTTCGGAACGGAGATCCCGACGAGACGACACAACAGAATCGAGAATTCTGCTAGTCTGCTGTCCACACGTCCAGTATTCTAATTGCCTGGCAGTCATTGACACGGGCAACATTTTGAGAAATCAAGGTCGTAGACCCGAGAGCGATAATGCTGTTGTCAGATGTATCAGCATTGATTAAAAGGTTTCAGTTCACGGCAAGGAAGAGAGGTCGAGCACGGTTTACCATCCAACGGGAAGCCTCTGTGAAAGTTCTTCGTTCGTCTCTGCTAATAGTTTTTGGGGAAAATGGTGGTACTCAGCAAGCCGTTCGGCGGTTGATAACTTGGCACCAGCAAGCACGGTTCTGCAGAAACCAAACAGCATAAACTTATTGTCAGACACAAAGTGATCACACAGCAGGAACCTCACTGCAACCATTTTTCATGCCAACCATGCCAGAGAAGCTTTTTACACTTGCAGAGAACAATGTGAGCCAAGACAGACGGGAGTCGCAGGTTTGACGGGTTGCGAGAGTGAGGTGTTCGTGGGGTTTCCCGGTTCGAGGGTTTTGCCAAGTCGATGAGGGTCTGTCTGTCCGTGTCGCTTGCGACTTTGTTGTCCAAGTGCCGGGTGGTAGAGACATGATGCTCGTAATAGGACCAACGAAATATTCAACCGTTTGAATCATGGGGTTTGAACTGTTTGCTTGTCCGACATGCCTTTTGCTTTCTTGGTATGTCTCTCCGTCTTCCATCACTCGTTATCTCTTATCGTTTATCACTTATACAGATAACGCACCGCAGCTGCTCGGCAGCTGTCTTGAGCTGCCAGGGCTGCCAGGGACCGCCAAGGCCAGAACCTCAACGAACGCCAAGCCCTGTTCACCGCCCGTGGGGTCAGGCTGGCCCAGCGGCGAACTGCCCCACCATTTCCGCCCGCCAATCGTCCCCGATGCCCATCCACGCGGCGGTCCTGAACTAGGTTGCCAAGCAAGCAACTGCAGTGGGAAGTGTCCGTTTCAATCCACCAAGAGCACCGAGTGGCCACCGACCGATGACCGAAGCCCACCACTGACTGAGCAACAACCGCCAACTGCAACTGCAACTGGAAAGATTAACAACCTCTGACCAGACACAAACAACGTCACCGAATACAACGACGGCGACGGCGACGGCGACGATTCCCTAGAAACAACACAACCTTTATACCCCTAGTCGACTCGGCTTCATAGCCGCCACATAATCAACAGCCATGGTTTTACAAGATCTAGGTCGCCGCATCAATGCGGCCGTCAGCGACCTAACACGCGCCCCCAATCTCGACGAGAAGGTGAGTTTGAATATCCGGTTGTCTGGCCTTCCCCAGCCTGCTTCTGGTCGATGCCGTTACTCCCTCTGGTTGACTATCGCTGACCATGCTCTTCCCAGGCCTTCGATGGCATGCTCAAGGAGATCTGCTCTGCCCTCCTCGAAGCCGATGTCAACGTCCGTCTCGTCGGTCAACTGCGCAAATCGATCAAGTCCACAGTCAACTTCAAAGAACTACCACCGGCCGTCAACAAGAAGCGATTGATCCAGAAAGCCGTCTTCGATGAACTCGTCCGTCTCGTCGACCCCCATGCCGAGCCCTTCAAGCCAAAGAAGGGCAAGTCCAACGTCATCATGTTTGTCGGTCTCCAGGGTGCCGGTAAGACGACAACATGTACAAAGCTTGCCAGGCACTACCAGTCGCGCGGTTTCCGCGTCGGTCTCGTCTGCGCCGATACCTTCCGTGCCGGTGCCTTCGACCAGCTCAAGCAGAACGCGACCAAGGCCAAGATCCCCTACTACGGCAGTTTGACCGAGACAGATCCCGTAGTGGTGGCGCGCGATGGTGTGGAAAAGTTCAAGAAGGAGAGGTTCGAGATTATCATCGTGGATACGTCGGGTCGCCACAGGCAAGAAGAGTCGCTCTTCCAGGAAATGATGGACATTCAGACGGCAGTCAAGCCAGACGAGACCATCATGGTGCTCGATGCTTCCATCGGTCAACAAGCCGAAGCCCAAGCAAAGGCCTTCAAGGAGGCTGCCGACTTTGGTGCCATCATCATCACCAAGACCGACGGCCACGCCGCTGGTGGTGGTGCCATTTCGGCCGTCGCCGCCACACACACCCCCATCGTCTTCATCGGTACCGGTGAGCACATGCTCGACCTGGAGCGCTTCGTACCCAACAACTTCATCAGCAAGCTCCTCGGCATGGGCGACATGGCCGGCCTCGTTGAGCACGTCCAGTCCCTCAAGCTCGACCAGAAGGACACCATCAAGCACATCACCGAGGGCATCTTCACCATCCGCGACCTGCGCGACCAGCTGCAGAACATCATGAAGATGGGCCCCCTCAGCAAGATGGCCGGCATGATCCCGGGAATGAGCAGCATGATGCAGAACATGGACGACGAGGAAGGCTCGCTCAAGCTCAAGCGCATGATCTACATCTGCGACAGCATGACCGACAAGGAACTCGACAGCGACGGCAAGATCTTCATTGAGCAACCGACGCGTATGACGCGTGTTGCCAAGGGATCCGGCACCACGGTCAGAGAGGTTGAGGACCTGCTTACCCAGCAGCGCATGATGGCTGGTATGGCCAAGAAGATGGGCGGTAACATGAAGAACATGCAGCGCGCCCAGAGCGCCATGGGAGGTGGTAACAAGGCGCAACAGCTGGCTGCCATGCAGAAGCGTCTGCAGAGCATGGGCGGCGGTAACCAAGATATGGGCGGCTTGATGAAGATGCTTGGCGGCATGGGCGGCGGTGGTGGTATGGGCGGTATGGATATGAATGCAATGATGAAACAGATGAGCGGGTTGATGGGAGGTGGTGGTGGACGTGGGAGGAGGTAAAAGGTAAAAAAAAAGGGGTGTGTCGGTCGACTTTTAATGGGTTTTTTCTTGCTAATGTGTCGTCGTTCGTCGATTTCGTTCAATTCTTTTTATGGCAGCAGCAGCAGCAGCAAAAGAGCTTGCATCATTCTGGCGTCTGGGGTACTACTGGAACAACACACAACAAATAACGGGAACTTGACTTGGCTTGGGACGCGGATTGGATGATTATAGCAAGCCACGCTGGGACTTTTTTCGATACTACCTACAACCTACCTTAATCATGACCATGACAGCGAGACCCGGAGATTGAGCTTCACGATGCTTCTATGGGATGTTCAATGTGAACTTTGGTGAGATGAGGAGGGCGAGTGAGGGCCAGGGGTCTTTGAACCCCGTGAACGCCTCACGCCTCACCCGCGTGGCACTTGTTTCGGCGAGCCTGCTATCTTTCCAAAGTTCATGCTTCTTTTTTTACGCTTTTACATTCTTTCATTTCCTTTTGTTAAGCTTTTGTTTGTTTCGGAAACCGTCTATCCTTCTTGTTGCGGGTGGTTTGCTTATGTCTGATTAGTTCATAGGCCTGGCGGTCAAATGAATCCTTGCATGGCAAGTGCCAAACATTCCTTTATACAATACAAAATCAAGCGGCAGAGTTCGGAATGGAGAGACACGAAACACATGGCTGGTTTTACCGTGGTCAGTGTGGGATCAGGCGCACTTATTATGTGCAACTGGACATCCACCGGAAGCGTTTACGCAGGAGGAGTGGTTTCTTGGGTTGATGTCAGATACCCAGGCGTCGTCGTTGGAGTGGTTGGTCTCGAGCCAAGAGAGGCTTGATTGTACCAGATGGCCAGCAAGATTCCCTTACCCTTCCTCCGACCGATATTAACAAAATACAGACTCCAGGCACCGGGAATGGGGCCGGTCGGCACTGGGGGTCCAGAACCATGTCTTTTAGCACTGGTTGAATGCTGTACCGTCAATGCTTTGTTCGCCTCTCCTCATTCGAGGAATTCAGGGGCACGGCTCGATGTGGTCAAACATCGTGAAAAGGGAGTCCACAGCTCTGGTCATTTTCCTTTTTCAGCCCCTAAATGAACCGGGCGAATTGTTGCGGTACGATACCTCAAGTTTGAGGATAGCAGTTCCTTTTACCCCCGAGCCTAATCTTTCCTGTTTCCTCTCTCCTCTCTTCTTTCCTTCCCTCCATTTCGCACGAAAACTTGCACGGGCCCTCCCCGCGATGACTCGATCATCTACATCAACAATGACTGTCTACCGCAACGCCAACAGCCCATATGCCAACAGCAACCCACAGATAGCGGCACCAACAACCCCGCAGTCTCTGCCTTCACCGACAACAACTCAGAGATAACCCATGACTTTATCAAAAGGTCCAGGTCCGCCACCATCATATCAGCCGCCACCCAGTCTCTCGCGCCCTGTGACGCCGTCTCCGCCATCCTCCCGGCCGTACCAGAGTCCCACTCCCCGGAGCTAGAACCAGCTAAAACCTCGACGCTCGAACATGACGGCCTCCAACCCCTTTCGACGTATTACATACCCCACGAATACGTCGACGTCAACGGAGTGAGAAATAAGGGTTTCGCACCGGTGGCGCCTGGTGGGATGGGCCAGAGTCTTCTTAAACTATCACCAGCAGATGGGCAGAGGATATGCTGCGGCTTAAAACGTTCGATGTTCGTGTTGTTCCTCGTCTTGCTGGCAATAACGATAGGTTTAGGCGTCGGACTAGGAGCCGGTTTAGGACTGGGGTTGAAGCAATCTTCCAGCAAAAATTCAACAGGAGGATTGACAGCGGCCTGTCCCGCCTCACCAACAAGCACGTCCACATCCTCCGACAACGCCAACAACTCCAACTCCCCAACATCCACCTCCTCCTCCTCCTCCTCCTCCTCCTCTTCCTCCTCTTCAGCCCCATCCGCCTCCTCCACCGGCGGCAGCGCCGTAGCCGGCATCGACCACCTCACCTGCCCCTCCTTCAACGGCACCATCATCTCCTCTCCTCTCTCCCCTTCTTCCTCCGCCGGCTCCTCTTCTTCCTCTTCTTCTTCTTCTGGGTCCAGATCCCCGCCCAACAAGAAATACATGATCCTCTGCGACACCAACCAAGCGCCCGCACCGTCGAAGCAAGATCTGGCTTCGTTCAACGCAAGAACGCTGGAGGAGTGTTTCGCCGTTTGCGACTCGATGAATTTCTTTATGAAGAGAGAGGATGTGAGTGCGGTGTGGAATTATGCGTATGAGAAGGGGCCGGGGAGGGGCGGGTGTTGGTGTGTGGGGAAAAGGGAGGGGGTTGATACGAGTGGTGGACGGGGGAAGGAGTTGCAGGAGAATAAGGGGGTTAGTGTGGTGGTGGTGGGGGTAGATGAGGCTGGGGTTGTTTTGTAGTGAATGGGAGGGGAGGGGAGGGGAGGGGAGGGGAGAGAGATTGAGGGAGATTGAGGGAGATCAAGGTAGATGGAGAGAGATGGAGAGAGATGGACGGATATGATGAAGTGGGAAGGGGGAAGTGAGAGGGAGGAGAACGTGAGATACCTACCCCCTGAGGAAAAGTGCCCGAAGCCTCGAGGGACTTGACTCCCAGTTTCGTTCGTTAAGTCAGGTTCAAGCGCCCATGCATCTATTCCATCATCTAGTTCTTTAACAACTATCCCAGAAATCCCAATTCTAATGCTCTAATATGCCTTCTAATATCCAAAGCGCCTGCAAACCACTGTTCTTTTATCTCACACTCCAAACTCATCAACCACATTACCTCCTTAGTACCCGCGAGTCGATCCCAACCCAGACAGACTCATCCCACAACGTCTCCCCCCCTTCACCAGACACCACCCCTCACAACCCAGCAACAGCCTCCCTCCAAGTCTTCGCCACCGCTCCCCAATACTGCTCCGGATGCTGCCTCATATGCCCCACGTGCAGCGTCCCCTCAAACATGTCCATATCAACCTCATACCCCCTCTGCCTCGCCTGCGCCGCATGCTTCTCGATATCCTTCCAGTAAATAATATCGTCCTCCTTCGAGTACACATACAACCTCCTCGCTCCCCTTTCACACAGCTCCTCGTTGTTCACCGCCGCGACACTGTAAGCCGCCGCGCTCGACGCGCCAATCAACCACCCGAACCCGTGCAGCGCAGCCAGGAACATGCAAGCCAGCGCTTGCGTGACCATGAACGGCAGGCCGGGCAAGTACCCGGAGGCGGAGGCGCCGAGCGCCATCGCGCGCGACCATGGCCCGGCGTTTTGAAGGAAGGAAGTGCTGCCGGGAGTGGAATCGAGGACGAGCATGTGATGGGGGAAGGCCTCCTCGCCGAAACGCTGGCGGTAGGCGTTTAAAGTGGCGGCGAAGTACATGCCGCCCGTGTTGGACATGACCTGGACCAGGATCCTGTTGTTGTTGGTGGGCGAAGCCTCGACCACGGATTTGCGGTCGGCGGCAGACTCCAGAGAACCGAAGCAAGCGGAGATGACGGGGGTCATGGCTTTGGAGCGGGCTTCGAGGGTTTGGTACAGGCAGCGCAGGATGGGGCAGAGGACCACGACGAACTTGGCGGCTGGGAAGAGGGCGCGGTACCCGTCGACGTATTTGGCTAGGTGTTTGGGCCGGGCGTCGCCCCAGCCGTAGAGGAGGATGGTGGTTGGGTCTGATGAGGGGGACAACAAGGGCATGGAGGAGGAGGCGGGAGCTTCTTGGAGGTAGATTTGCTCGGTTAGGCGCTTGAAGCCGGGGCCGAGGGGGGATTGTTTCTCGTTGTGGGTGACGACGGCGTCGACGATTACTTGTTCGGACATGGTGGTTGTGATGTGTGTGTGTGTTGAACTTGTCGATGAAGCTGTGTTCAGGTTGCAAGTGAGATGGTCAGTGATGAAGAGTGAAGAAGAAGCCTGATAAAGGAGAGCAGATGTCGTTATGAAATTGAAGTCAATGAGTGAAAAACGGGTCCCCCTTCACTCATCAGGGACCAGCATCGGAACTTTCATATCTTCATTTTCTCGACTTTTTCGTCGTCGGTCCCCGGGGGGGTCGTTAATCCAGCGTTCATAACAAAACAAAATAAAACTAGATTTTGACCGTTTTGTTTTATTTTATATAAAAATGACGGTTTTGTTTTAGATTCTAAGCTGTTTTGGTTTGTTTTGTATGTTTTGCCGCCGGAAATAACAATTTTTCCAGCTCCGAAATACAGGTAATTACACACTTCCATCAGCCGTATCGGCACCATTACACGTCAAAAACGCAGGGTAAAATACACAGAAAACAATAAGCAATAAGACAAGGCAAATTAAAGTATAATAGATGTTATGGGATATTCTAGGCAGGTGCCTGAATGCTCCACTCTATCTTAGCATATACTTTATTGAGCGTAGGACTACTCTGTCAAATAGGATATATTATATAAGAGTGCTCTCCCTATCAACCTCCGTCAAGGTTAACTAGATTATCAATTTATATTATACTAACTTAACGTTTATTTTATTTATATTTTATAAAGTCGTATATGAAATCCTAAATTAAAGTTCTCGATAATATTTGTCTTCAATTTCCTTTAATAAGACTATCGTTAACCGTTACGTACTATTATTCTATTTAATAACCAATTATTTACTTTATTATTCTTTATTAATATTATTTATAAAATATCGCTTCGCGTAATAAGTAGTACCTATAATTCAATTTCAAACCGACTTCATTATTCTTTATATCCTTTTTCGTCTCTTCCTTTTGTAAAGGGGGAAATTCTATTTTTATTTCGTTAATTTTAATAATAATTTATTAGATTTATTACTACTTATTTAGCTTACCCTCTTAAACTAAGCACCTACCTATCCCGCTCAATTTTAAACCCCCTTTCTTTATAATTCTTTTATTATCTCTTTAAATTTTAAAGTTAACTTTTATGATATTAAACGGTAATGCTACTTCCTAAATAGCTTTTAACTTCTAAGATAATAATTTAATACGTAAAATATATTAAATCTTCAAATTTATAATAATCTAATCTTAACTTTATTACGAAGAACATTTTACCTTTCCGGCTACCAAACTTTTTATTAAAGCCGCTAAACTTCGCCTTAATACGGAAACTAGCCAAATCGAAGTTTAAGAAGATTAGGCTAGCGAAATAAATAATAATATTTATAATAAAGGCTAAATCGTCGATATTAACGCGGCCAATAGAGAGATTTAATAAATTCTACGTAAATATTGCAACCTTATCACTAAATACCTTTTTAAAGAACGTTAAATTTAACCTTTTTTTAAGGAAGGAAATAGCGCTTCCGCTTAATTTAAGAAAAAGTATTAATAATAATATATAACTAAGCTAAAAACTAATAATAATAAAGCTATTTAATATAAAATTAATAACGATACTATTAAAATAGCTGCTAATATATTAATTACCCCTAGTATTAACGGCTCCGTCGCTTCTAACTTTCAATCTTCATTTAACAACTTTTCTAATACCATTAAAATAATTAACGCGCTGCCTTTCGTAAATCCTATTTAAATCCCTATTCTTCCTTCTTTATTACTAATTCTAATAAAATAATTTTTTTACCCTAATTAATCCCTTCGTCCGCTCTCGCCTACCGAATCTATTATTTCCCGTACTAATTCAATTATCGAAATCGCTACCAATCTTACCTAATGATTTACAATTAATCCTACTACTAAATACTTCGCTAATATAATGTAAACGGAAGTTCTAATTAAATTTATCCAAAAGTAATAATAAGAACGAACTCTCGTATAATTAGAACCGATTATAGCTGATAAATTCCTAATTCATTTTATTAATCCGGTCCAAAATACCTTATGCTTTACCCAAAATAATATAGAGCCCGGTTTTAACTTATCCGCTCCAGCTGCTACTTAATATAATCCTATTTAATAAACTGATAATTCTATTATTAATCGGCCTTAACGTACTATAAGCCTTATTAATATCACTAGTAATATTATTATAATTAATACTAGGGATCCGCGTAATACTACTAACTTTATTAATTATATAAAAAACCTTCGGATTAATTACGCTAACTATTTACCCCTATTTAATAATATTTATTAATAATCTACTTATTTTCGCTATAACGGATTACTTTTATTAACTGGCCATTATATTTTTACTTATATTATAAGGATAATTCCCAAAGAATTTACCGAATAGGAAAAAGCCTCCGCTAACGAAGAAAAAACTAAATATTAATTCTATTAAACCGAATAGCGAACCTATCTAATTAAATAAACCCGCCAAACTCATTAAATTTAAAAATAGGGTATACCCTCTTCCGTCCAACCAATTCCCATTTAAACTCCTCTCATTCAAACTCCTTCTATTTAAATTCATTTATTACATTTAGCCTTTCGCTAGGATAGTCAACCTATAAATATTCAATAACCTTCAATACGCTTCGCTAACGCTTTTTCTAATACCTCCTAATAATCGGTTAAAGCTAATAGCAATAGTACTATAACGGATAATACTACTCTCCACGAAATATTCGAGGATTTATACAACTACCTTTTCGTACTTCACGATAACCAATTGCTATTGGTTCTCTATAATAAAGTCGATCGTACCGGCGTTTAAATTAACCTCGACCAAACAATTTTACAAGCTTTAAATAATAACCTATACTATCTTACATCGGTTATATTATCGGCGCCGATCCTCGAAAACTTTATTCCTAGCGGTGGATTTAGCGATTAGTAAGACTAGGTTACTACCCTATTTGGCTACTTTAATACTCGTATATAGCTTTCGTATTCGGAAAAAAACATTCGAACTTATCCTGACCATTCCCATCGCTTATAATAACGCTATCTTTTACCGTAGTTAAATAGAAAAAATCCGTTACGCCTTATATATAGTTCAATACTATATTAATTCTAATAGTATTATTTTAAAGCTTATTAACCCTATCGGCTGCCTTATTACTCTTAACGGCTACAACTTTTCGGAGATTTAAGAATAACGCGAACTAAATTTCTTAATTAATAACGCTATCCCTATCTTACGCCCGACTCCTATTATAATTATCCCGACCGTCCTATTTAATATATTTAATACTAAAGCGACGCTTAAAAAGGCGCGTAAAATTACCTTACATATAATCTAATTGCGTAGTAATATTAGTACTTATAATAAGGCTAAAGGTAAAGGTAAATCCTACCCCTCCTTCGAAAATACAATTAGCATATTCAATAAGGATTACTAGGATTTAAATATCGAAATTAACTACAATTTGTACGCGGATATCGAAAAGGTTATTAAAGTATATATAATAAATATTGATAATTATAGGAAGGAATATATAAATATATATAATTTTTATAGAATAAATTAGTATAGAATATTAAAAGCGCTCTCAATAATACTTTAAAGAAGCGTAGTAATAACGACCCCGCCGTTATTAATAAAATCCTATTAAAAACTATTTTATTAATTATTTAGTACTTTAATTACAATATTAATTTACCTAAATAAACAAATAATTTATTAAATCGCCTAAACTACTTATATTATACTTAAATAGCCCTAGCTAAATCTATTATAAATAAATTTCCTATACGTAAAATTAAAGTCGTTCGTAAAATAAAAGTCGTTAAGGAAGTCCCAGTTACCGCTAGAATAAACAACCTAAATACTATTCCTAATATTATTATTACCGCCTTCGAAAAGTATAAGCGTCTCTTAGAGAATTTTAACCTCTACTAAAGAGAAATAATAGAGTAGTTAAAAGTAGAACTATTAAATATACGCTGAAAACTTATCAAACTCTAAAAATTTTATATCCGCCGCACTCTTCTATCGGCGTTAACTATACACGCACATTATATTAATATTATACCTAATATTATTCCTCTTCGTAGTATTCGTTTTAATAATATATTACTTCGTAATATACTTAATTTTATTAATACATTAAATAAATTTAGTATATTAACTACCTACTCTACTAATTATTTTAATACTATATGAATTATTCGCTCTCTACGTCCTAATAGTATTATAGAGGATTAGAGGTAGGATAATTCTCCGCTTAATCGTAAACACACATATTAGAATCCTCCTAAATTTAATAAGAATAATTATAAGGATAAAGACAATTTTAATACTTATTCGTCTCGTCGCGGCTATTATTAGGGATCTCCTTTATCCTCGTCATTTACGCTAATTACTTACTATTATTCGGTTTTCGTATTAGAATATCTTAAATATTAGAAATAGTTTTCGGTAGTCAAAGGTTATATAGGATATAAAAAGGATGGTTTATTAATAGCAAAGAAAGCGATAATTCTTATTTTATATTTTATACTTAATAATAATCTTAATAGATAGTAAATACTCTTCTCCTTTCGTTGAGGGGGAAATATTATAGGATATTCTAAGTAGGTACTTAAATACCCTACTCTATCTTAATATATATTCTATTAAACGTATAATTACTCTATTAAAAAGGATATATTATATAAAAATACTCTCCCTATTAATTTCCATTAAAGTTAATTAGATTATCAAATTATATTATATCAACCTAATATTTATTTTACTTATACTTTGTAAAATCGTATGCGAAGTCCTAGGTTGAGGCTCTCGATAGTACTTATCTTCAACTTCCTTTAATAAGACTATCGTCAACTGTTACGTACTATTACTCTGTTCAACAACTAATTACTCACTCTATCATTCTATATTAGCATTACTTGTAAAGCATCGCTTCGCGTAATAATAGAAATAACTAATAGAAGATATTACAATCGAATAACCTCCTCCTTGATACTACCAAATACCCCAGCAACCGTTGTAAACGTTACCAACGGGCCGTCGGGAGCAGAAATTTCACAGCGCGTTTGAAGATTCAACACTAGGTCCCTATCATACGATAGACCGGTTTGAACAGCTAAAATCTACCCCTTCTAATGTCCAGAACCTTAGGTCAAATCTTTTATATATTTTGACAAAACCGTACCAGCCGTTTTATCTACATTCACACCCCTTTTATCTTGTTTTGTTTTGTTTTCTTTTATTTTGTTTTACGTATTTTGTTTTGTTATGAACGCTGCGTTAATCCCCGGTCCAGTTTGGGGAGAATTTGATGCCAAGATCAGCGATCCAGCCCGTGGGAGCGGAGCCGGTGTCTCCACGTCAACCGGGACATTGTCTGTTTTGGGAATCGTTCAGCCCTTTGCCGTTGCGTCTGTCTATCTGTCACAGGTGTTTATCTCTGCTCTTCGTTTCATCATCGGTCCACGGAGTTTGAGCCGCCGCGATGACGACGTTGCAGTCTTGAAGTTTGTCGAGTTTCCCAACAGCCAAGAATTGATAAGCTTTCGCCTCGGAACATCTTGCAAAATTTGGCATGTGATTCTGTGCCGGGGGAGAGAGCTTGAGGTCATCGTCGGGTTGAAGAAGTCATTATCGACTTTTTGATATGTCAACGGGAACAAGAGCCGAGGCAAGTGGGGGGGGAGCCGCTGAACGGACAGCACAAAGGTGGACAGTGCTCACCAGAGTTGCTCTTCATAGGACCAAGATTCCCAAAAACTAATAACGAACGGGCAATTGGTCTAGGGGTATGATTTTCGCTTCGCATTCCATAGATGCGCCTTTGTGAAAGGTCACCGGTTCGAATCCGGTATTGTCCAATCTTTTTGCACTTTCCTGTACCTTCCTCACCACGGGTATCGTTATCCTTTTCTCATCTCTTTTTTTTTTTCCCTTGCAACTTTCCTACTGCAATTGAAGTCTCGAGGATGTATGTATGATTGATGATGAACATCGCGGAACTCGAACTCAAATCCTACCATTCTTCCAACGCAGTTGAGTTGGGATGTGAATAATCGGAAAGCTGCCGACCTGGCAACCGAGGCATGTGGGGATTGGGGTAAACTGTTCCCCGGACATCTACACCATCACCGTATAAGTGCTACACGCGACTTTCCAGAACTCTTGTATCTCTCCAAGATTCCATATCAAGTAGTCTGGAAAAATAGTATCAAAAATGGCATCAGACAAACCATCAACGGAGATCATCCCCTTCGCCAAGGCGACCGAGATCAAGAGGCTCGATGCCAACACCTACCAAGCCAACTTGGTAGACTCGTTCTGCATCGGCGCCGGTAAGTATCACTTCATCTTCACACATCAAACAGGCCAAACATCACTAACAACTTCACAGTCCCCAACGGCGGCTACGTAGCATCATGCATCCTCCAAGCCGCCATCCTCCACGGCTCCTCCCGCTCCTCTTCCAACCCCCAACCGCACGTCATGAACGCTCACTTCGAGTACCTCAACCGCACCGAAGTCGGGCCAGCAACCATCATCATCGAGGACATCAAGCCCGGTCGCCAACTAACCACTCTGCACGCCACTTTGTACCAAGGCGGCGGCGGTGACACCACCTCTGACCTCCAAACCACCCGCGGCAAAAAAAGACGAGTAACCGCCTACCTGGTAATGACCAACCTCTCCTCCCTCGCCGGAATCACACTGGACACACAATTCACCCTCATCCCCCCCCCTCTCTTACCCCCCGGAGCAGGCAACCCGGACTTCTCCCTCCTCAAACAAAACAAAGACCCGCACTGGACCGCCATCCCTCTACCCCCAGGATTCAGCTACATCCGCGCCCTACAAAACACAAAATTCTACATCCCCCGCGCCGGACAAGTGCGCAAATCCATCATCGACCTGTGGATTTGTTTGTCGTCGGGAGAAAAGGTTACGAATGCGACGCTGGGCTATGTGAGTGATTGCTGGCCGTATGTCGTTGAGGCTTACCGGCCCCGGACGGAGGAGGAGAGTAAAATGGAGGGGGCGCAGCCGTTTAGACATGATGCAAGGCATTGGTATCCTACTGTTGTTATGAATGTTGAGCAGAAGAAGGCGGCTCCTGAGGGCGGCCCCGATGGGGATGGGGGGTGGGAGTGGTTGAGGATGAGGGTTAGTAGTAAGGAGGTTAGGGGCGGGAGGTTTGATTTGGAGGTTTTGATGATGGATGAAAAGGGGGAGTTGGTGGTGGTTAGTAATCATGTGGGATTGGTGTTGGGAAGTGAGAGGAATTTGGCGGGGAGGGGGAAGGGGGGGATGAAGGGGCAGAGTAGGATTTGATGTGGTGGTGACGATGGTGGTGATGATGGGATGGTGTTGTGAATGAGTGTGCGAAGGAAGACACAGGTTTCGAGGTTATCTGGGTAGACGTTGATGCTCGGAGAGGGACTAGAGATAGAGCAGCATGCGTCTTGATCCGTACATGCGATGTCGACGGCGCTTCTCGGAGTCGAGGGTCCCTGGAAGTCCGGCACGGAATCTGAACGGCATCTTTGTCAGACTGGCGATGTAAACAAATCACATCTCATCCATTGTCTGCGCTGACATTAGCTGAACTGATCCATCAAAGATAACAAGAAACTCATCAATAACACAGCTCATATCGCCCTGCCACTGGACTAGCATTTCAATGCGATATCAAGCTGATGTCTTTGATCCTTTCTTCTGCTCCACTTGAGGCCAGCCAGCCCCCCTTTCCCGCCTTGCGCAGGACCACAGGTTGCTGGTAACAACGTGTTCCCATCTTCTCCTCCAACAACAAGCCATTGTTTACATTTGTCAGATCCTCGATCCTGCAAAACTGAGGCCTCACAAACGCACTCTTGCCAGTCATGGGTAGTGGAACGAGCTCCTATAGCTGTCAGCACACAGCCTGCACAGATATCTTGCATGTGGTATGTATGTGGATGTGGATGTGGATGTCGTGAACCCAGCAATGTCAGGGCAATATCGATGCCCAGAAAAGATAGGCCAAGCATGGCTTGTCCTTTCCTTTCGGACTTTTCAAGGCACCAGCAAGGCACCACCAACCAGCAAGGGGAATCCGTCTTTTCTCGATGATGCATGTTGCACCTGCATATGGCCTTGAATGCGGTCGTCAATGTTGCACATTGGCTGTTTCTTTTCTGCAGGAAACCTCCAATCTAACAAAGCTTGTGAGACCGTCTCGCTCGCTGAAGCATTCAGGGACGGAAGCAACGGAACTAAACAAGTGCCCTTTGTGATGAATGGACCCCTCGCAGAGATACGAGAGCCTATGAGTGAGCAGAAACGACTCTGAATATGTGAATCGTCAAGTGTGATTTGTGATGGCGACGGTCCATTCTTCGCATTATCCCACGAAATCCACAATTTCCAACCATTCGCGCCCGCCTTACGTAGTCACTGGCAGTAGCTCTCACGAGAGGCCAGAAATATCGGCCAGTAAACAAATCTAAACTTGTGGAAAACTCCAGTGCAGTCCAGTCGTGATGGGAGAAAAGAAGGGGCTATGCAGGATCGCAAGGTCTAGAAACTGCAGATCGTTCAAATCGTCAGCCAACCTCATCGCCATCGAGGCCAGCCATCAACAGTGGTCCTATTCGTATCATTTTGCATGCCATTGTCTACCGATGTTGCCGCCGTCCCCTCTTTCTTGCGTGCCTGTTTCTCGACGTCGCGAATCGCCCCCTCGAGGACCTTGATGAGGACCCCTTTTTGCGTCCTTTTGTTTGTCGATGGAGTGGTTCCACGTGCTCCATCTCGATATGCGAGCTGCTTTGCTTTGCGCCTCCTTTGGGAGACCCGGTAGGCGGTCTTGATCTGGGCCACGCACGCTAATCGACCCCTCCACATCTTTTGATGGCTTGCCCCAGTTTGAAGGAGGGCAAATAGCCAATAGGGGCTGTTGCCGGCTGGGGGTCGGCACCCACAGAGACCAATGAGGCCTTGCCGCGGACACGACTGTGACGATGGTAAGGCAGCACCACCACCACTGATCACAACCGAGCCGGCGGTTGTTTTGAAAGTCCAGTCCTTTTTCTTTTTTGGGGACCCAGCGGTGCCTAGCAAGTGCTAGCGTAGTGGCCAGCCACTTCCAGCCTGACGAGTGACAGGTGCTCTTTTGAGGCCCAGAGAATTCGAGGCGCTGCAACGACTGCACACAAGGCGATGGTGATTGAACCGCTCCTGAGGCAGAATGACTCGTAGAAAAGGTGTCTTGAAGCGGTCTCGTCGACTGCGGCTTCTGCTGCAGCCCTTGCCCAAAACAGCCCTAGCCTCCTGATGGGAACCCACCCGCCAGGCTGGCACTGGACGACACTGAAGGCTCACGCCAGCGATGCCGAGCAAATCGCTAGCTGTGAGGCCGCATCCACGTCAGTTGCTGACCTGTTAGAACCTTGTCATGTTGGGCATCTCGTTTAGGCGCCGTACCGTTGGCCACTGTTGGTGTACAATCTTTGATGGCGCGGGCGGTAACCCGTTCCATTGGCCGGTCGGAATATTCTGTAGCCAACAGGTACTCCCGGCCCACCTTGTCCGTTGAAACTCCACGATGGCCCGATTCGGGATGAGGGGCTGTGATGTGGATTGGGAGCTGTGGCTTTTTGGGCATGAAGAGAGCTGCTGAGAGCTGGGAGAGACTGGACTCGGGTTTTGATAAATAGATCGACAGTCCCAGGTTCTTGTTGAACTTGATATCCCAAACACAACAAGCAACGTGACATAGCTTCTCCAACCTAAACATCAACTCCACCACATCAACTACCTACCCTTCCATCACCAAACACAACCATCCAACATGTCTGCCCAGCGTGAGAGCGTCGTAAGTACCACTGAGGATCTTATTCCTTCGAAGCTTGGCTGTCTCTAACATATGCCGCCCATAACAGCAAACCTACTGGGTCAACGGCTCGACCGAGATCTCCAAGAGGGCTTCCGAGCTCGCCTCCGCCTCCGCCATTACCGGCGAGCAGATCTTCGAGGCCAAGGGCAACGCTGGCGAGTTCGTCGTCCAGGGTGCCCAGAGCGTCCAGTTCTGGACCGGGTCCGTGAGAAGCGGCGAGAACTATATCGGCGATACCAAGGGCGACGGTGTCGTCTTCCTCAAGGAGGGCATCCAGATGGTTGTCAAGGGCGGCAAGGTCCTCGGACCTCTCCCTGCCGGTACCCTGCACAGATGTAATACACCCCCTCGTTCTACACAACGCCCACCACACCTTCCCCGGTCGTCGTCGGCCAACAACGACAATTCCAGTTATCGGCTCGCTTCCGGTTCTGGGAGAGGAGTTGGCGGTAGCGGCGGTCATGGTCCTCATCATGATGCTGTTGTTGGCTCGGGCGTCCGCTACGTTTCGGGGACAAGCCATGCTCATGTCACCGCTCCTCCTGCATTGCCTCGTTCGGCCTCCTACCATCCTCATGTCCCGCCTACTAACACCTTTCCCAGCGTGAGCGTGTCCCGCGAGTGCCGTCAGTGCCTAGAGCAGCAGCAGCAGCAGCAGCAACGTCGTGAGAGCCATCCCCGCGATAGCCACCACCACCACGGGCATGCAACCTATCAACCTGCCCCTCACGCAACATACCAGAAGCGTCATGACGGCGACACCTTCAGCACTGCGCCCACTTATCTCTCCAGCGGGCCCGCCGAGCGCGACTGGTTGGATGACGACAGCATAGCGCCCGGAGACAGCATCAGCAACGTTGGCGTGTACCCCAACGGGTATCCTGTTTCCAGTCGTCGTTGAAGAGGTCTTTTGTTATTGTTGTTGTTTGCTTGCTGCTGTTATAGAAGCGACGGCGTGGGAGCGATCTCGTTTTCTTTTTCTGTTATTATACACCTCGTGCATTTCTTTTCTTTATACTTGGGTTTACGAAACATGGTCACTCTTCTCTCCGCTAGAGCAGCTACAGAGAGTGCAATCATACAAAGAGCAATTGGGAGGGTTAGCATTTGGATTTTTACAGCAGATACACACACCTGATAGAGACGCAATTTGATTCCCTCCAAATCATTGTCTGGTTCCATTGTTGACTGTTATTGGCATGCTGAATGGTAGCGTTGGTGTGGTGCTGCTTGTCGTCTTCAGCCAACGACATCTCGGCCAAGACGGACGGCGGTGAGGGGTTGACTTGACTGACGAAAGCTCCCCGCCAAAGAGGAGGGGTTGAGCACTTCACTTGAGCTGAGCTGCTGCTTATCTTATCACTTATCGATTGCTGCTTATCGGTTATCGGAGCTTCACTCTCCTGTGCTTTGATGTCATTCTACGGCTGCCCTCTCATTGGTCACATTCCAAACAGCGGGTGCCCAGTTTGCCAAGATTTTGGGCCCATTAACTCCGCGTGGAGTGGTGGGGCATGATGTCACTGGTGGAGTGCGTCCCCTGAAAGATTTAAACGGTAATTACAGGCTCTTCCTTGTTGACATGTCAATCTCCCGGCCGACTCTGACATCAAAACATTGGTCTGGACCGTCATAAGGACGAGTTAACATCAAGAAACAACCCATGAATGCAACTCTTGGCGGGTGCCGTGCTGCCGAGTTCCGTCTTAGCTTCCCTTCTTCCTCAGCCTGTGACAACATCCCATCCAGGTCCAGTCAAGGGACTCATGTTCTTCTATGGCCGAATCACTTCACTACCGTCGAATTCACGGACCTTATTCCGTAGCGTCAAATGTGAAACGGGAAGCTTTCTTCTAGCTTCATGCCTAAAACGACGTACCACCGTGCCTGCCCAGGTACGGGCTCACAACCAGCCAGCATACCCAAGCGGTAGTGACAGGGCACAGTCCATTCACCCTCGCTTGCTGTTACACAGATGTGAAACGAGTTCAGCCTTTTGGCCATTCACTGGCACACAACCATCCCATCTTTCATGATGACGTCAAACCCACAAACACAACGTGCAGGTTCTTTGGTAAAATTGGTCTTCCGTTTGTTGTTATAAACCATCACAGCTCACCACTCAATCACTTCTGACTTTTCTGAACCATCCAACACTTTGTACACCCAACAACTGTACAACTTGAACTGGAACAAGGGCTGCCACTACAGGCCAGTCTCAACCATCCATCAAGTGGTGATATCTTCTGAGAATACATCACCAAGCACACAACAAGATGGGCTTCTTCAACCGTCAACCCCGCGCCGCGGATGGCACTGCACCGCCTGTTGCTGACGGCCATCACACTACTCACAAGGAGCGCAAAGCTCGTCGCCATGGCTTCGAGCCCTACACCATGACCACCAGGCCTACTTTCGGCCAGTGGCTCAAGTACACTTGGCTCGACATTCTCACCATGGCCGTCCTCGGTGCCATCGGTCTCGGCGTAAGTTTTCACTTCCTTGTTTAGAAAAACAATAACAGCCATTAACATTATGTCACAAACAGGTCTACTACGCCCACCCGGCCCCCTCCCGCTCCTTCGCCGTCCAGTTCTCCGACGGCGAAGTCGTCTACCCGCAATTCGCCTACCCTATGCGCAAGGAAATCATTCCCATCTGGCTCGCCGCCTTCCTAGCCGCCACGATCCCCATCTTCATCATCCTGTGCATGCAGATCCGCATCCGCTCCTTCTGGGACGTCAACAACGGCATTTTGGGTCTTCTGTACTCGCTCATCACCGCCGCCGTCTTCCAGGTCTTCATCAAGTGGCTCATCGGCGGCTTGCGCCCTCACTTCCTGACCGTCTGCAAGCCCGACATCTCGCGCGCTACCAACACCCAGATTGCCCAGCAGGGTTACTCGGAGCAGGGTTTTGCGCAGATTTACTACACCAAGGAGATCTGCACTGGAGACCAGAAAGAGATTGATGATTCCTTGGAGTCTATGCCGTCTGGCCACTCCACCGCTGCTTTTGCTGGCTTCATCTTCCTCGCTCTTTATCTGAACGCCAAGCTGAAGGTGTTCTCCAACTACCACCCCGCTCTCTGGAAGCTCGCGGCCGTCTACGCTCCCGTGCTCGGCGCGTGCTTGATCGCCGGCGCCTTGACCATCGATGAGTTCCACCACTGGTACGATGTCCTTGCTGGCGCGGTTATTGGTACCATCATGGCTTTCAGCGCTTACCGCATGGTGTATGCGAGCATCTGGGATTGGAGGTACAACCATATCCCCCTCAACAGGTCAAACCCCTTCCCCTTTGGCAGCCGCGACGATATGGAGCTGGGCGGCGCTACTTTCACCAGGCAGGTTGGCTGGGGCACTAGCGGTGCTGGCTTCCCGTTTGATGACAAGCATGGTTATGCTGGTGGTGGATATGGTGGCCATGGTGGTTATGGTGGTGGATCGGCGATTAACCGCAAGCCGGTTGCTGGTAACGGCGTTGGAGGGCCATTCCATAACAATGGCGTGAGGGGTGAGCAGATGGTTTAAGGAGTTCCCAGGTGGACTCGAAAGAAGAGGTGTTATGAGAAGAGGAGAGGTGTTGAGAGGCTCAATGAAGGAATAAAGGAAGGCGGTGGAAGTTGCCCTTTGCTCATGCCTGGTCATGGGCGGGTATAATTACGAAGTACGAGTACCCTACGACCTATGATGTTTTCTTAGCCTGTCGTTCACATTGTTCCTGGCGTTCTGGTGTTGGCTAGGAATGACCTGATGAGCGACGAGAGTTCGAATACCCCCATCTTGTTTCAGCATACCTAATTATTACACTGAACATGATCCAATTCTTCGAACATTTTTATTGCTATTCTGTGCTGTGACTTTGTTCCTGGTCGAATACTTGATTATCTACACCACAGTCTTCGTAGGTCCTCTCCCTTAAACTTGACTTAGACTTGCCTCAAAACGTACTACGGATTTCAACCCATCCCCTTGAATGGGGATAAACTCAACCAGCCGAGGGCTGACACGACGTTACATATCTGCATTGGAGGAATCTCAAAATCGAGGGGAAACGATGTGCTGCCCCTGGTCACACAAGACAATAGAACGTTCAACATCTGTCCCTCCCGCCCTTGGCATGACAAGACAGTGCCACCCAAGACTTCCAAAAGGGTCAACAGTCATGCAAAACATCTTTTCCGTTTGAGAACCTCCTCCGAAAGCGGGCGTAAGCCGGAAAAACACTCTTCCGATGTCCACGATATTAGGTACCTAGGTAATAAAGTACCTTGTGGGGATATGGGAGTTAAGGAGGGAGATTTTGGAGGTCCAATAGACTTGGAGGATAGAAGAGAAGGTTAACGGTAAAACCATGTGGAGGTTTAGCTTGCATGGCGCGAGATCTGAACAGCTGTCAATGTTTACCTAGGCTGTCGGCGTTCAAAACCAGAGGCATTCAGACATGCAATACTCCACTCCAGTTCTGACTGATCTCGTCTGTAGTGCTATTCCATGACGAGTCCTGCAAAGAAACCGAAGATCTGCAAAATTGAGCAGTTCCTGACAAAGACAACTACAAGAATAGCAACGAGACATGGTGTCACAGAAAATGTCAGATGTGAAGAAATGGTTGATGTTACCCGAAGCAGCAATGGAATGTTCGGAATTCCTTTGGAGTTGCACATGGCATATGACTCGTCTCATACCATGAGGTAGTCGTGGGTTTCGTGCCCCTTGTGCTTGTCTCTTGTCGTCATTTGGCAAACGGTGAGTGTCATACAGATCTTGCTGAAGATGTCAAGATGCATCGTCGTAACCATCATTTCCCCGGATTTGACTTAATGCAGCGCGGCCTGTAACGTAGTGTCAGCCTCAGCCCTAAGTTCATTGCTTATACCCATCTGAGCGCAACTGACAGCGGAATATGTCAGGAACAGATTGAAAAGGAACACAGCCTCAGCCACCTGACAGCTGGCAATGACCAATAGCCTGCAACACCCTACGGTCAGTTCAACACGGCAAGCCACCAACTCCTCGGACAACGACTTACAGTGATGCGGTTGACTGACTTGCTTATTTTCTCGATGTGGTTTCGTTTTGAAACTCCGTCTTGGCTTCGACCAAAAAGGAAATCCAAAGGAACGTGAATTACGTTTCCTCATCCAAGTCAGTGGAAGAAAAGGGCGGGAGAGTAAGCATAGCCTAATTCAGCCGATTAACTCCGTTCCACAACAGAAGCTGCTACTCCATGAACTCAAATGGACAACCATACTGTTGCTTTTGGTGTGAATGAATCAGTATTCATTCGAGTATAAAGGATGCCGGAGTCCCAAAGGTCGATCACATCATCTCATCAACATCAACCACAAGAACTCGAAGGCACAACCAGCTCTCATAGCTAGACCTCTCAACAACAACCAACAGTCAACAAGGTAAGACCCGATACGATAAACACGAGTTGGAAGGCCTAATTACTCACAGTTTCCAGACATAGCCCACGCAAGCCAACACCAAAATGCTCTTCAAGGCTACTCTCCTTTCCCTCCTTGCCGCCGCTTCGGCTACTGCCATCCCCAGGGCTTCCTCCACCGAGATTAATAAATGCCTGCCCAACCAAATCTCCATCGGCGGCACATGCTTCAACGCTGGCTCCTTCTGCGGCGGTTTCGCCGCGATCCCTTGCGCCGACAAGAACCAGATCTGCGTTGACGACCCGCGCGATGATTGCGACCCGAAGAATGGAGGTTCCGACTGCGGCGGCGTCTGCATCAAGCCGCTGTTCTGCGGTGGATTCGCGGGTATTCGGTGCCCCAAGGGATTGACCTGTGTGGATGATCCCAGGGATGACTGCGATCCTGAGAATGGTGGTGCGGACTGCGGTGGCATCTGCGTCGCTTGAAGAATGAAAGAACGAAGATGCTGAAGAAGATAGGAAGATTATGGAAAGAGGGGTCAGATGATGACGTTTGGGGATGTCAGGGGGCTGGCAAAGGGCGAGAAAGGAGCTATGGGGGTATAGACTTGAAGGATGAAGGATTGAGATTGAGAGACGGGGGGGCGGTGGCGACGAAGGATAGATGAGCCACACAGTACACTCGCTTGGTCTTTTATTTCGACCTACAACGCAAAAGAAGGGAGATAGCCATTGTTCTCAGATCATGAATCATGAACCTCGCGGTCCTCTATCAACCGATATTTCTCCGACGGTCGAATTGGTCGCAGAAATCTGTGTGGTATTCGTGGCCTTTGTGCTATAGCTTGCTGGGAATGAAGGAGCCGCCTGACTGCTCACCATCCAGGAACAGGTTGACCAAGAACGAAAAGTGATCGGCGTACTGGTACAAAAAGCCGTGTCCAGAGTCGGGGTATAGGTGCAGATACGCGTTCGGTAGCATTCTGTACATCAGGTAGCTGTTCTCCGTTGGCAAGAGCAAGTCTTGAGACCCTGTTCAAATTGGGCATTAGCATCATAACCCACAATTACTCCCACCCCCCAGCGGAAAACTCACCATTGGCAATCAGCACCGGGATCTTCAACCCCTTCAGCTTCTTCAGACTACCCTCTCCCATGAACTTGGCAAAAGCAATGCCCATTCTCTTCGACCCTTCCTTCCCCAAATGCCCCATCATCTCCTTCCTAGCCCCGGCAATCCTCTTCCAACTCTTGTCCCCCTCCGCCCAGCTCTTTTCCGAACACCGACCGAAGAACCCATTCATAAACGCCTCTTTCTGCTGCTCGACCGTCTGCGCTGCCGCTAGCCTCTGGAAAGCTTCCAGCTCCTGACCCTTAAACCTTTTGACTCCCGGCCCATCACTAGGTGTAGTCCCCGCCAACACTAACCTCCTAACCTTCACTTTTCCTCCCGAATACTCTTCCGCAATCAGCGCCACCATCTGGGCATTGCATCCACCCATGGAGTACCCAAAGACGTCCACTTGAGGAATCCTCAGAGCGATGAGCAAGTCGACAACGCTTTGTGCCCACTCAGTGATAGAAAGAGGAACGGAGCCCTCGGAGCGGCCGACGCCGGGGATGTCTGTGAGGATGACCGGACGTTGGGCGGCGAGAGGGTCGATTAGGGCCGGGTCCCATTGGTCCATGGTGCCACGGAAGCCCATGAGCATGACTAGGGGGGTCTTGCCGGAGGAGGAAGGCGAAGGGCCGAGGAGGCGGTACGACATGCGATGGCCATCCTTGCCGACGGGCATGAAAAGGTCTTGGGCGGTTGAGAAGGTGGCCATCTTTTTGATCGAGACCGGGTATTGGAGAGAAGCTTTACGAAACAAGCTGTATCGGCGGTATCTGGTGGCACTTGAGAAGGGATGGGTCGAGTAAGTGAACCCCTGGCTGTCCTGAGAACGACAGCCGAACCCCGCGTCGTGATGCCGTCGAATGCCGTGTTGCCAAGTACCGAGGATGTTAGCGGGGACCCTAACCCTGGATTTTCGTTCCGTCAATCATGATGCGATTGATCATGGAGAAGGTGTTCAGATGTTCAATCGTTGCTGAACTTCAGGTAGGGGTATACAGTGTTTCGGATAAGAGAAGAGTCCTCGGAAGGACGAAATCCCATTGTTGCTGCTCATCTTGGTGTTTTGACACCAATCTTGGGTCCAGGAATTGTGGCTCGTTTGGCAGGTGAATAGTAGCGAGTGTGAGTGGTGGGACGCTGGAGAGATGGAAAGCAGAAGAAGCCCAGATTACGAGACCTCTATCGGATAAGATAGACAAGTTGAAGTGTTCTATCGAGGAAGGAGCTCAATTGCAGAGTTTTCCTTTTTGGTCTTGGAGTTGGCAAGAACGTCCAAACTCTGGAAATCTTGTGAGACGCGGGGAGGGGAGCTCCAAACTCGCAGCTGGTCGATGGGTCTTGGCAGTGAATGAGATGGGATCTGATGGCGGACTAACAAAGCATCACCATATTAAGCAGAAACTACGTTAGCGTGGAGGCAGTCCGCTAACACTTTCAGTGACACCCCCGCACTACAGTTTGACCTTCTGTTTGTCCAACATCGAAGGGAACATGCCCCCCTCCCAAAACAACCGAACCTTGTCACAACAAGGAATCCCGTCATCACCACAATGTGGACATCGACAACGATCGGATTACGCGTCCAAAGTCACACGACGCGATATCAACATCAGTATGCAATGCCTTGAAATACGAAAGGACTGCGCCGCCCGTTGGCGCTTTAGCGACCAGGCTCCAGCTATCCCCCTCCCAATCGCACCACCATTGCGCTTCTCTCGCGGGGGAGTGGGACCCCGGACCGGATTTGAGTCGAGTGCGGGTGATGTCCTTGCCAAGACGCTGATTCGAGGCCGGCGACCTCGGACCGCGAGCCGACAGCCACGGCCACGGCCGAAAGTCAGCCTCAACTCCCCCGAGTTCCGATCACGACGACCCCACACCGGACGAGCTGGCAGAGATATAAAAGCTTCCACGCGTCGACATCTACTTCCTAAGCCTCCACCATCATCACAGGCCCAATATCATAAGCTTGCGACATTTGCCTTGGCACACTCAACATGACAGACGTCAAGAAGGACGAGTTCAGTTTCGACAAGGTCGATGAGGACCTGAAGGGCTTCTTCTATGCCCCACCCGGCTATACCGATCACACCTTCAGATCCTCCAGCGGCGTCGAGCTCGGAGTCCGCGTTTGGCCGGCTGAGAACGTGGTCCAGGACCCAGCCCCGATTGTGTTCTGGACCCACGGAGGCGGCTTCCTCGGCGGACACCACTTCGTCCCTCTTCCGTGGCTGAGCCCCGGCTTCCGCAAGCGAGGATACCACCTTGTTTCTCACAACTACCGTCTCGCTCCTCAAGCCGCATACGATCACCAAGTCGCCGACTCGATCGAGGCTGTCGAATGGTGCCGCAGAAACCTCCCGTCCATCTTGGGCGAGAGCAAGGTTGACGTCGACCGCTATGTCCTTGTCGGCGAATCCGCTGGTGGTACCCTGGTGACCCTGATGGGCTTGCACTTGACATCGCCTCCTCCAAGGGCTATCGTCGATGTCTACGGTCTTGTTGATATATGGTACTATGTTAACATGTCCGACCGCACACCTGAGCCATGGAAGGGAGAGTTCACCGACGAGGAACTAGAGCGCTTCATCAGCGATCGAGACCTGAACAACGTCTTGACGGATGCTTGCTGCTGGAACGAGCAGGAACTACTTCCCGAAGAAGAGCTCAGAAAGCGTTGGGCGGCCGACATCAAGTACGACAAGCGTTTCCGGATGCAGGCTGAAGCCCACCAGTGGCGCTCCGTACGGGCGTTCCCGGGTGACGTCCATAAGGCCTTCCTCCACAGCGAGCGATTCCCTGACAAGGCGGAACTGGACAAGTTTATAACGTCTATGGCTCCCCTCAAGGTTCTCCAGGAGGACAAACTGCGACCTTACCCACCAACCGCATTCCTGCATGGTAGCGCCGACGAGCCCGTTCCCATTCAGCAGAGTTATGACTTGGCCGCTACGCTCAGAAAGAGAGGCGTTCCTGTCATTGAGAGATATGAGGAGGGTGAGCCGCACGTATTTGACATAAAATACACGGTAACATTATCTAGATATGCTTACTTTCTGGCAATTACTGACAAAATAATTGTAGAGCCCTAACGTCCCGGGCTGGGAGACCACCATTCAGCCAGTTCTCGACTTTGTTGACCAGCACGTTGGGATTAAGAGACAGTAAAATGGAACCCATACGAGATACTTCCAAGTGGCAGACACGATCGGTAATCACCGAATCATACAAATCATGATCAGATACGAATGCGAGCAAAAAGTTTACCTCCACCCTTTGCATTCGCCCTCTGCATCCACCTTTTGCATCCAGTTCTGTCATAAAAAGAAGGCCGGGCTTGATACTTTCGTCGTTCTTGCAACCGTTACACTATCGTATTTAGCCGGAACCCCAAATACCGGCGCTCCCATGTGTGCTGGTAGCAGTCAAAACATGCCAAGCCGAAGCCATACTTGTTTTGATATCCATCACTTCTTGCTCGTCATGGCGGAGGAACACATGACGGCCAGGTTGTTTTCCTTTTGTCCATTCCATTATCCCTTTCTTGATCAGATCCTTTCCGCTTTGGATACTTCCAGAAGAAGTCCTTCCTTTCGGCTAGGCTAGGGTAACACTTCATCCATCTTCTTCTTCGTCTTCTGGTCCCTCGTCCTGTACAACCACGGTTGAAAGAACTCCGGACTCCGGGCTCTGTCAAGACACCGACACGTGGTTCTGCCTCATATAGGAATCCAATAAGTCTCGGTTTGTGGGGCAACGTCCCGGAGGATCTTCCAGCTCTACCTAAATCATCCAGCGCCAGCATGGTTTCTCCTCACCTCTATTCTATGTATCTGCTGCTCTCGTATAATGGGGCTTAAACCTTTCACCCAGCCGGATCAAGTCTGTGTCCATGACCACAACATTCTATCCATCCATATCTTTGCTCAATTTTCATGCTGAAAGTTCTCAGTCAAATATCATCTCATCGCGCCACCGCTCCTGTTTTTGTCGTTCTATCCACCGAATGCACCTGGCCTAGGAGGTTAACATGCCATTCGCTACAACAAATCTTGTACATGATTCCAACCTCCGGAGTCGTTCATGCTTGAAGTCACACCTCACAAACAACCTGGAAAGAAACACCATGGCTTGGTGACATCGTTTCTTGGCACGATATTCCAGACACCAGAAACCGGGGCTGGTGTGTTTTTGACTTCCACACTTCGGAACGTCTTCTGCCGACGTGAATGCTACCTACCCCAGATATTTCACGCCAACAAGCCCAATTCGATCAAAGTGTTACATCAACTTCACCCAAAATGGAGTTATCAGCTCTGGATATACCGTAGAACATGGTAGACCCTAGATGCTCGACTTCCAGTGAAGACTTCACTCCTTTGTCCCTCCTGCTCGTTCTTCCGGGACACTTCGGGGTACTTCTATGAGCAAATAGCTTGCTTCTCACGTTCAAAGAAATTTTTGGAAAGTCTATCATAAGCTTAGACGTTCGGCGGCGCAAAGTTAACCTGCCCAAACAATACATCACTTGCAACAGCCTTATCTCCAGACCACCAGATTAGACCGACTACCAGGTACCTACACCAACATGATCACACGAGTATGAAGACATCTTCTATCAGTGTCACCTACTTCTACTCGAGCTAAATGTGTCCAGCGCAATATTAGCCTAAAAACATCCGGGGACAACGCTGAAGTTGAGGCTCAGTCTACACGCATGAAGCACATGGCTTGATCCGTCCCTCCCAGTGCCCGTAACAAGGAAAGCCACGAGTGGGAGAGTAGCATGCATTGGACAATACCGGAGCTACTACACTAGTGTGGAGAAGGCAGCCATAACACCATATTCGTTGGTTGAACCAGATTTCCAAAGAACATCACGATGGCAAGCGGATCTGTGTCAGAATCCAGTATCCGGGTTAGCATCAATGAGGCTTCGCAAAGATATAGTGTCTATATATTGCCCGGTCGTCATGACCTCAACGATGCTTGATGTTCCTGGTTGATAGTCAGCAGCCTTTGTGTCTTCTCTTCTCTCATCTTTGACAATGCTGTCTCCAGCTCAGGCCTCCGCTCTTTTCGTTGCCCTCGGCGCCGTCGGCGTTACGGCCCAAACACAAAGCCTCTGGGACCAATGCGGCGGTATTGGCTGGAGTGGTGCTACTACTTGCGCCTCCGGGTCGTACTGCTTCCACCAGAATGACTGGTATTACCAGTGCATTCCTGGCACAGGACCTACAACGGCCGCTCCTGCTCAACCTACCACCACCGCTCAACCTACAACCACACTGATCAGTACCACCAAGGCGCCCACCTCTTCATCTTCGACGGCGGCTGCCCCGTCACCAACCACATCCGTCCCCTCCGGTGGTGGTGGTGGTGGTGGTGGTGGTGGTGGTGTCTGCCCTAACGTTCCAAGCAGCCTCGGCGCATCGGTCTCAACCCTTCCTGACCCCTTCACTTTCGCCGGAGGCCAAAAGGTCACCAACCGCGACGATTGGGCCTGCCGTCAAGCCGAAATCAAGGCTATTTTCGAAAAATACGAGCTCGGCACCCTCCCCGCCAAGCCCACTGTCTCCGCCAGCTACTCCGGCAGTACCCTCAGCATCACCGCCTCCACCGGCGGCAAGTCCATCTCCTTCTCCGTCACCATCAACAAGCCGTCTGGGTCTGGCCCCTTCCCGGCCATCATCAGCTACGGCTCCTACGGCGCTAGCATCCCCGTCCCCTCGGGCGTCGCCACCATCCTCTTCAACAACGACGACATCGCCGCCCAGACAGATGGCTCCTCGCGCGGCAAGGGCAAGTTCTACGACCTCCATGGTTCTTCGCACTCCGCCGGTGCCCTCACCGCCTGGGCCTGGGGCGTCTCCCGCATCATCGACGCCCTGGAACTCACCAAGTCGCAAACCAATATCGACCCGGCCCGCATCGGCGTAACGGGCTGTTCCCGCAACGGCAAGGGCGCCTTTGTGGCGGGCGCGTTCGAGCCGCGCATCGCCCTCACCTTGCCCCAAGAATCCGGCGCCGGCGGCGCTGGCTGCTGGCGCCTTGAAGCCTGGCAAAATGCCAACGGCTACAACGTGCAAGACGCCAAGGAGATCGTCGGCGAAAACGTCTGGTTCTCGCCTGCCTTCAACTCCTACGTTAACAACGTCAACCAGCTGCCCTTTGACCACCACCTCCTCGTTTCCCTCGTTGCGCCCCGCGGTCTCTACATCATGGAAAACCCCGATTTCGAGTGGTTGGGCAAGATTTCTACGTACGGATGCATGGGTGCTGCGCGGAAAAATTATCAGGCGCTGGGAGCGCTGGAGGCGTTTGGGTATAGTCAGGTGGGAGGACATAACCATTGTAGTTTTCCCAGTGCGCAGTCGAGTGAGTTGAATGCGTTTGTGAGCAAGTATTTGTTGGGTAACAGTGGGACGACTACGGAGGTTTTCAGGACGGATCAGAATCTGAACTTTAATATTGAGAGTTGGTGTCCTTGGAGTGTGCCTACTCTTTGAGGGGGTGGAGGTATGGCTGTCTTGGACTGAGTGGGAAGAAAGAGGAGTGGGAGATGACATGACGGGTAAGGGGCAAGGGGTTTGAGGTGGGAGGGAGGAATGGGAATGAGGTTTGAGGGTGCTTGTTGATGATTTCGTGAAGGGGGTCGAAATGACTTGTACATAATAGCTTGTTTGTATATCAATTGGACATACTTACTTCCATCCATGTCGAGGTTAGATTGTCCATCTTGTGGTTCTTGCAGAGGAGAAATGGTGTCGAGAAGTATCGGTGCGTCTTTCGTTTGTTGCGAGAAGCATGATCTTCTTCCACACCTCTTATCTGGTGGGACACTGCCGGATTATGTGGCATTTCCCACTCTCATGAGGTGAAGGAGGAGGCAGAGCGGATTGGAGATTAGCAGTGGACATGGGGACAGGGGCTGGAGTGGAAGTGATGGGGGAAAACACTTGGATGTCCTGATAAGGTGATGTGAAGGAGGCAAGCAAAGGTGAAATATGAATGCTCAAGGTGTTGAGTGACGGAATGGTGAGAAATGCCTGAGTGCTTACACAAGATTTGTCATGTTTTCTATTCGCCATCGGCAAGCTGAGATTGATCATCGATGCTGTTTTCAAGTTGTGGCCATGGCCTCGATCTCGCGATGTGAACTCCCGATCAAGTCATCCAGTTGGTGGTGACGGGAAGGATTTGCTGCAAAGGAAAGGGGACGTCGAAATGGCACAGAAGGGTAACTTGCCGTCACCCGTCGAAAAGGCCAAGCCAGGAGGTGGGCAAGGGGAACACCCGCGAGACACTTCGACTCGGAGATTGGGAGAGGCGAGATGTCGATGATTGATCCTGGACCTATAGAGGCTCATCCTGAGGTCGGGTCAGAGTTTCTCGTCAAGATTCAGGGCGACAGTGGCGTCCTCCCGCGCCTTCCATTTGAACAGCAGCCTGCCGCATCTCGTCCCCGCGACCCCTTTGCCGGCCGGTCATGGTTACGGGAGGTTGCCGGACAGAATCTGGCAGGAGCGGCAGGCGCGGCAGGCGCGGCAGCTTGAAGCTTCCGCTTGACGCAGGCACCCGCCCAGAGATGGGACGAATGTGCCCTTCATAAGGACAAACTTCGTGCCCTCCTTCCAACAACAACCACTCAATCTCCCATGTAGTGCAGAGGTTTAGCATACTGGGTTTTCACCTTCCACAGTGGAATCCCCAGAGACCCGGGTTCGAACCCCGGCGTGGGAACTAGCAATATTCTTTTTGTCTTTTTGTCAAAGACATTCACCTGTCTTGAAAATCCGAACTTGAGCCGCTTGCTGGTGTTGGGGCAGACGTGCCTGCCATTGTGACGAAAAGTGTCGAGTGTCAGGTTTCTGCATAAACGGAAGGTGCCGACGTCGGTCTCACAGTTCTGCACTTCCTGTGCAGGTACCAGATGCTTGTGCTCGAAGTTTTAGCGGAAGTTCTCCTGTGTCTTCTCTTCCTTTCTTTTTTCTTCCTGTCGCATCACGACCTCGCCATCACAACAGATATGGACTTCGCAAGCTCCTCTGCTCGGAATCTGCGACATCTCATCACTGAGTAGTTTCCTCTCAGCCTTTTCCACTGCCTAAGTTTACGCGTCTTGACCTCCCTGCCTCTTCTCAAGTTGGTTGCCCATTCCTTCATGGCCGGAAGCGTACCCAGCTACCACGACAACGGACACTCTGCTCCGGCAACCGGCTCCCGCTCTCAATTCCCAAGACCCAAGCAACAATACTCGCAGTCTCGGCCAAATTATACAGCCAGTCTACAGATGCCACATGCAGTTGGATCACGCCATGAGTCACGGGAGTCGGAAGGCTACGCCGCGACGGATGAGCCAGAGTGGCAGCCCGAGTCCAGACCCTGACGCTGATCGTGGCTCGCGCCTAATTCACGGTGACCAAAAAGAAAGGCCTGCCTCGCAAACAAGTCCAAGACATCTGTGTCTGACGTCCTGTCAAGGATTGCGTAACATTACACAACAGATACTAATTCGGAGCCTCTCATAGGTAGACACCCTTGGAAACACCCCTTTCCCACCCAACGATTCGCAACCGCCCTCGACCACCGTCCCTCTATTTTCCTCCTCGACCAAGCTAGACTCCTCGCCTGATGCGGTGCGGCTTCCGAGATCTGTGTTGCCGCGTGCGCAAGTGCAGAGCCAGCGTCATATGCAACTCCGGTCATTCAATCATATCCCATACCGACAAGGGCTTGCGAGTGCGGTATCTGATGTTGGGCATCGGGTCTTTAACACAGTAACACAAATAAGCCACACGTTCCTCGCTTCTAGTGGAGCAGTTCTCCTTTTCTACCATTGGCTTGTTTGTACCTTATGCGGCTTGTTCTTCACAGTATGGGCTTTCTTCAGCTTCCTCCCTCGCCGGATGATGACACAATAATGGCATCTGTATGCTCCTGAGAGGTCCCTTCGAGACAGAGACCACAGTGGGCATGGAGATGGCAAACTGTTAAGCAAGATGGCTTGCTTGCAGACGCCCGCAAACCGTGCAACAAAAGACAGTGGGCGAGAAGAACACTAGCAGAACATTCGATAACGGTCATGTTTCCCAAGGAAACAAATCAAAAGGTATGTAGGTGAGCACCCTCTTCACATCGTCATTTCGCATGTTTCTTGCCAAATCCTGTATACGTTCTCCAGTCAGCTCTCTTTTGTTACAACAAAGTGAAGGGCGGAGGCCTAAACCATGGCAGTATCGCTACAGAATTCTGGCCATCGACGTACAGCAGATATTATTCGCACACTTCCCAGAAGACTCCTCCTGGCATGCCCACGTCAAGTCTTCAGCAGGCAAAGTTGCCGACCTTGCCGCGTACCAGTGGTGCTTGGTGGCTCCCAGAAAGTCATTTATGGATTAGAATCACAAACATTGGTCTTGCAAGTTGTTCTCATAACCATCGTTGAAGGTGTGTCCCCGTCGCAATTCTGGTGCAGGATTGTCGGCTGCGTCCGTGATGGAAATGTGATTGTTTCGGAAGAGAGCACCAACAGAAGCAAAGTCCCTGATCAGCTTCTCACCGGCTGAATGGTTGTGGCGGGCAAGGGCTTCTGGAGTCGCCTATGAATCTGCACCTGCAGGGTTTCGGTGTCTTGCATGAGAGACGAGACCCAGATATCCCACTTGCCACGAGCCACCAGAAGCAGATGTATCTGCAAAGAACGAACTTCTAAGCCGGGGAATCATGATCTTTCTCTTAGCCATGACTTTGTCAAGGAGTTTCCGGTGTCTGTCTTGGGAGATCCTTGAAAAATAGGCATTGGGTTCCGTCAATGTTTCACAGCGTTTCCTTGCTTCTCCCGACATAATATCCTCCTGATTGGCACTTACTGGTCTTTCTACAAAGCATATTTTTATTGCCAGTGGCATTTTGATTGGTTTTGTGGTGCTCTTGCTAGCCGTCAGTCATCCCCCGATGCTTGGCTGGAGTGTCGATGATCTGAACCAAACAAAGTTTGCGAGTAGCGATCCTCCACACGTAGAAACAAATGCTGACTTGGATATAGAGGCGTATTCTTGAAGGTTGAACGGACGTAGAATTGGCCCTGAATATCGAGTGGACGAGTTCGTACTATGCTCCAATAACAGCACATCGGATTACCACAACCAAATCGATTAAGCGCCAGCGTGAGACTGGTGGACTTCTGCCGACTCACTCGTTCAGCTATGGCTTGTGAAACTCTCGACGATTTCCCTTACCAGAGCCGATCACCAGCAATGTCAGCTGCCGGTCTTGAGGTTTTCTGACCAACCATGCGTTAACACATCCGTGGCCCTGGAGAGCAGCCATGAAGCTGTTCACTGACCACGAGACCTCCTATGATGAAAACTATGGACTGGAAATAAGGCCAGGATGTGTTTTGAGACAACAACTGCCGCTGGTCACATCCGAAGCCGCACTGGGTATTGCCCTCCGTCGGCTTCCTCGAGATATTTCGATACCCGGTCTCGCGTGTCTGGAGGTGTGGGAACGCAAGCCACTTGGCCTTGTCTCCGCATCATAATGGTTCGAGGATGTTTCGGTTCCGCCTAACTTCATGGAATTTGCAGACCATGGACGTTGTTGGGCATCATCGGTGCGTTAGCGTACCATCCCATCGGTTTCTCGTCGAAGTTAGGGGAGGATGAGATTGGATTTAAGATGGAGCTCATCTCTGTCATTTCTGATAGATCTTACGGCCCAGAGATCTTCAACTTCAGTGACCCACGCACCTGAAACCCACGTCCTAATTTGAGGACTTCACCAGCCAAGGTTTCTATCAACTTATCAAGACTATGACTTCACACGTGAGTATACAGATCTCATATAATGCCTCGAGGAACTTGCTGACTTCTTCCAGGGCCATCACTCAAGGTCCACAACCAGCTTGCATGGCGACGGCCATGGTGAAAGACATCACAGAAGCAGCGGCAGAGAATCCAAGGGCAGCAAATCAGGATCGAAGAGAGGCACCACAGCCCCAAACTCGCAGATACCACCCGAGCCTGTGTCATTCCTGTTCGCAGTGAACGAGTTCACATTTTCCTTTGACGACAACTCTCCGACTCCTAGGGACCAGTGGAACAACATCCTGCCGCCAGTCACCGGAAATAGCTATCACAGTGCCCCCCAAGTGCCTGTCTTCCGCTACACCGACGGAAACATCACGCTTGCGGCAGATTATTCTTGGTGGAGATCAGAAGCAGGTCAGCCTGGCGGTATCTACAGACACGTATCTGGACATTACATGGGCCATGCTATGGACTACATGGTACACAGTATAGTCTCCTGCTCCGAGTCACCATGCCTGCCTTTTCTTGTCTCTGAAGGAGATGCGTCACTCTCGAACAGTTGCATGCATTTGACCGGTTGTCACTGTCACGAACTGCCAGGAGACAACGAGCTGATCCATTGGAGGCTACTGCACTTCGACCACAAAGATGGCGTTTCGCAAGCGAACGCGGGATATTACGGACATTCATATGTCGCCGGCAGAAAACCGTCCTGGATGCCAGCTTTGGTGCCCAAGGTGTTCGAAAACCCAAAGGGATCCCAAGTTCCATCGCGGGGCCTCTCCGGGGACGTGTCTATCGTGATAGGCCTGATGGCTTTCCACAGTCCTCCCGGCAATCCGAACCGAGTATTCGAGGACCAGTTGTGGTGGCAAAACACATGGCTAGGACCTCGTTCAAGACCAGCGTATTGTAAGATTGCTCACCTCTACGTTGTGTCAGTTAACTGTCCAGATACTTACAGTTGGCTTAGATACCTCTCCGGGCGTCAACCAGACCCAAGGAGGCGACCCTTCACCTAGGGGCTTTCTTATCCATGTATGCTTTGATATCGACCCAGCAACAACACCCCCTGATGATATCCCCATGGAGCGCATGAGACACAGTGATAACCTCTCACGTTTTGCAGCTGAAGAAGCGTGGGTATGGGACACAGTCAGTAGTCACTGATCGGTAATATCGGTCGGTGACTAACATGGGGCACTTTACGCATGTCATGATCTTTCTTTTCCTTCACAGGTATTGCCCTTCTCTTTCTCTTTCTTTTTTGTTTGTTGACAAGTCGGCACTGTTTGCATTTTGGTATTACCCCCGTCTGTTGCATCGACTTGTATACCTCTCGCTGGTTGAGGATGGATATTGGTCGTCTTTGTTTACTTTACCCCTGATTCCTGTATCAGCCAGTCTTGTACTCTTTCCCCACCTCTGCCGTAATGTTAGCCAGGAGTTGGGCTTGGACAAAGAGGGCTGGCCGCTCATCCAACCAATGTTCGGGGGCAGAGGGGGGAAGCCCCTTTCCATTTGGTACTAGTTTGGTATAGCTTGGGCTTCTTCATCGGACTCTGCGGGACGGAGCCTTATCATGGGGATCGGTTGCATACCATAGGTCTTCGATATTTCTTTCATCCTTTCTTTCCTTACCGTTAGCAGTCTCCTGTACACGTGGAGTCTGGAATACAGCTTGTTCCTCGCATTTCAATTTTGTCACAGTAAAGGACGAGGCAGCTATAGGAATACGACATTCCGACCGCCCATACATCCTTCCACTCACGGATGATCACCCGGGCACACTGATCTGATTCATGCACGTCCGATTCGACCTTTTCAGCCACCATTGCTTGGCCCCTGACGGGGATGTTGATGCAGAAATATTATATCGAATATTGTTGACATGGACGCCATGCGTTGTGTGGCACGTACGCCCCATCTACCTATAAATAACCGCTCTCCCATCTAGTCCATGTCGTGTCAGGCCATCATTACTATACATACGCCGCATCCTCTTCTCTACTTTTACCACTTGTCCATACAGCGGATCGAATATCCGGCATACCGCTCGGTCTCTCGTCGACCAAAAGCGTAACCGACGACGGTTCATGTGCGCATGAGGCAGCATGCCTATCCGAGACTGTGTGTGGCCGGCCACCCCCTTGTGCTTTGCCGCTGATTGTAGGTAGGTTTTCTGTTTTCGTTTGTTGTTCAAAAGCTTTTCCCATATCAAGTCGTCGTCGTCGCTCATACCGCGTCGGGCAGTCTGACGGCGATATCTCCTGACTGCGTGATGTATCGGACCCAAGGCAGGGAGGGGTATTGTAGCTGTTTAGGTTTCAAGTCAGTATGCCGTATCCAGACAAGGGGGGGAAATAGGAAATTAGGGGGAAGCTCACCTTTGGCTCCGTAATCTTCAAATACCGCACCTGAATCCCGCTCGTCGTGAAATATGGAATCTCAAACTTGACCTGAATCGGCCTCTTGGCTCCCTTCCCGGGGGCGCCGACACCACCCATACTACCACCAAATCCACCCGTCATGCCACCGCCATGCTCATCATCGCCCCTGACACTCGGCAGTCCCAGCTCCGCGCGCATCAGGAACTCCTTGCCGCCGCCAAACTGCTTGATCTTCCACACGATCGCGCTCTTCTCGGGCGCGTAGTGCACGCTCCCCACGTTCGTCCGGAACCGCGGCGTGTCGGCGTCGTCGGGCACGGGCACAATGATCTCCACGTTGTTGGCCGTCGAGCGGCGCTTGAACTGCGCGCGCGCTTTGAGCATGTACTCGATTCGGGAGCCGGAGTGGGACTCGACCACGCACTCGACCCAGATCAAGGGTTTGACTTGCGTGTTCAAGCGGTAGGACATGAGCTCGAACTCGCCGTCGGGCGGGATGAAGGAGATGGTGCGGTCGTTTTCGAAGCGCGAGAGGCGCACGCACTGGTGGAACTTGACGTCTTCCATCTCGATGGCCTTGCCGCGCGTGGTGCGCCCCGTGGTCTCGAACATGACCTTGTCGTTTAGCCCCAGGCGCAGCTCGGGCATGCCGGAGAGGTAGCACTTCATTTTGATGGCGCCCAAGATTTCGGACCGCAAAACGTTGCCGTTGGCCGAGACAAGCAGGTTGAGGGACTCGATCACGTCCAAAAAGACTTCGTTCTTGCGGTAGCGGATGCCCTCGGACCGCCACGAGACGGCGTTGGTGACGGCGATGGGCGGGCGCGCTTGGATCTCCAGCTTGTGCGACTCTTGCGTGATGTACTCCTGCAGGATCTTGGACTCGGTCGTTTGCGGGTAGCCAAAGTCCATCATCTCGTCCAGGAGCTCGTAGATGATGACGAAGTTGTCCCGGATCGATTCTTCTTCCAAAGCTTTGAAGTACTCGGTGAAGACCTCGACGATCTTGTGCAGGAAGAGCAGGATCTCGGCGGCGTTGGTGTTGCGTTTTGTGAGGGCGAGGAGGTAGAGGTTGTTGTGGCGGATGTAGAGGTACTATGTATGACGGAAGTGTTTAGTATTTGTGGCCCAAGAGGTTCTCGCAGCGTAATAACATACGTTGATACCCTCGTGGGAAAAGCATGGTGGTACGGCGGAGGACTCTTCTTCGGCTTCGCTTAATAGGATAGGGAACTTCTCGACGGCGGACATGGGAATATCACCGCGGTAGTTACGGGCAAGGAGAGTCTAAGTGAGGCGCATTGGGCGGTCAGCTTGGATGCTTTGGTTATTTCGCGACACCAGGATAGCAGTTTCCCACCTTGCCCTTGAGATCTAGGAAGAAAATGGCGGATGCCATGGTGGGCGGTCGTGTCTGTTGTCTGGGGAAATCGAGTATAGAGAGCTGTTGTCGTCGGCGTCGTGGTCGAGGAGAAGGTGTCGACGGAAACGGAGGAGGGGCACTGGAAGTACAAGGCGCAAGCTACGATTAGGGGGGGTATCGAGTAGGCGCGAGCGCCAAAGGGGGTTCGAAATCGGTTCGTCAATGGGCTATATCATGCGCCGTGGAGGTTGAATATCCCGTCGAGGAGCTGAGGGTCAAAAAGTAACAAGTATCACCGTCGTCGTTGTCAAAAGTGTAGCGCGGGCGAATTACAATATCATAGACGAGTGATCGCGACAAGTGGTGACAAGCGATGCATCCAGATCTCGAAAGCACAGGCCAAGAACACCCTGGCGGCCAGCAATGCCAGCCCAGAGCTCAGCACCAAGCACCACCCGACGGCAGCACCAGCAATGCCAAGCACTCGTGGTCAGCGAGGTTCCCCTTTGACATGGCTGAACAAGCTTCTTTTGCTCCAGCTGTCTGTCAGCTGGCCCCTAAAGTCCAGGCACATCCCCTCGGCGCAAGGCTCAACATCTGTTCCGGTGGAAGGAAGTGGGGCAGATTTTCGATTTCGGATCTGCCCCACCCGAACTTTTGTCGGTGTTTTCGAGAAAAAGGTCTGTGCTTCTCTGGCAGATCCACCCAAAATTCCCCGTTCCTCACAAGTATTTTAGAAAGCCTTTCGTCGTTTCAATCTTGCACTTTCTTCTCCTCTTTTTTTTCTCTTCAACGCGTCCTCAGACAGTGCCGAACATCGCAATGCACATCGGCTCCGGCATTCTGTCGGGGTTCGAACCGTGTCCTATGGTGATTCTGCGATTTCGCGACGCGGAGAAGAAGGGGATTTATTTCTTCAAATGGCTCCATAAGAGCTGCCCATGTACGTTGTCTTCTTTTGAAGATGACCAAGATTACTAGGGCGGCGTCAGAGGTTCCACACATTCCATCGCCGTAAAACTTTTTGGTGTTTTGACCTTTTTGACTTGATGTTGATCGTTGTGTTGCGCCAAGTGCATTTTTCTCACATCGTTCTACGTCGCCGGAGACCCGTGTCCCCTACGGAGACGGAGGTCTGTCCACGCCGGCCAAGCCGGTATCAATGATCTCGTTTTCGGGATCGGGGCAGTCATTTCTATGCTCCTTGGCCGGGAGGACGGGAGACGGATGAAAACTTGGAAGCGGACCTGTTCAGTCGGCCCGTTGCACTCGGGATGCTTCCACTCTCCGGTGATTAGTGATCGATATCACCACACACTGCCGAAAGTCAATGCCGCAGCGCCAAATTCCGCACGTGATGATCAGATGGTGGTTATGGATGGTGCTCCCATGGCGGTGGTGGTGGTCTTTTTGTTAGTCCTCGCCGTTGAGCCAGTCGACCAGCCGTGCCAGCCATGCCAACCAGCTGGACCGTTATCTGTCTCTGGACGAGACATCCCATCTCGGTAGCTTCGCCGAACCAGCGTTTTTTGTTTGCGTGATGGTGTTTGCTTTTTTTTTTCCTCCTCTAGCTCCTCGCTTGATCAGTGTGGCTGGACTCCTGGACCCTCACTTTCGGGGAGAGCGAGAAAACTTCCGCAACATGGGGAATCCAAGTGGGTGTAGAGACATGGGAAACTTGATTCGAATTTCAGGCACGATCTTCCGGAATACGGATTTATCAGCGATACTGGCCATGTCTTGAAAACCCTGAAAGGCTGCTGGTGTGCACATCAATCTCATCAGTGTGAGTCGTGGGAGTCCGTGGGAGGGATTGGGGAGCTTCGATGGGATGCAGGGAAACGGAAAGTGGCCGTGAGAGGAAATAATCGACAGTCTTTGGCCTTGCATGTGATGGTGGATCAACAGGCCATCCCTGGGACTTTGACAAAGGGCTTCCGTTTGGTGGCTTCTGTCCGTTTTACCTAACACGTGCTGGATACGATAGGCGGTTTTGCTCCTCGTCGCCTGAAGTTGCTGTCTTGGGATAAGACTTGATCAAAAGTACGGGCGGTAAGTCTGATATCATATGTCACTATATCCAAATTGCTGGGATGCAGTTGATGAGATGATGCCGATCGTACCGTCGAGACTCGTCATCATCTCACATGTTGCATCCTTCTCTTCTTCTTATGCCATGTTGTGTGTTGTCTCTTTTTCTCCCACTCCCTTTTCGCCAGCCCCGTTTCTTGGTGTTTGGTTCCAACTCGAGGCCCGAATGCTTGGACCCCGCGGCGATTGATGATTGTTGGTAGCAAATACACATGGTAGAGTAGTAGGATTGACGGCCAAGGGAGGGGCAACTGGGCAGGGGGGAAACGTTCGAAAGGGGCCAAGAGGGCGAGGGGTTCGCGATAGCAACAGAAACAGCATCAACCTCACGATGAATGGCGTCTTTGCTTTTTTACCCCAGCCCAGCAGCACCCATTAAATCCAGCGCAGAGTTGCAGCACGGCGTATGGGGTACATACAGCGTACATGTAGGTGGTATACGTAGCAGCAGCTAATGCACAGCATCAGGGCAGGTCAACGTGCACGGTTGCAATGGGCTCGCGGTGGTGTCAATCATGTCTGATACCGATCGTGGGATGGCATCGCAAGTGTGATTTGTGGGGTCTCGTTGGAGTGTTAGCAAGACGGGGATTGGATCTGAAAACAGCTGAAAGCCACGGCAGCAACCCTCAATGCGGATTGCCCAACAGCTTTTCGGGGAAGAAAACGAAACAAACCACAGCTCCGTTGGGCGTCCAGTGTGTGTCCAGTGTGAAGCTGACAAGCAGACAATCGAGCACAAGAGTGGAAGCAATGAATAATTCCAGCCTCGGAGACCGCTTGTACTTTGCGGCCGCCTGACCTTGACGTGACATTCTTTTCCGGAATGGCGGGTTTTGCGGTTAGCTGGAACAAATTGCCCTTGGCACTAGGAAGACCAAGAAACAACACCATCACGTTAGGTATCAGATATGGGAACTGGTCCCGATTTAACCTTTTCCGAGAACTTGGTAAGCCCTTCTTACACAGTCCTGTTTAACTCGGGTTATTCTAGCATAGTTAGTCATGACATGCTTTGGAATCATTACGGAGTCACTCAATGGGCTATGGAGTTGGAAGGAAAATAGGGCTTGTGATTCCCACGTGCTTTTCCGCTTTGCTGAGCTTCTTTCCAGCTCCGTTTTCCAATTTGGCTCCTCACGGTGCAAAGTCTATGCACGAGCACTTTGACACTATCAGATGCTGCCGTGTCTCTCACTGACATCTGATGTCTTTGAAGCTCACATGGAAGAAGTTGAAACAATACGCACAGTATAGTATCCATCATCCTCCGCATAGCCTAAGACGGCGCTACAAACCGTCCTGTCATCCCACCGTCTTCCACTTGACGGGGAGGTACAGCGCACAAATGTCACCGAGCGTGACTGCCATGTGAGGTGGCCCGCCCTTTTTTTGGTGAGAGTCTCCTCTCTCGTCGAATTCCTCCTTCATGTTTCTGGGCTGTTTCCATCCATTGGCTTGTTCTTTCAGTTGTCACTTTTCTTCCACCACTTTTTACTGTTCGACACCACCACCTCCTGCACTTGAAACCTCGACTGCCAGGCACCACGCCATTTTACCAACAACCCTCACCGAATTTGGATCTTGTTGTTTTCTCTAGTCTCTACTTCTTCCTTACCCATTGTTTCTCAGCATAACCTTTAGGCGACATTCTCTTCAACAGCGATAGCGATATAGGGACTTTGTCTCACGCATTGACAATTACCAAATATCCAATTCTTTTCCGGCTTCGAAGTCTGCGCTCCTCAACACAGCACACAGCACACAGCACACAGTCTTTTTCTCTGCATCTCGGCAGCTCCATCCGCCGCCGCGCTTTTGCCACCTCAAAAATCCGAACCTCCAGACAAGATCCGTACATAAGCCCGGTTGGCAGCACGTCTCTTGTTGGGCAGCACATGTCAGAAAGCACAGCAGCGATTGCCTCGACCGATTCCACTTCGACCCTGCGAAGCTGAGTCGCGACTCCGCTGAATCGCTGAATTGATATTCACAGCCAGCGCATTGTCCTCCATACGAAAATAAGTTAGCGACGAGGGAGCGGATACGAAAAGTGGAAACTCGGTGCAACGGCGAATCTCGACGTTGGAAATCGTCCTGGTGACGGCACCATCCGAGCCAGGTAGCATGGAACATCATCATCATCGTCACATGCACTCGCCGTCGTCGCAGCACCAGCACCAGCACCAGCAGTATCAGCAGCCACCGCAACACCACCAGCATTATGAATCACAACAACACCAACACCACCACCACCAGCATCCTGCACCACTCCCCAAACAGGAGCAGGCCGACAACTCCTCGGCTCCTGTCTTGTCCGCCCTGCCTGCATACCCGACGCTGCCCCCTATTTGGGACTCGACACACTCGCCCGCATTGAGCGCATCTTCGTCGTCCACAATGCAGGCCTCAGCCTCTTCGCTATCCTCGTTGCCGCCGCTTGTTCTGCATCCTCCCTCGTCAGGACTACAGCCCAACAAACCACGATCGCGCTCGCCATCGTCTAACCGTTTCCAGACCCGTGAGCCGGCACCATTATCGCTCTTCGATGGCAGCCCTACGACTGAACTTCCGCCTATTCAGCTGAACCGTGAAAGGAGCAGCTCGGATCACTCCCTCCCATCGATAGCATCGCTGAATGTTGGAGGCTCGCTCCCAACTCTGCAGCCAACGCCAACACCACAACCTCCTCCGAAGCTTGTCTGGCCGAATTCCAACCCATTGTCGGCCTACTATACTGAGAATGATAACGATGGACGTGGCGCATCTCCCCAGCAGCGTCATGACCGAAGATCGACCAGTGTCAGCCTGGATGATCCGCAGGTCATGATGGCTATCTCCGCCCTGAACGAATTGAAAACCGGTATGTGCTAGCAAGCACAAGTAGCATTTTATAAACTGCTAACAATGGGTCCCCAGATTCAGTTTCTTCTCCTCCCAACCGTAATACGCCACTGCGCGCTGGGACGACGGACCGGAACCAAGAACCCGAGCCTCTATTGTCGCTTATAACCACAGCCCACCCGATCATCGAAAGCACGGTGCAGCGATCTTCTCACCTTTATACAAAGACCAAGAACTTTTCGCCCCGTATCAGATCAGGCCTCGAATACGTCGAGGGCTCGCTAATACCTGTTGCGGACACGGTGAACAATGTCGGTCGCAGAACCGGAATCGAGTCCGGCGTCAGATGGATTCTTGGAAAGCGGACTAAGAGTTCCAGTGATACTCGTGAGAGTGGCCAGAACAAGCGGCATATGACTTCGAGGCCAATAAACGGTACAGGGGGCGAGGCACGATTTTCAGAAGCTTCCACCACCGATGGATCCCGCCGGACTTCGATTAGCACCATTGAGACGTTGCCCGCTTATGACGACCAGCGATCGCCAGCTTACTCTGAGACGGTTGAACAAAATGGTCAATCAGTCGATCCCAAGTCGGCGCTCCATTCGCAGATGGGGGGTGGACGGGTCCAGGTGACCACATCCAGTCTCAAGGAGACCATGAAGGAGGAAAGTTTACGTTCGCTCAAGTATGTGCTTGAGACGTTGAGGGATGTGACCAACACCCTCCAGCAGGGCACCAACGAGTTGAGCTCAGTACTTGATCAGTATGACAGGACGACAACCAGAAGGGATGGTGAAGACCATGTCATGACCAACGCGTCCGCGCCGGAAGAAGATCGTACGAAGCTGGTGGAGCGTATGACTCAACTTCGGAAGAGCATTTACTCCAACATCCAGGACGTCTCGTCGGTTGTCGCCAACTACACTGGCGCTGCTTTGCCCGAAAATGCCGGCAACCTTGTCCGGCACCATCTTCTCAGCCTACCCATGGTTTGGAGTCAGGCTAGCAAACACACCTCGAGCGAGCAACCAAACACGCAAGACCCGAATGCACTTGTGCGCAAGGCTGCCAAGGTCGCTCTCTCCTTTAGCAAAGAGGGATTCCATATTTTCTCCCAGATCATGGAGATCATCCGTACCGCAACCGATCACGCGGAGGACTGGAGGAACAAGAAGATGAACCAATCGAACCCCATGAACGGCGCAGAGCATGAGATCCGACCTATGGTTGACCAACCTCTTCCGCAGGCCGTTACCATTAATGGTGATATTCCCATGAGGTAAAGACTCGTGGAATATTCGGGAGAAAAAACCCCAGCGAGTAGCTACTGTTACAAGGAACTTAGTTTATTATTCAAAAGCAGGATGGCTTGGATGGTTGGGGTTTCGGCGAGTAAAAACTTTCGTTACGATTAGAGCTTTTTTGGTCGGCGTAAAAAGCTGAGCTTGGTTGATTGGGTGGGATTTGAGAGACTTGTGCCGAATCTTGGGGACATTAACCGTTATATACCACTTTTTCTTTTCGTTTGTTTCATTAGTTGATCACATTTGGGATACCGACAAGTTCTGGCGCCTGGGAGTACTCTCCACACCATATCACCCTTACTGGGTTGGCTATCTGGCACTATGTAGATGGTTCATTCGTCCAATTTACCACTTCTGACCGTCTTTCAATGTTTCCATTCCGATCTTGATCAAACTAAGCATACAGCTGAACTTGAAGCTATCACAACTCACTGGATTCTTCTCTCGCCTCCCTGGCGAGGTCTCATACCCCGACAGCTTTCACCCATTGCTTCCTCACTTTTTCCAACACTCCACGTGGAAAAACGAGATCATCACCAATCTCATCCCTCATCACCACAAATCCATCCCGTCCTCACGCCTTCCTAACCTCAACCTTCTCACCCTGCACATCCCCGTACCCAAAAACCCCAAACCACCCAACCACACACCCCACCACCGGCCCCACGCACCTCACCAAATGCAACCAAGTCCACCTCCTCACCAACTCCCTCACCTCCGAAAGACTACTAACCAACGGGCCCGGCTCGATCTGCATCTCATTAAGTCTCATCAACTCCTTGTTGGTGGGCATTAACACCACCAGCGTAAACGGCACAATCCAAAATGTCAATCCTGCCGCCGTGGCGAATAGTTTCCAGCGTTTTTCGTTGCTAGCAGACCGAGGGGCAGCAGAGCGGAGTTTATAAGCCGTCCACCCGTAGAGCGAGGCGGTTAAAGCGGCCAGGGGAGGCATGGAAAATTTGCCGTGCTCGTAGAGGATGGACCAGGAGGAGAGGAGGGTCGGGGCGGTGGGGGAGGAGGTTATGATGGGGATTGAGAAGAGGGGGATTGAGAGGAGGCAGCCTTTGTTTTGGGGGTGTTAGTATGGGATTGATGGGAGGAGGAGGATATGAGGGTGAAGGGTGAAGGGATGGCTTACCTGATAGGAAGGAGCCCGTCATTAGACCCAACTGGGCGCCGGTTAGGGCGGACATTTTGATGGTGTTTGGTGTCAGGAGTGGAGTGGTGGTGTTGAGAATATTGATGTTTGAGTTTCGAGGTTGAGTGTTCAGTTTTGAAACAACGACTTATATATGGCTGGCCGTAAGATGACCCAAGTTTATTAACTTGAGAACAAAGCCCAGGCTGGATGCTGCCGGGCCGGGTGGTGTGATGTGATGATGGCCCGCTTCCGGGATGTTAGCTCGGATGATAACGGAGATAGGGCGTAAGCGACAGCTACCCTTTGAGGCCCTTTGAGGCTGAATGTTGGCTGACTACCGCTGGTGTTGACAGGGACGATGTGAGTGGAGGAATGAGAGAAATAGCTCCGCTTGAACCATTGCGTAATGCTTACATGGCGATAGGCGCACAGGTCTCAGGCTCCTATTTACACTGGCTCATACGTTTTCGTTTTCGAATAGTGGAATCGCCAACATCAACGCCGTCGGTTGTCTTGAGGACATGATGACATTTTGCCTCTCTTTCAGGCTTTTTGAGTTTTTTGTCAATTTCGACAATTCTAGACAGCCTAGACGTCTGTCATGAAGGAACAATGACAGTTCTGTTGTCAACTAGTCTCAACTCTCAAGAGGGCAATGATCCCTGCCCTTGTCAACAGTGTGGGTACTTAACTCCTAATCCCTTGCCAAACTTTCAACAATCATCAAATCGCGCCAGTGGTTTAGTGGTAAAATCCATCGTTGCCATCGATGGGCCCCGCGTTCGATTCGCGGCTGGCGCATAATAACTTCTCTTTTTGCGTTTTTTTCCCAACTCAAACCTGCTTGAACACTTCTTATAACAGACACATAAACAATGTTTGTTTCTTTTTGCTTTTGCCAGATGCCCTATTACAATGCCACACATAAATACCCATTGACCTCGTCGTTCAAGAGTGTTTGCCAGGATTTGTGTAGCAGATTCATCACGCCTGAACCCACGATTTGAGAGTGTCATGGTGTTGACCGTGTTGGTGTGTTGAGTTTTTGAGATTGTCCAAATCACATACCTGAACTAGTCGCATCTAACTAAAGCCACGTATTGAGCTCTACGCTTCACTATCGGTACAGTAGATATTGAGCCGCATGCCTTTTGTCTTTCTACCCCTCCTTCTTGGCCTCGAGCCTTTTGGTGATATACTGTGCGCGGTGCAAGCAATCAAGGAGGGTCACAATAGTAACTCTAGCAAGCTGCCCAAAAACGTGATGGAAAGAAGATCGATCATGCACTTGCCTGCCTCTTGGTGAAAATAACTCGTGATCATAATGATACCTTAGCAATCTCTCGGCAATAGTGGCCCTTTAGAGTGCCAGATATATGAGGAAAGATTCGGCTACCAGCGTCATGTCCCCGAGGTAATCACTCGCAGATAACACACGCAACAACACCCTATTCATCTTACCTTCTACTTCTCAACTCTCTCCCACGTCCTATCCTCCTCATACGCGGTTCAAGATGGGCCCCGGCATCCACCCTCACACCCTCCCTCCTCAACCTACCTACCACCCACAAACTCGCCCGAGACGGCCTCTTCCACCCTCAGGGCAACCTTCACTTCTTCAAGAGCCAATTCCTCACCACCCTCCCCTACCCAACCGACTCCTACTCCGGCAAAACCGTCATCGTAACCGGCTCCAACACCGGCCTCGGCCTCGAAGCCGCCCGTCACTTTGTCCGTCTAGGCTGCAGCCGCATGATCCTAGCCGTCCGTAACCTCTCAAAGGGCGCCACTGCCAAAGCCTCCATCGAGTCCTCGACCAAGTGCTCCGACAGCGTCATCTCCGTCTGGGAACTCGACCAATGCTCCTACGCCAGCGTGCAATCCTTCGCCTCTCGCGTGTCTGCTGAGCTCGAAAGAGTTGACATCCTCCTCCTCAACGCGGGCGTCTGCCCCCTCAACGGACCATGGCGTCATTGCGAACGAGACGAGGAAGCCATAACCGTTAACGTGGTGTCCACCTTTCTTCTCGCCTTTCTTTTGTTTCCCAAACTCCGTGAAACAGCACGCCTGTTCCCTGATACTGTCAGTCCAGGACCAACAATGACAGTCGTCACCTCCCTAGCCCACACCTACACCGACTTCCACCTCTCGCGCACCGCGCCCGAGGGCCAGCTCTTCAACGTTCTCAGCTCCCCCGATAGGCGAGAGGTGACGATGGATGACCACTCGGATCAGTACTTCATATCCAAACTGCTTCAGATTTTTCTGATTCGCTCTTTGGCAGCTCACTGCCCCGTTTCGAAGACGGGGGTAACCATCAACTGCGTCCAACCCGGTTTCGTCAAGTCAGGGATTTTCAAGTTCGAAGGGACGTTCGCGGTGGCGATGGCGAAGTTGATGATAGGGTTGGTGGCGAGGTCCACGGAGATGGGGAGTAGGACGCTGGTGCATGCGGCTAGTCAGGGAGGGTAGGAGACGCATGGGGGGTATTTGTCGGATTGTGTGGTGGATGAGCCGAGTGAGTTGGTCAGAGGGGAGAAGGGGAAGGTGTTGCAGGTGAGGGTGTGGAGGGAGTTGAGGGAGAAGGTGGAGGGGGTTGTGCCGGGGGTTTGGAAGAATTTGGAGGTGTGAGGTTGCTGAGTGGCCGGATATGTCGAAGACATGACCCCTCTGGGATATTGATTTGAATATTAAATCGTCTCTGATATGCCTTTTACATGGCATCAGAGGTGTTCCTGGATCATGATATGTCAAGCTGAGTTTGGTTTAGGTGTTTTAAGTCTCATACGAGGCATATCGCAGTCAGTTTGATGTCTTTCGAACTTATCGGAAGCCCTTTCCATCAGGCAGATATGTTTGATTAATAGTACAATAGGGGTATCTGACAATAGGGTGAAATGCTCCCTGGTAATACCCTGTGGGAAAATTCCTGTTAATTAATAGTACAAAAGCAACGATACCGGTATATGTCTTCTTAGGCTCTCTTCACTCCATCTTATCAACGAGTTTGAACCTCTCCTCAGAGCTGTTGGCCGCGGCATCGGCATCCATAGAACCAGCGGGAACCTCCAAACCTCTCTTCACAATCCAATCAACCAAAGTCTCGAGCTTGTTGACCGTAAACATTCGGGGTTGACCGGCCAAAACCTGGGTAACTGGCCTTGCCAGAAGTTCCTCCTCCAAGCTTTCCAACCGCTCATCAGGAGGATGCTCAGTGATAAACTCCTTCAAAAGGACCGCATTCCATCCACAACCCCAAGCAGATTCAACGTCCTTCTTGATATCGTCACCAACATAGAGCTTCAACCAAGGAACGCTCTCATCAAACTTGCCGAGCTCATGGACAACCGCTCTGCGAGCCAGCATCTCTCCTGCCTGCCACATCAGTTTGTGTGGCTTTGACTCCTCAACGTCGTATGACATGACGGTAAAGTCAATATCATACGACTTGCCGTCGACGGGGCGAGCACTTTCGAAGTGAGTCTCTTTCTTGGATTCTCTTTGGAAACGCAAGGGGCTGACGTCGAGGCCCAGGGAGGAGAGGATGCCGCCAACCCTGTCATCAGAGTTGCTGATGACGCCCAGAACAACATGGCCGATGGAGGGGTTGTCCAGCTTGCTGTTGGATTTGTGATGCTTCAAAGACTGGAGAAGCTTGGGCATATTGGACGCAGTTATGTAGGCGTCGCGAGTGGAGAAATGGTGGAAGAGTCTACGACCCAAATCATCCAGCTGCTCTTTGTGAGCTGCGTCACTCAGACTGGGCTCAACATCGACGAAGATATTCTTAATAACCTGCAGTGAAATTTCAGCTTCAGTTCAGAAATTAGTTGAGTGACTAAGAGCAAGTTGACTCACCTTCATCCACCAAGCTTCGGGGTCCATGCCCTTGACATGCTTGCCATAGTTGGGGTACTCTTTGGCAGCCGTGGTGATGCGGTCGTGAAGATAAACAGCCACAACATCGTCGCTAGCATGTTGAAGGCCGTTATCGCGCGCAAACTGGCCGTACGTCTTATGGACGGGCTCTTTGGGTGCGTAGAGGGTCTCGAACGCGTCGAAGCAGACGAGGAGGTTGTACTTGGGAGCTCGCGAGATATTCGCGGCTCTGGCAGCTTGGAGTAGTCCACGCATGGTGATATCGCAGCTGGTAAGGTAGAGAGAGCTTTGTTGGAGTAATGCTCATTGGCAGAAGAATGTAGAAGTAGGTAAACGACGAGCTTGGGCTTGAGTTTTAATAGTCGTCGAAGAGGAAACGAACTAGTCTAGTCCTGACGAGTAAGGGGGCAAAGGTGATTCACAAGTGAGTATGAGGCAGAGAGTGTGGAAGAAGGATGATGTGGTTGGGTTGAGGTACCTGGAAGCCGCTAAAAGTATAGTGGGGCACAGAGGGGAAGTGCAGCAAACAACACCTTCAGCTTCGTCTGATATTGGATCTAGACTCCTAACTTATGGTCAACGTATAGTCACTTCAGGAATCCAATCTAGCAGTCCACAGAATGGCCTTGTAGATAAATCTCATGAATCCAGGGTCCTCCAGATATGCTTCATCAAAGTGGCCAAGAGAGTTGTAAAACGACCGGCCGCCCTCGAACTCCTGCGCCCATGCAAGGGGGTGACGTTCGCCGTGTGTTCCTCCAGTATAGGTCTCTTCGTTGACTTCCAAGAGAATCTGGAGATGCGGGTTATCCCACGGGTTCGTCTTGAAGTTGTAGTATTCGTCGAACCAGTCCCATTCCCACTCCTTGTTCGTTGTCACACCGAACATTCTCTTCTTTCCCTCGCTCTCGTCTTGAAGTCTCTTCAAAAGTCCAGCCAGGAGAAGATGGTCCATGTTATTGACAACGGACCGGATCTTCGCCATCTGTGGCTCGGGGTGGTTCTTGAAGACACCACCGATCAAACGGCCATACCACTCACTCGACTCCATGCCGAAGCTGGCGCAGTGGATACCGACAACGCCGCCGCCGGAGTGGACGAAGCCCTTGAGTGCCTCGAGCTGGGAAGAATCGAGAAACTCGCCAGAGCATTGTAGAAGAATGATGACACGAAACTGCGAGAGACCGGAGGGCGTGAATATCGTAGGGTCCTCGGTTGCTGTCGTGACAAATGGGTGGGCAGTGGTCGAAGAAGTTGCCGCGAGGTCTTCAAGAGCCTTTATGGAAGCTGGGATAGAGTCGTGGCGATAGGCTACGGTGCGGGAGAAGACCAACACCCTGATGGGTTCGGCTGAAGACATGGCTGACGTCTGACGATTGGGCGGTTTGTCTTGGTTGAATTTGTGTGACATTGGAAATACAGTTGCTCTGCGTCAAGCACCCGGGTTATCGGGACTGGAGACTATAAAACATTGGAAGGATGGGATAGAGATGTCATAGTTCCGGACAATATTGATTCTCATCCCATAACGGGAGCCAATGTCGTTTTAGCCATAATGTTGGTGGGGGTTGTTCGGATGAAGTTGATGGGAATCATGATCTCCATGTGTTCAAATGCGGGGAAAGAAGATGGGACGAACTGTGGGGGGATGTATGCACTATATTATAGTGGCCAAAGTGGGTCGGCCGTTAGAACTACTGCCCGTCCTTGTTCCACTTCGAACTTCAACTCCTCAACGTGTGCCACAAAACTGTTTCTCTTCCATAAAATATCGACCTTGGAACCACCTAGATGGGAACCAACAAGAAGGACAACCACAAATGAGAGGTGAGCGGATTTATAAGTTCTTCAACGATGGGATCAGCAAGGCGTCGGGGCTTGTCAGCCTCTGATGATCCTTGCATTTCCTCGATTGGGTTCTCACCAAAAGCTTCGCCTGCGGCTGAGCAAGGCACCAGTTTGCTTGAGGTCTAGCTGGAGGAATGCCAAGACGGTTAACCCTCGATATCCGATGCTTGTTCGTCCTGAAGCATTCTCAATTAAATTGGAAACAGGGCTATCCCATTCGTCATAAGCTGTCTTGTGGACTGACTCGTGTTGTGTGCTTCAGCCACATCAGACTGTCTTGCAGGTTGTGAATGTTGGGCTTTTTGATCAAGTGCTCTCCAGCCCCAGCCTGCTCTCTCCGTCTCTTCTCTTCTCCCCAAAGGCCAGAAATTCTTGTTCTCTTGTACCTGTTAACATAAACTCCGGACTTGGTAAAATCTGCACAAGTGTGAGATCGGAACTCCGAGTCTCATCAGTCATCATGTCATATAGCGGCATTTCCCCATACGGCTCTGCTTATCGGCAGCAGTCTCAACCACAAGAACAACAACAGGAGCAACAACGTCGACAATCAGAACCGAAAGCCTACCGTCCGTATCAACCGTATCGGCCACCTACACAGCAGCCAGGGCCAAGTGACAACCATGAGAATGATAGCCGACATTCGTCTGTTGCAAGCCAACCATCTCTGGCTTCCTCGTTCGCCAAGCTTGACCTTGGCGATAGCTCCATGGCTCCGGCACCCTTGAGACTTCAGCGCAAGCCCGTCTCGAGTCAGGCATCGATGCAGTTCAAAGAACCGCAGTCACCACAGGCAGATCAGGACTACAAACCTTACTCCCCACCCTCTTCGCAACACCGTAACTCAGTCACGTCGACGGCCGGACGACGGACCTCCAATGGCTTTGTCGCCGAGCTTGAAGGGTCGCCACCTTCTTCTCGGCGGGAGAGCAATGCTGTGCAGCCCTCTTCAAACGTCCCTCCACCGAAACCGGCCAAGAACTTGGAAACTCCTGACAGTGAAGGACTGATCGTCGTAGAAGCCGAGGCCTTACCTTCTGTCCCCGGCTCCTGGCCCACCTCTCTTGAAGAACAGGCAGACACTGGATATCAGCATCCTTATGCCCAACCTCAATATGGAAAACCGATTTCACCATCTTCACCTCATCACGAGGTAACACAGAGCACCCTAAGTCCTCCGCCTGTGCAATATCCATCAGCTTTCCAGCAACAAGCGCCTACCTCTCCACCAGTGCCACAGCCGACTTACACGTCTGCTCCGGCTCAGCCAGGGTATCAGAGCTTTTCACCTCCACAATCACCACCGCTGCCGTCGTCCGTAGGAACTCCGGCCCCGTTCACTCCTCAGTATCACCAACCTGGCAACTACAGTTCTGCGCCTTCGCCTGTATACAGCCAAGCCCCAACATCTCCTGCTGGGCAAACACCTCCACCACCGCCATATCAACAACAAGCCTACGGTAGCCCTCCCCAGTCACCACCACCTCCTCCTCCACAATCAACGCGGCCAACATCACAGTATTTCTCCGGCTACCAGTGTCCACCGACACCAACCCTCAACACCAGCAACTTGCCAACACCCCCAAGCCAACAAGGCCCTTTCTCACCCACCTCTCCGCAATCACCCACAGCCGGAGGACACAGACACTCAGTCTCTTACTTCCCCGCCGCCTATCCACCCCGGCCTTCCCCACCAACCCAACATCAACCGGCCACGACCCTCCCCTCACCAACCGTTACCTCCCCTTCATCACCATTCCCTTCATCTCCAGCTGTGAACACTGGCACCTACCCTCCAGCGCCTGCAACCCCAGCGCAACAGCCCCAACCAACAATAACCTACACCACCGCCCCTCCACAACCAACTTACTCCTCTCCCACCCCCTCCTTCTCCTCCCACTCCTCCTCTTCCAACCCAGGAGCCAACAAACCCGGCGGAGCCCTCTACAACTTCCCCTCCCCACCTACCCCCTCGCTCAACTCCAAGCTCTCCATCAACGGACTGAAGAGGACGGCGGCGGGATTGGGCGGGGCGATTAAGAATGTTGCGAGCGTGGTGGAGGTTGCCGGGCGGGAGGCGGTTAAGGCGGGGAGGGCGGCGGCTGCTGGTGGGGGAAGGGAGTCGGGAAGGGAGTCGGGAAAGGGGGGGAGGAGGGTGAGTGGGTTTTATGGAGGGGGGTGGTAGGGTAGGGTAGGGTGGACTTGGTGAGGTTTACTTGTGGGGGAGGTGATACTGGAAGCTGGGAGACAGAGATGGAGGGGTTGGTTGAGTGAGGCATGGGAATTGGGGCATTGGAACTTCCTCTAGGGGAGTAAGGGAGGTTTGCGTATGGATACATAGGCGTGTTTCGGCGGTTGCTGGTTGTGAAAGGACATGGAGGGAGCAGGTGATATGATATGATATAATATGATACCCAAGGATGTATACGCAGAAATTGGATGTGCACACTAGACCGTCCAAGCGGGACCTTTTCGCATGCTCAAAAGAAACTTGTCCGTGACCCGATTCTCTGAAGGTACAGTATAACACTGGTTCGTTTGTTGGTTTGAGACTTCTAGTCAACTTTCCTAAGGATCTTCACATTCGATTCATACGTCTTTTGAATGTTGAAAGCCCACTAGGCAACAAGAACGGGTAGTACCGTATGACCCCGAAAGAGGAAAAGAGGAAGAGATGAGGAGGGGTGGGATGAGAACAGGAGAAAGGAACAAATTGCTTTGGGACTTACATACTCGATTTTTGAGTCCAGCTACTTGGTGGCTATAATCCGGTTGAGCGAGACCTTTTCCCAACAAACACCTTCGTGCGTTTCCCCTTCTTTTACCCCATACTTAAAAGTAAATTCGCCACCCTTATTAAAGTCTCGCAAAGAGAGAATTCTTTGGTGACAACAGGCGGACACGTACATGTATACCCTGAAGTCATCATTGATTCACAACAAAGGTACTCTCAGACTGGAATCTATGTATAACGACCTGGCACAAATAGCACGTTCAACATCGAAGGTCAAAAAAGACACTAGAGGTAAGTATCCGAACGTTGTATTGACAGTCTGTTGAAGTATATGTGCAGTCCACTCTCACAGGCGAACAAAAAAGGTTCTTAATCTATGTACAAGAACTTGGGAAGAAGACGGAATCCAAATCGGATCCTTTATCACCCCTTTTCACTTCACTCTTTCAACCCCTCGCCCCCTTAACCACTCACCCCTCAAAGCCTCATTGTCAAGACGACGCGCTTAGAAAGCGGGGTTAGCGTTCTTGAGCAGCTGCTCAAAGTAAGCCTGGAACCACTGGCCAGCCTCAGGGGCAGGCTTGAGGGCATCCGAGAGACCGCAGTGGAAGTCATAGCGGGTAGCGGAGGTGTCGCTGGTACCATCGGACTCACCACCAGGCTTGACCCAGACGAAGGCATCAGCCAACGAGGAGCCGGTGTTGGTGGTAGGGCGGACACCGAAACCGGTGCCGATGGCGTTGCACCAGTCACCCTGCTCAATCTGGCCGGTGGGCTGCTTGCCGGAACGACCGGTGTCGACGATGAACTGGGCGGGGAAGCCGGCGGCGTTGAGGAGAGGGGAGAAAGCCTCAATGTACTTCTTCTCGTCGTAGTTGGGGTTGGGGGTGGTGTACGAGGGAGCCGAGGAGAGCGACCAGCCGTTGTAGTTGGAGACGTTGGTGACGAGACCGCGGACGGACTTGGGCTTGCCGGCAGCCTTGTAGATGTCGGCGAAGAGGGTGGCGGCGGGCTGGATGTTAGCGGGCCAGCCGAGCCAGCCACCGTGGCCAGCATCGAGGTACTGGGCAACGTGGGGGAGGTCGAGCTGGGTGATGGCGTAGTTGACGCCCTCCTTGTAGGCGGAGGCGGCGTTGGCGCACTTGGCAACGTTGGTGTTGGTGACGAGGTTGGCAAGCGAGTCGGGCTCGATGACGAGGATGGTGCGTATGTCAGAGTACTCGATCAGGAGCTTGCGGATGGCGTTGATGTAGGTCTTGTAGTTGGCAACGCCGTTGTTTGCGATGGAGAACTCGCCGTTGGAGGCGGCAGCAGCGCAGTCACGATCGGGGAGATCGTAGACGACCAAGTGAGCGGCGTAGGGAGGGTTGGCACCGGCCTTGTTGGCGGCGCGGATCTCCTGGAGGGTGCTCTTCATGAGAGTGTCAACGGTGACGTTGCGATCGAGCCACTGGAAGGTGGGAACCTTGGCAACGGCAGACGCCTTGGCGGCCAAGGTGCCAGTCATGGAAGGAATGGCATGGTTGTAGATCTCGGAGGAGTAGTAGCTGTTGGCCCAGCCCTGAACGCCAAGGAAGGGGTTGCCAGTGAAGCTAGCAGTGGAGGAAGCACCGCCAGCAATGGTGGTGGTGGGCACCGAAGGAGCGGTAGTGGTGATGGGCTGGGCGGCGCTGCTGCTGGTGACCTTGCTGGTGGTGCTAGAGGCCTTGCTGGTGCTGGTAGGGCTGGTGGAAGAAGCCTTAGCAGTGGTGGTAACCTGAGAGCTGGGCAAGCACTGGGAGTAGTAGGAGTTGATCTCAACGCAGGAGTTGCCGGAGGAGCAGCAAGTCGCGCCAGACCAGCCGATACCACCGCACTGGGTCCTATATCGTCTGTTAGCCTTTGTGTATCAAGTTTTGAGGGTGATGATTTGAGGGTGATGATGATCATACCAGGTAGAGCCGCAGTTCTGGCGATCCTCAAGGACGGGAGCAGCGAGGGCAGAGGCCGTCAAGGCGGCAGCGAGAAGGAGCTTCTTAGCAACCATTGTAAGAGCTGTTGATGATGAGGGTTTCCGTTGACTGAATGACCCAGAATGCCAGTGCTGAGAATATTCGAATCAACAAAGGCGAAGTCGTCCCCTTTTATGATCAAGTTCTCTTGGGGTGGCCTCCATCAGTCCAAGATCCATCGGTCGGGAAGACGGGAACGCGCTCCCGAGACGTCGACAAACGAGCACATGACGCCACTGACTGAACGAGGCTTGTTCGATCCAGTTTAGCTAGAGTTCGGCTGCTCCATGAACAAGGCCCGCTGCGGTGGTGGCAGAAACGGGCGCCATTCCGAGAGCGGCTCTACCCCGGATTCACAGGGAGGATCGTCCCGGATAGGCCATGAAGAAGCTCCAGGACGAAGCTCCGAAGCCTCGACGGGGACTACGGGATGCTCGACCATGTAGCGCCATGACCACAAAAACCCACACATCCTCCTCAATATGGCAACCCCAGACCGACAAGTGCGAGCAAGTGGACTGCTTGGCGCTGGAGAGGAAGTCGGGGCCCGAGGGATGGCAAGACTGTTCAGGAACAAGTGTAACGCTGTCTACAAGAAACAAGCCGAGCTGTCCGCCAAATCCGCCGACCTGGACACCGCATTCGAGCAATTTCGTGGAACCGGGTGCTTGGTGACGGTGGTTGTTTGGTTTCGGGGTGGAAACCGGGTCTCGTTCTCGGAGCCCACGTTCCTTGATGTCCGTTATGGGTAAGCGTCCGGCTCTTGTTGCGGGGGCGGGGCGACAGGGGTTTGTTTAGGCGGAAAAGATGCACCACCTTTCCGCCATCGTCACATTGCCCAAGGTCCTTTGACTTCAAGGTGTATGTTCCTCAGCTATTCCCCAGAGTCAAAGACGAGAGAAAGCCGCTGATCCAACACAAGGTCAACTCCTTCCCGGACCGATTCCGCAAAAGCTGCATCATGGAACAAGACGCCCAGTTCTTGGCTTGTATACCAGCTTGCGCGGTCCATGTTACCGGACCCGAGGACCGTGAACTCGCGATCAACAATGGTCAGCTTGAGATGAGAGTGCACTGGCTCTTCCTCTTCCGGATCCTGCATCTGGCCATCGTTGACGGCACGAGCTTGGCCTCCACGCTTGGCCGCTTTGGCTGCGGAACGCGGCTGAAAGTAAGAGATTCGCAGGTGGCCAAGACCGGGGTCTCCAGATTCTAGATCGTGAGCAGCGTGTGTGCGGAGCTTCTTAAAACGGCGTACGAGGGATCGGATGCACCAAGATGTGGTGGTACCAGCCGTGACAAGCTGCTCCAGAAGCATCATGTTCCGACCTGTCACAATGGTTACATGGACGCCTCGCTTTAGAGCGTCTAGCAATGCAGCAATGACAGGCTCGCAGGTGAGATTCGGGGTCTGTAGGTAGATGGACCGTCGAGCCTGCTCAAATAGTTCGAGCATTGCAACGTTCAAGGGGGTAGCTGGAGGTTTGGCAGCTTGTTGCCACGGCAAGAAGCGGAACTGTGGGTTCTGATGATGTGAAGAAGGCAACACAAGCGTCGGAAGCGGTGCCGAAGAGGCTGCAGGACGGACCAAGTGGTGAGCACTGCTAGGAACAACAAGAAGCTGATCCTGTAGCTCAGACGTACGGCTACTATGGATGGCAGGGAGAGGCTTCCGAAAGTCGACATGTTTCTCCCAAGTCAGAGCATAGAATGACATGAGACTGGTGACGGCATCGCCAGTGATTTCAACACAACCTTCAAGCCAAGGTTCCCAGCTGACGTTGCAACTCGGGATGAAGGCACGTTGTCTGTCGATAATGACGAACTTGGGATGCATAACACTGAAGGGGAGGAAGAACAGACTCTTCACTTGAAGGCGGATGCCGGCCTCCTCCAACAAGGCAGGATCAGGGAGGACGAGCTTCTTTTGCCATTCAGCAGGCGAGTAGGTGTAGCCATCGTGGGACTGTGGGTGCAGCAACTTTTGAAATACGGATCGCGACGAAAAGCAGATTCGAACGGTGAGAGGCTCGATGTCATGCGGGTTGGGCAGACCACGGCGGTGGTTCGCAAGTTTGACAAGAGCATCGGTGATGGCGGAAAGGGTCTTTGAAGGGGCCCAGAAGCAAGTGACAAAGACGACCTCGGATCTCGCCGAGACGATGGCGGGAATCAGTGTGCTCGTGAAGATTGATGCGCCTGTTCCTAGCTGGAAGGCATGTGGTGTGCTTCGAGATATGATGACTTGTTGATCTGCCTCATCAGTGGCGTCGTATTTGGGAAGATCCCATCTTGTAGCGGTAGGATGTTGCTGTTGACGTTGCTGTAGCTGGTTGAGGAACTTGTGGACAAAACTGGACGTGTAGCTCATGTCTCGTTTGGACCGGTTGTGTAGCGGGATGTAGTCATGAGGCATTTAGGACGGCATTTAGGACGGCATTTAGGACGGCGACGAGGTTGGTGAGAAAGGAAAGAGGTTTAGGGTTGGAAGTGAAATTGGGAAAGTTGGCTAGACTTGGCGAAATTGGGAGCTTCAGTGATGATGGAGAATTGGGGGAAATTGGATGCAATTTGGGGTCCCGTTGGAGAATATCAGAAGCTCCATCCATTAAGGTTTGGCGTGCGGGGAACTTTGGGGTAAGCGCTATTCTTGGCACCTCCAAATTCCAATTCTGTCTGGCAAGCGAATAAAACCCAGTGTCCCCACCTGTCAACAACTTCGTCACTCTCTCATTTCATTGATCAGAACAAAGGCCTGGAAAAGGGTGTTGCTCCAGCTTTCATATGAGGAGCAATATTCTTCCTTGTTATCGTCACTATACCGTCCGCGGTCATCTCTTATCAGTGTCTTTGCTTCTTTTCTTTGACGAGCACCCACTCATCATCACTGTCAATCCATTGCCTCCTCGCACTATCTTGGGTGATTAAAGCCACACAATGCGTGTCTCTCCAGACCAACACACAAGTGGACGTTTGAGTCTTTGTTACCAAATGTCAAGACAGGGCATCCCTAGAACCCCCAAGTTGTATTGACAGCGCGGGGATCTGTCCAATAACAAAGGATCATGCTCCATGTCGCCATCACGACTACGGATTTGATAATGATGGCATGTCTTTCTCACTGGCCAAAGTGCTACCATTGCCAGCCTCCTGATACTACCAGAAGTCTTCGGTCGCGGTTTTCCAATGCCGGCCATATCAGAAAAGCCTTCAGAACGGCCAGGATGAGAGCACATTTGCCTTGATATAAAACCCCCCCTTCAAGAGTCAGAGTTCTACAAGATGAAGAGACTGTTTGCTTACACTTGATGTCTCGGGCTATCGAACCGTCTGTATCACCGCCAAAACTTGTACTGCTGGCGAGCGCCGTGTTCCAGATATCATCCCTTGTGTGATATACCGGATCCTTCTCTCTCATCTTTGCCCAGGGTTCCTCGATCTCTAAACAACCATGGCTGAACCCGTGACAGAGGGGAAGCCTCAACAGTACTCTGAGTCGGATAAGAGACCATCGGTTGACCCAGGTTCAGTAACAGCCTCTGAGACAGTTGACCTTGAGACCAACACAGTCAATGAAAAGTCACTACTTCTAAAACTCGACATTCGTCTCTTGCCTGCCGTCGGTATCCTCTACCTGCTCTCCTTCTTGGACCGCAGCAATGTGGGAAATGCGAGGATCGAAGGTCTTGCATCAGACCTTGGTATGACGGGCAACCAGTACCTCACTGGTCTGACTCTGTACTTTATCGGTTATGTCATCTTTGAGGTCAGTCTTCTTCACTCCCTACCATGAAGTCTTCTCACTTACACGTCGATAGATCCCATGCAACATCGTACTCAAACGCACAACACCCAGGTTCTGGCTACCCACCCTCACCATCCTATGGGGTATCGTAGCCACCTTGCTGGGCATCGTCCAGAACCTCACCGGCTTCTTCATCGCCCGTTTCTTCCTCGGTGTGGCTGAGAGTGGTCTCTTCCCCGGCGTAGTCTACTACTTCTCCATGTGGTACAAGCGCCGCGAGAGACAGTTCCGCATTTCACTCTTCTTCGGAGCCGCTGCCCTTGCCGGATCCTTCGGTGGCATCCTGGCCTATGGCATCGGCTTCATGCGCGGTACTGTCTGGGAGCACGGCTGGCGCTGGATCTTCATCCTCGAGGGTGTCGCCACAGTCCTCGTAGCCGTAGGAGCCTACTGGTTCATCTACAACTACCCAGACACTGCTGAATTCCTCTCGGACAAGGAGCGCAAGTTCATCCACGCCCGTCTCGCTTCAGACAGCGACGCCACCCACGACGAGCGCTTCACCTGGGACAACGTCCTCCGCGCCATAAAGGACCCCAAGTGCTGGCTCTACGGACTAAGTTTCCACACCATGAGCTTACCTCTCTACACCTTCTCTCTGTTCTTGGTAAGCCCACAATAGAAAACACCACTTACTTGTATATCAACCGCTAACCCCGAAACCACCACAGCCCTCCATCATCAACGCCCTAGGCTACCGCGCCGCCACCGCCCAGCTCCTCACCATCCCGCCCTACGCCTTCGCCTTCCTCACCACCCTCACCGTCGCCACCGTCTCCGAGCGTCTGCACCAGCGCGCCATCTTCATCATCGGCTCCGCCATCTTGGCCATAATCGGCTACATCATGCTGCTTACTAACAAAGACCCCATCGCCCGCCCCGGCCTCTCTTACGCCGGCACCTTCTTCGCTGCCGGCGGCATCTACCCCGCCACGGCCCTGGCCCTCTCCTGGCCGGCGATTAACGTGTCCGGACAGACCAAGAGAGCGGTGGCGAACGCGATGCAGATTAGTATCGGCAACTTGGGCGCCGTGCTGGGGACGCAGTTGTATAGGAGCGGGGATGGACCGAGGTATATCGTTGGACACAGCTTTGCGTTGGGGTATCTGGCGGGGAATGTGATTGTGTCGAGCTTGCTGTATTTCATTTTGAGTAGGGAGAATAAGAGGAGGGATGGGGTTGCGCCGGAGGTGGAAGAGGTGGGACATCTCAAGGATTGGGATGGGGATGAGGATCCTAGGTGGAGGTTTCAGTACTACCGCTAATTCTCACTCAACTGGGTTTTATCCCCACGCTCTAAAGCCAATGATATCCTGAGTAAGGGCGTGCATGCCGACGCCGCAACGTCGCTAGCAGGCCAAATGAACCACCTCATTGGCCAGTACAGCGTGGGGATAAAACCCAGTTGAGTGAGAATTAGCGGTAGTCGTGTGGGATTGTTGTCGCCTGGTGGTTAGGTACCATCAGGATAGAACGGGATCCTTTGGAAGGTGTTGATGATGGGGCATGAGTGTTGGTGCGAAAAATAATGGACGGCTGAGAAGAAGAAAAGTTTTTCAGCCGGCGCTTGGTTTCTAGGAAATTACCTTCAGAGATACCCTTGATATATAGTCTATGCGTTATGAATAGGAAGTTGGTTCCGCCTTCGATCATCAAGTAATACTGACTGCGACTGTGAGTCATGAGGTCGTGGTCGAGATCAGCGCAGGGATGATTTGAAGGAGCAATAGGCCTGTTTGGGTGAACGGGTGAGTTCCAAGGTTCATGATCGACGCCGATGTTTCTTGTGAGAAAAGAGGAAGATGTCCGTTTGTTTTGTGAATTCCTTCATGATCCGGAGAAATTCGGGTGAAATGTTGAACTCGAGAAGATCCGGAGATTTGATGATAAGATCTTCGACATAAAGTAGCCTGTAGACCCTGTTGATAGTGGCAGACTATGGACGAATCGATATTGAAACACTCAAGAGTTGAATGTTTGTTTTCCTAGGAATCCTGTTAAGGTTCGGAGAAACTCGGGTCAAAATGTTGAGCTGAAGAGCATCAGATAATCTGATAAGAAGCATCCATGGGGCAGTCAACGCGCCCTGGCTATAACAAAAGATGGCTGAAATGAGCTCGTGAGTCGTGGAGTTGATGTCCAGTTCGATGTAGGTTCTGTTTCGCGTTGCGGTTTTCGTCATGGTACGGAGATGGTCGGGTACAAAAGTTGGGCTCGTGAGGGCCCGGAGATTTGGGCTATATGATTTCCTTGGTATAGTGAAACTGGTTTGATATTGACGCACTTGGCAAAGGAAGTAAAAGTTTGTTGAGGTTTCCATGATTTTCGTCAAGGTCCGGAGATGTTCGGGTGAAAATGTTGGGTTCGAGAACCCCCGGAAATTTGGGCTATATGATTTCCACGATATAGCAGCCAATGCGCCATGTTTGTAACGGAAGGTCGCCCACTGGAGGTCAACCAGTGAGTCATCAGCTCAATATCGCAATCGAAGTATTATCGAAAAACAAAAGTTGTGTTTGAGTTTGCAAATTCTTCCAAAGTTCGGAGATGATCGGGGGAAAGCACTTTGGTCGAGAACACCGGGGCTACCGGGGCGCCACTCCCCGGCAAGCCATGTCTCACGGCCTCGGCCCCGAAGGTCACTTTGTAGTTCGTGTAAGTGGACTGGTGGAGTTCGTTCAGAAACACCGAAACGTCTTACCTTACCCTTCGAGACACTGCGTTGAAGATCAGAGGAGCACGATCTGTTTGAGAATTTGAGGAAACCCACCACAATCGATGCTGCTGTATTCCACAATGACGATGATAATGACGATGGGATCATGGAATTTGGAGAGAAAGCGCTCATCAACTATGCGCTCAGCCGCGGATAAAATCTCTTGAGCCACAAATGGTGTTTATTCTCGCTGAAACAGTGCTCCAGTCGATGAGGTGATTATTGGTTTGACAGGTATGTCTCTGTCGTGCTCGTCACTCGACATGCTGCAGGGTAAATACTGTCTTAGCAAAACAAACAATGTTTTGTTTTTCTTCTTCTTTCCACTCTTCTTCCTATCATGCACACGCAGCCGCACCGCATTGCCAAAGAAGAGGTAGCCGAGATGTGGTGAAACACGGGGATGTGTGGTCGTGTAAGGTAGGTTTCGGGGTGGCGTCTGTCGCTTAAGCCCGCCAAGCTAGCAGTTCAGGGGGGTGGTGTTTAAACGGGTTAGATCACGGCGTTACTGCCGTGTAAGAGCGGATAAGGAAGCCTGTTCGTGTTTTCTAGAAGGGCGGGAGAAGATTGGGGCGTTCGGGTAGCAAGCCGATAGCTTGGAACGCATTCATCGCGGAGATGAGAAGTTGAAGAATTTTCCATGGTGATATAGTTATGGGAGCCCGATGGTCAGTAACAGTATTCAGCTTGAACGCCAAGGGCCGAGACTGTAGGAACTAGTAGGAAGATCGGCATATTCAAACAAAAATAGGGTAGAGGTAGGGACAGGCATGAATCCATGAATCCAGGATGTAGCTTCCATACGGAGGGAGAGTTGCGAATGTTTTCCAATCACATGTCTTCGATCCTCGATGACTGTTTGCTGTGGAGTTTTGATGAGAATCCAGACTCCAGAGATCCACTGTCTCGAGGGCGAAGCGCAGCCCAAGCTTCTCGTGATGACCAACAGCACTGTCGTGAATCAGCATTGGTGCGTGAATAACACTGACCAAAAATTAGTAACGTACCTAGCACGATATCAACAAGGGTCGTTATGAGAATGGTATGGCGGTTGCTGGGCGGTCAATGCATTTGAGTTTTGCAGCCGCTAACAATCCAGTTGCAAATTGGAATACGGGATTCCCACTTGTTGGGTTGTCGATGCCTGACAACCGAGTGTTCGAAAATGGTAGTTCTCAATTTGCGCAACCATGTTCTCCTTCATGAAACAGCCAAGAATGGTCAAGTGGATTTCAGGCTCCAAATCTCCGGGTCCAGTGGCCCGTGTGTCAGACCAATGCGATGCGATGCACGTGACTTAGTCAGGAACCGCAGCCCATGTTTTGGTGGAGTTCTGCAGCGTCTAGCCGGCAGCCCTGGGAAAGAGTGGGGATTCTGTTTCACAGCCGACGACAGAACACGCACGACCCTTTGAATTCTGTCTCTCTGATTCACGCCACTCACTTTGATCCCGCACGCCGTGTTCCCCCGAGGTGTATACCGTTATGGGAAGCTGAGATGGAACAGTCGAATGCTACTGTACATCAGTGTTACGTATAACGGTATAGCACTACGGACAACACCGAGAAATCCAGAAATCGGGAACCGGAGATGATGGACGAGTGCAGTTCAGAGTGAGTGGAGGAGGATCTCCCATCATCCAGGTAGGGACCAGGGCGTGACATCTTCAAACAGGGGCACCACAATGGGCGGACGGACGTGGAGACTTGAAGGGTCAAGGATGCCGGGATGCGGAAAGCAAAGTGGAAATAAAAAAGAAGGAGAGACCGGGCAAGAATTCGGTTCGAGCTTTCCCCAGAGACCAGTCGTCATCATCGACACAGACAACAAACCTTTAAACGTCAACTCCCCCATCCACATCCACCTCTCCCCCTCCCCTTTTCCTACTTTCGGTCTAGATTTTCAACAAACAAATTTCATCCTACATTTTTCTTGTCCACCTCTTTAGATTATCTCCTATTTTATCTTAATTGTCTGACCCCACGTCATTCGTTCGATCTCAAGGGGCTCCTAGTCGGTGTTTTCCCAAAGTATTTCCTTATCACATATCACCACCCGGTTCAACACCTACGATACCACCTGCGGATTCCAGCAACACCACACATTGGATTGGATCACCGTGTCGACAGCTATTCCACATTTCCCTATCTGGAGGATTCGAGTTAGATTGGTCACCACTTCCCCCGGATTTCAACACATCCGTCTCTTCCCTCCCGGATTCCTGTGGGTACCACCTCTCCTGGACTACTAATACCACCCCATCACTCATACATGTCGATTCAGCAGCCTCGAAGCAGTATCCCGGCTGCGGCTGAGCCTCCAGGACCCCATTCAACCAAACTAGGCTCTTCCGGCTCTAGTACAACCACATTCACAATGGATGCCAACGACGACGGTCATGTAGACCCTACCCACCGTGAAAGTTTTGTAGACCCTATCCACGTAGGGACGGACCAACAACAGTACAATGGCGGCGCCGAGAAGCCCCAGCTGCCCCGGTTATCCATGCAACAACAGTTCAATGGCGGCGCCGAGAAGCCCCGGCCGCGCCCGTTATCCATCGAGACCCTTCCTGAGCTGGACCAGATCCCCACGCTCATGTCGCCTCGTGCCAACACCATGAACCCCTTCCGGCGTGTACACAAACCTCTAGAGTACGATGACTACTTTGTATGTCTCACCATATTCACCCCTACCTCATTCACTTAGTTCTCAGAGCACTAACATAACCCTCCCACGATCCCAGACTGGCCCCCGAGACACCCAAAAGCACTCAAAATGGCCTCTCTTCTTGCAGATGCACGGCAGTATCCTGCCCAAGATGATCCTACCACTCTTCGGAGTCGGTGCCTGGACCACTATGCTCACTTTTATTAACTTTAAAGTGACAAACTGTGCGTTGAAACTACCCCCTTTGCCTATCTTATCTCGATCCCAAGCGGAAGCTAACATTCCGTCCCCAGTGGGTATTCACAACATCCTTCTGACGGTCCTTGGTTTTGTGGTTGGTATGGGCCTGTCTTTCCGCAGCTCAACTGCATACGAGCGCTATTCAGAGGGTCGCCGTTACTGGGCCAACTTGCTCCTGGCGTGTCAGACACTTGGTCGTGTCTATTGGGTGCATGCCAAAGAGCGGGAAGGCGAGCTAGGGAAGAAGGACGTTTTGGCCAAGCTGTAAGTCAAAAGCATTCCCGTTATAAGATTTATTGCTAACGTGTTCCAGAACCGTCCTTAACCTCCTGGTCGCCTTCTCCGTCTCTCTCAAGCACCGCCTCCGCTTCGAGCCTTACACCTGCTACGATGACATCTCCCACCTCGTCGCCCACCTCGACACCTTCGCCCAGCGCGCCACCGAGGAGGAGCCGGATAAGACCCTCAAAGCCCTCCAAGGTCCTGGCTTCTTCAAGTCAGTTGGCGAGTACATCGGCGTTAGCTTCGCCGCCTCCAACCCGCGCAAGTTGATTAAGAAGTCATCTCGCCCGCTTGGCAACCTCCCCCTCGAAATCCTTTCTTACCTAGCCACCTACACGGACGAGCTGATCGCCAACGGCCAGCTGCCCGTGCCCATGCAGCAAACGCTTGCTTACAACAACATGGCGATTCTGAACGACGTCCTGGTGGGCACCGACCGCGTGCTGTCCACCCCGCTACCCATCGCCTACGCCATCGCCATTGCGCAAATCACCTGGGTCTACATCCTCTTGCTTCCCTTCCAGCTGCTGCCCACGTTGAACTGGATCACGATTCCGGCAACCATCGCAGCGGCCTACATCATTCTGGGACTGCTCATGATCGGCAGGGAGATTGAGAACCCGTTCGGTCGGGACGTCAACGACTTGCCGCTGGAATCGTACTGCGCGCAGATTGCCGAAGATATGGATATCATTGCCTGCCGCAAGAAGAGGACGACGAATGCCGACTGGATTGAGAATATCGAGAATAAGCCGCTTTGGCCACTGTCGAATTCGGGCTGGCAGGTCTGGATGAATCGCGGAGAGGATATTATTCGCGAGGCGGTCAGCCAGAAGCTGGAGAGCAATTTTGAGACGAGGAAGGAGTTGGATAAGTTGCAGAGTGAGATGAGCCTGATGGATAAGGTGAGGAGGATGAGTAAGGCTACGGGGTGTAATGTATGACTTGATTTTTGGAGTGAGTTGTGTGAGTTGGTGGTGTTGTTGAGAGGGGAAGCAAGCGAGAGTGAGTTTTTAGAGTTGTTGAGAAGGGAAGCAAGCGGGTTGTTGTTATTGTTATTGGACTTTCGTTTTTGTTTCCTTTGTTTTCTCTTTTGTTATTTCTTTTTCTACTCTTCGTTTCCGGCGTACATGACCTGGCCGGACTTCATTTGGGATCTCTTTCTACATTCATGGGTAATGGATCGGTCTTCAAAATGGGGGCATGCAGTGCGGTCTTCCCACGGTTATCAAAAAAGGTTGGGATGGCTGCGGTGTCTTCAAAAGTTAGATGATCTGTTTTTTGGTTCACTTGATCCGATAGAGTCGGACGACACATGGCATGCATAGAATGATGGAGGATACAAAGGCATGCAGAGATCTGTCTATGACACAGATTTTGGATTACAGCCTGGACATATTGATTTCCCAGGCTTTGGAATTTTTGATATTACAGCTTGGAAAGATATCCCAAGCTTTTGGAATTGTTTTGGATTACAGCTTGGAAGAAATATCCCAGGCTTTGGAATTTTTGGATATCAATTTTGGATATCGAAGGGATAATAAGCGGAGATATGGTACCACAGACAGACACAGAGAGACTCAACTCAGAATACAATAACCATCTACTCTCTCATCCATCTCATCATTAATCGTTCTATCGTATGTCTTTATCATTTCTGCCATGTGATATCATGCCTCATAAGTTCGTAACGCTCGATGCAATCGTAACAAAGTCGTGACAAGGAAAAACCAGAAATGTTCAACCACATTGTGCAAGGGGTGAAACTCAGGAAAGAACCAAATCACCTCGTAACATCCCTCACATCCCCATCCCCCTCATACTCCCCAATCGAATGTTTCTCCCCCACATGATCCACCAAACTCTCCTCCCTCTTACAGACCGTATCCCTCTCCCGATGCTTCGAGCACAAGTAACACGCAAACCCGCCCCCCTCCCGATGACACTTGACGAAAAACCTTGTCGTCAACAAATAACTCCTGTACTCCACCTCCTCCTTGCCCGTCCGCTCATTGTGCGTCACCATCTCCTTATCGACCCTCCACGGTCCCCGCTGCGCGACTTCGACGGGGTCGAACAAGTGCGCGTGGCAGTCGGGACAAACACCCGAAGAAGCTAGCGAGGAGTCGAGCGGTTGTCCGGATTGTTGCAGGTACGTGGCGTATTGGCAGTAGATGGAGTTGTGGTAGGTTAATTGCTTGGGGATTCCCTTTGATGAGTGCCGGGAAGGGGAGCGGGAGTGCGAGTGGGAGTGGGAGTGGTGCGAGTGGGAGACGGAGTCCCCGGCGCCGCGGGTTCGGGTGGTGCGGTGCGTGGTGGTGGGGTGGTAGGAGGTGTCGTAGTCGGTTGTGTTGTAGTAGTCCCGGAGAGAAGGAGTGGAGGAGATGCGTCGGACGGGAGCGATGGGGCGGCTTTGGCTTCGCCCGGAACGGTGGGAGGGAGCTGGAGCGGGAAGAGCCCGGTCTATTGGGGCGGATTGGAGGAGACGCTGGTATTGGTCGCGGAGAGCGCGCATGCTGCCTTCCCGGGCAAATTCGGAGGCGTTGTAGAGCTTGCGGACGTCTGGAGGATCGCCGGTGTAGAGGGCCTCTTCAAGCATTTTGATGACGGTGCCTTGGAGGGTGATGATCTGGCCTTGAATTTGGGTTTGGGCGAGCACTGGGTGGTGTTAGTACTACTGTTTTATGCTGAGGTGAGGTAGAACTACAAACTTACAGTCACCCTGAGCAAACTGAGGCCCCATTCTCGAGTAGAGCTGGTCATACTGCCCTTGAACCAACGGACCACCACGCTGGAGAGAGTCTCTTAGATCCTCTTCGTCTCCTCCCCTTTGGCTCTTATTTCGGACATTCTTCTCCTCGGCCTCGGACTTGCCCTTCACAGCATCATCCAGACGCTGTTCCAGCTCCTTGATCTTGCGGTTCTGGCCCCGGTCCATCTTGCGCTGTCTCCGTTGTCTTCTGGCTTCCCCTACACGGTCGAACAGGTTGACTCCGGTGGTGAAGGTACCGGCAATGGTAGATATGAGGGTTGCGAGGATGAAGCTCTGCTTGAGCCTCCTATCGTCGATTGCTCCTGCGGCCTCCATCTTGCTGATGTTGTTGAAATGGTGTTGGTTATTGGGGTTGGGTTACTGTCTTGAAGTTGAAGGTCTCGTGATACATGAGTTAACGATGGAAAAGAATGCACTCGCAGAGAGTTCACAAGGAGGTTATGAGATATTTAAGAGATGTCGTCGTGGGTTGGGGCTCAACTTATGGGATCTTCCCCTTGCGAAACTTGGGAACCAGGAAAGTAAGCTTCCTTGGCGCTCTTGGGACCTCTTGGGAGTCCCGAGAGGCTTTTGAGACATGGAAGTCTAGAAGGATCTGCAGGTCGAGGCATGATGATGAAGGTGAGGATATCGGCATTGGGTAAGCCTTAACAGAGATTAATTGGGTTTCTATCCAATAACATTTGTGTGCTGGCATGCAGACCTGCGTAATGGGTGCCCTCGGGTTACTCAATGGAGCTTTCTCACGAGAGGTTTGATGAGAAAACGGGTGTTCACTTACATCGATGTGAGCCAAGGAAAAGATGCCGTTCCTGTTTGTAAAGACAGCGGTGAGTGGTCCAGTGACGTCAGACCCGCCGGGGGCTTTTCGGACATGATCGTCATCTTCAACACTCCAATATCGACAACACCACACTCCAGTGATCTCCATCGTCGGTTAGGCTTGAAATGAACCCTCATTTTCGGGCATTGGAATGCAATCTAACTGCCGAGGACCAATCGATCTCGCCGATTGTGTGCATAAAGGGTCCTTCTCGCGCCGTCACTTGATGCCCTACAAAACACCGCTCTTTGAACCCTTTTCTCCAGGTCTGCGAAGTACTGCATCATCCGAGATAGTACCTACCTACATTTTTTGTCGTCCTGCGGTGATCATCAGCATCTGTCAACCACGGCCATCGGCATTGGATGACACCCATCACTACTGGATCTTGTGGGCTCTGTTCGTCGGGCGGGTAAGCCTCGTTAATGAACTTCTGCCGGTCGTGGTACCCGAAATAAGATATCTTGACGATGGCTTCATATGGGGCCGAAAACACTTCCCACGAACGTGCTCTGAGGTTTCCTGATTGATTTGTAATGACATCGAAAGCACGCAATGATGGCTCATACGGACCAAGACACCGTCACCCCCAACGATGACTCTCTCCCGCACTAACACTTCCATACAACCCCGCGCTGGCCATTCCTATCACCGAACGTAACGACCGAGCTCCAACTCCACTGTAACATTGAATCCCCTCTGTGTTTGCCCACCCGCTATTGAGGGCAGCATCGTCATTGTCAGCCTATACCAGCCATGGTGTAGCACAAGCCCCAGCATGTGATGGCGTTGGTGGAGATGTGGAAACCACCCAAGGACCTGCTTGCGAGAATGCCATGATGGAATCGTTGTTTGCTCGTGATGGGAAGGGACTCTCAAAGACGATCTCGGGCAGATATGCACGTCGTATCAGTGAAGGGCAATTGCAGGTTTGCATGGCTCTTATAAGTCCCAAGGCGAACTGCACTCTATGCCCCAGAGAGGCAGCAAACATATTGACCTTCACAGCATTGATACTCCGAACGAGCAAGACCTCCACTGATTACGAGACTCAACACCAGAAAGATGGTGACGAACCCGGTTGTCTGTATACAGACTCCTGAGTTGATAGTTCAAAGGGCGCCTGCATGTAAATGCACCTTCGTCCCACTGGGACCTCCAAGTGAATACAGCAATGCGACATCGCCGACATTGCCGAACACGACCGAGCTGGCTTGCGTGTCGTCTGAACCTTTGACACATTCACGCCGAACAGTCATCCTTCAAGGTAGATCACTTGAACCACCTTCAGAAGAGCTTCCCTATTTATACCACTTTTTTTTTTGCCAACTCCAAACTTTCCACTTACCTCACTTGCCTCGTTCAAAACTAGCACCTCCGCATCAGTATCCTTGCCAAGCCTCCATCACCACCACCACAACCACTAACGCCACATCTCACCATCAAAATGTCTACCGGCAACTTCAAGTTCGAGAACAAGGGCCACAACTGGGTCCAAAACGACGTCTGGACCGCCGTTGACGGCTACACCATGGGCCATCTCCACCCCTCCAGCAAGCCCAACGCCTCAGCTCTCCAAAACGCCCTCGACGCCTCCAAAGCCGCCGGCCTGCCTGACATCTCGGCCTCCCCGGCTCAGAGCAAGTTCATGGCTCTCCAGTGCCGCGTTCTGGGCGTCACGCACGCCCTCGAGGTCGGCACTTTGGGCGGCTACTCGGCCATCTGGCTGGCGAGCGAGAACCCGCAGATGAAGCTTACCACTGTCGAGTTCGACCCGCATCACGTTGAGGTGGCGCGCAAGAACATTGAATACGCTGGATTATCGGACAGGATCGAGGTTATCCAGGGATCTGGATTGGAGGTGTTGAACCAGCTGAAGGAGGAGATCCAGGAGGGCAAGAGGCCCAAGTTCGGCTTCTTCTTTATCGATGCCGATAAGCCGAATAATCTCAACTACTTCAACTTGGCGGTGGAGATGGCGCTGCCCAAGGCCATGATTTGCGTGGACAATGTGGTGCGCGGAGGCAGGTTGATTGATCAGAGTTTGACTGATCCCAGGGAGACGGCTGGCAGGATTCTGGTGGAGGGAGTGGCTAAGGATTCGAGGGTTGAGTCGGTGGTTATGCAGACTGTGGGTGAGAAGAGCTATGATGGATGTCTTTGGGCCATCTTGAAGTCGGATGCTTGAAGTACATCAGGGAGTTGAAAGGCGTTGAGGGCTACGACGTTATGAGTTATGACAATGGTCGGAAACTTGGAGGATGCAGGTCCAACATTGATTGAGCATTCAGATAGTGCGCTTCATTGAGAGAGGGAATAATCAAATGGCATTCCAAAGATTCATCGTGCTCTGTCAATGAACTGATCGCAGGTGAAGTGCCGTGATATGCCATAGAAGTTGAAAATGTGCAACTCAGCAATCAGCAACGAAATGGTGTCGCTCCTTGTTTATTGATAGTGCCACGAAAAGGGGCATCGCTGTCAAAGTACCTCGTTGCTTGGTGCAGAGCGCAGTGCGTGTGCCACTAACAATTTCCCATCAGGCCTCCCTGCTGTGTTTCTTAAACGCTTAGGGCAGAAGTACCTCGCTCGGTTCTTGCCTGCCGTGCGGATCCACTCAGGGACCTCCCGCGCTGCAGGAGACCTGGAGCGTCCACCATCCCCTGAAGAGCCGCCGTCCAGGTGGCACTACCTTAGTCACTCTACACACAGCACACAGTGGTGGACGCGACATGACATTGGAGGTTGCAGCTGCTGCTGGTGTTGGATGAATTGTTCCCTACCGCCTTCGACATTGAAACCCGCCCGCCCGCCGTGTCTGCCTCGCCGTCGCCGCCGCCGCCGCCAGTTTGCAACCCGACTTGCACACTTTCAATACGACCCGTCACGATGCTGTCCGGGATCCTCATCTTTAACCAAAAGGGCGAGAACCTCATCTTCCGAGCCTTCCGCAATGACTGCCGCCCACGACTGGCCGATGTGTTCCGCATCCAGGTCATCAGCAACGCCCAGGTCCGATCCCCTATCTTGACCCTCGGCAGCACCACCTTCAGCCATGTCAAGCACGAGAACATTTACCTGGTCGCCATCACCCGTAGTAACGCCAATGCCGCCCTGGTATTCGAGTTTCTCTACCGCTTGATCGCGCTGGGTCGCGGCTACTTTGGCAAGTTTGACGAGGAGGCCGTCAAGAACAACTTTGTCCTGGTCTACGAGCTCCTGGATGGTATGTTCCCTGTGCCCCTTTAGTGTTTCTGGTTGCGACTTGTGACTAATCACAACTCTGTGTCCAGAAATCATCGACTTCGGATACCCCCAAAACACCGAGACCGACACACTCAAGATGTACATCACAACCGAAGGCGTCAAGTCCGAGCGCGCCGTCGAGGACTCAGCCAAGATCACCATGCAAGCCACGGGTGCGCTATCCTGGCGCAAGGCCGACGTCAAGTACCGCAAGAACGAAGCCTTCGTCGACGTAATCGAAGATGTCAACCTGCTCATGAGTGCAACCGGATCCGTCCTGCGCGCCGACGTCAACGGCCAGATCATTATGCGCGCCTACCTCAGCGGCACGCCCGAGTGCAAGTTCGGTCTCAACGACCGCCTCCTGCTCGACCAGGACGGGCTCATGAGCCTGCCCAGCGGCAACAGGATGGGGAGCAAAGCGACCAAGGCCGCGGCCGGCAGCGTCACGCTCGAAGACTGCCAGTTCCACCAGTGCGTCAAGCTGGGCAAGTTCGACAGCGACCGCATCATCAGTTTCATCCCGCCCGACGGCGAGTTCGAGCTGATGCGGTACCGCGCGACCGAGAACGTCAACCTGCCGTTCAAGGTGCACGCCATTGTCAACGAGGTGGGCAAGACCAAGGTGGAATACAGCATCGGTGTGCGCGCCAACTTTGGGTCTAAGCTGTTCGCTACCAATGTCGTGGTGAAGATTCCCACGCCGCTCAACACGGCAAGGATCACGGAGCGCTGCACCCAGGGCAAGGCCAAGTACGAGCCGTCCGAGAACGTGATTGTGTGGAAGATTGGTCGCTTTGCTGGACAGAGCGAGTTTGTGCTGAGCGCCGAGGCCGAGCTTACGAGCATGACGAACCAGAAGGCTTGGAGCAGGCCGCCACTCAGCATGAACTTTAGCCTGCTGATGTTTACCAGCTCTGGCTTGCTGGTCCGCTATCTCAAGGTGTTTGAGAAGAGCAACTACTCGAGTGTGAAGTGGGTGAGGTACATGACGAGAGCAGGGAGCTACGAGATCAGGTGAGTTGCTGTCCTCTTTTTCTCTCCGGCTTCTTTGCCGGCGCAATGCAGTTGGCTAACATGAACATTCTCACAGGTTCTAAATAATTGTAATAATACATAATGGCGTGCGCCACCGACTACAAACCGGCGGGTTAACCCACGGGCGCATCCTACTACCTACGGCATATAATAGCACGGCGTCTGGGCGTTACTAGTTACACGAAGGGAAGCATGGGGCCATCGATACCAGAGTAATAAAAGCAAATTACACAACGAGATGACCCAAAAGGGGAACAAGGGTCACAACAACGTTACGGCGAGCAGAGAACGACGGGAAGCCTTTCGCCAGTGTCTGGGACAGGCACGATAATACGTGGCACGCGTGACAGTGAGCTATAGGTGATGAGCTCTCCATAGAGAGCTCAACTCCAAGCGATAGGATGTGTCGCCGATTAGCTTTGTATGAAGCTACCAGACCATGGCTGTTGGTGAAGGGAGTGGTCTGGAACAACACCACGGGAATGGCTCGCCCAATGATAGAACGAGGCACGGTAAACATGTTTTGAATTCATCTCCTGTCTTCCTGTTATACGATCGAGCATGGTTAGAACGGGAATGTGCTCACATAGTGACAGGTCCCTCGGGAGGCCTGGTATCGATAACCTTTGACTGGATGCGGCGCCAACTTGGCACCCAGGACCCTGCGAACGAACGTCTTGACTCTAGACTTTTCTACGCTTCTTGTCCATCAAGCCATGGCTCATTCTTCGCGGCTCTAGTGTCACATCTTCTCGCTTGGTCTTGCCTCGCTAGGGAGCCCTTTAGGAGATATAGATCCGGTCTTACGGGCACAATGCAGTCCTGCCAGCTTGTCAGTGTCAGTGTTAGTGTTAACCATCATTGTTTCTGACTCGATAGTTTCCGTCGTTCCAGCTTCCACCGTGTGACGAAAGACAGGATGTTGTTTTGTCCAATCTCGGTCTGAGCGCTTGCGTCTCGTCTGTGTGTTATTGACCAAGCCAACGCGAAAAGGACGAAGCGTACATGGTCCCAAACCCACTATCACGAGTACCATGACCGGACGGGTGGGTAGAAAAGGTGAGGAAGGACGGCCGTCTTTCCGCAGCGTCGACGGTCTGGTTTGGCATTCTGCATATCTCGAACTGGACCGTTTTATATCAGAAGTATCCTCAAGAAAAGAATGGGTAACAATATGCTGAGCGCCCTGTTTCTGCGGCTGCTCTTGGTTCTTTCGGCATTGGTTGCGTTTGCTGCTGCACAATCATGGACGGATTGTAATCCAACCAACAGTAAGTTTCTTTGGACATTTCCATAAAATACTTCCGGAAGTATAAGGCTGACGTATGGGGGATGTTATGTTATATCACAGCCTCTGGCTGCCCTCCGGACATGGGTCTTACCAACAGCCCATATAGCGTCGACTTCACAAAAGGAACAACGGACTGGGCTTCTTGGACGTCCGTAGGCGCCGGCTCAGTTACCTACACCTCCCAGGGCGCCGTCCTCACCCTTGCTAAGAAGGGAGACGCACCCACCATCTCCACGAACTGGTATATCTTTTTCGGCCGCGTCGAGGTTCACATGCGTGCAGCTCCGGGGACGGGTATCGTCAGCAGCGTGGTGCTCGGGAGCGATGACGGAGACGAGATCGACTGGGAATTGATCGGCGGCAACAACGATCAAGTGCAGACCAACTACTTTGGCAAGGGAAACGTGACGCTGTATAACCGCGGCGGAAAGTCAGCAGTGCACGATGTACAAGGAACGACACACAACTATACGATTGACTGGCAAATTGATCAGTTGACGTGGTACGTGGATGGGAAGGCGGTTCGCACGCTCAAGAAGGAGGATGCGGTCGGAGGGCTGAACTATCCGCAGACGCCCACGAAGCTGAGAATAGGCTCGTGGGCCGGAGGAGATCCGGACAATGCGCCGGGGACAATTGCGTGGGCGGGGGGTGTGACGGACTACACCAAGGGGCCGTTCACTATGTATGTCGAGAAGGTGTCGGTGACGAATGAGTATCCGGCGGCGCGTTATTCGTATGGCGACATGTCGGGAAGCTGGGATAGTATTGTCCTGAAGAAGTGGAAGGATGATAATGATGATGGGAATCAGAGCAAAGAGGATATCGTGGATACCTGTAGTGCCGTCAAGGAAGATGGGTCGGCTGGAGTTGCCTCTGCCACCAACTCGTCGTCGTCGAGCCAGAGCAGCGCTTCCCCCTACCTGTCGTCTGCCATGGGAACAAGAGATGGTCACGTCAGATGTCTGTTGAGTGTCGGGTTAGCGCTCTTTCCTTTGGTTCTGTATTTCGCCCTTTGAACTGTCATACGTTCCGGGTCAGATAAGAGATAGGATCAAACATGGAAGGAACCCTTTTTGCCCGGGCTGGTGCCAGCAAGATCCTGTCGCTCCTTCCATTTTGACCCGCGTCAAGTAGTCTCTGGTTGGCACAGACCGTCATCTGCCTCTTCACTTGTTGTTTTTGTTTGTCACTTTCGACTTCTTTCCCCCTCGCCAAAACACCTTCTTCACTTCCTCCCCTTCCATCCCCGCCGCCCACCTTCCTTTCTTCCTCCTTCATCCACCCACCCGCCTTCCTTCTTTCAAGCAACAACTACGGGCAACGTCAGAGAGCCACACCGATATCACGAGACTGCCTGTATAAGGCGCGTCGCGGAACTTTACGAGGTGAATATCTTCCTTTTGTCACGAGTCCTTCAAGTAGTCATCGCTTTTTGCTAACGCGCACGCGGCAGACATCCCACCTTCGCACCATCGTAAGGCTCATATCGATCAAAGAAGTCCTTGGAGGCGACCTGTAGTCTAGCGACTATTGATAGCCAGAACATTTTCACTATCTCATCATCTCCCCATCTCCCCATCTCCCCTTCAAGTACTTCTCACATCCATCTCGCCTCCTTTTCTGCCTCTACGCCGTCAAGCGACTGGCATACAACACCCAAGAATCAAACAAGAAACCAAAGTCTCACAGCCAACATGCCTGACATAGTTATCGACATTACTACCGGCTGCATTGCGCTTTTCTGCGTCACAATGTACGTCCTCGCCTACCTGGCTCGCCTTGTCGACAACTTCAAAAAAGGTGTTCTCTACCAAACTCCGACCCTCCCCCTGCCCCCTTTTCTTAAGGGCCCCGAGGATCTCGAGCTCTGGGACATGTTTCTCCTCCGCTACCTCGACTTCTACGGCCTGTCATCCTATCTCAAGGACGACGTTCGCGAACCCTTGATTGGACCCGGCAGGGACGACTGGAAGAAGCAAAGAGCCAGAGTCAACTACATCCTGCTTAGCACCCTCACCGACCCGGACGTGATCGTCACTCTGAAGCTGTACAACTGGAACATCAAGGAGGAGGACCCCAAGGTCACGTATGATCTCGTCAAGCGCGTCTTCGTCCACGGCACCAGCAATGACAACTGCGGAAAACTCTTTGGCGACTTCGTTACTCTCAGAAGAGACCAGTGCGGCTCCATGGGCGAGTATTTGCAGCGTCTCCAGTTTCTCAGGGACCAACTCCATGAGGAGGGTTGGAAGTTTGATCCTGACTTTGGACTCACCACGGTTCTTGACGGCTGTGGCATGAAGGAGAACTACCCTGACTTGCACGCAAAGTTAGTCGAGGAATGGACTTTGAACCGCCTCACTTGGGAGGATCTCATGAAGGATCTGAGAGCCATCAACTTCCAGGAGCGCACAAAGGACAGAAAGCGCTCGCTTGTCTGATGACTTTTCAGGGGACAGCTTCACAGCATCGTCGAGACTTCATGTCTTTCCCTTTGGAATTTTGATCTTGCGATAGGATCTTGGTCAGCCAGCTTTTTGCCGACATACATTGTTTGCTCTTGGCTCTTGACCCCTGGTGCTTTGAAGACTTCACGGGGTGGTTTAAAAGTCAAGGATTGTAGCCATGCCCTCGCAAAGGGGAATGGTCTACTCTCTATCAGGGACTTTTCAAACGGTTTGCATTCATCATGGATTTCTTAGCAAAGAACGGTCTGCTTTCTATCAAGGACTTCTTGTCTTATCGCAGAAACCACGTCTCCTGCTCATGTTCTTAGTCATGGCTCACAATCACAGTTGTGGAATCTCTAGCTAGTTCTAGGGCAAATGCGATGAATCACTCCTCTTATTTTGTCATCGCCTTGTCCAATGTGCTCACTCGATCAGCTCCTCTCTATGTGTTGCATCCACGGGAAGTTTTCTCCACCGGCTCACGTATACTCGCCCGTCCTTGATTACTGCCAACACGTGCCTCTCTGGCTCGTCCAACGCCGCCACTTCGTTGAATGGGTTGACGTTGAGAATAAGCATGTCGGCAGCATATCCTGGTTTGAGCTGGCCCAGAAACGACTCCTGTCCCAGCATCTTTGCTGCATTTACAGTAGCTGACTGCAAAACCTGCTTGCTCTTTAGGATTACCGACCGGATACCAAACTCCTTCGACTGCTCCCTCGTCAAAGGTCCTAAAAGATCAGAGCCATAACACATGTTGACTCCTGCTTTCTCCGCAATGGTGAGCGACTTCAGTCCTTGACGGAGTACCTCTTCGTTCTTTCGCTGATTTTCTGGCGGCAGGAAGCCAGCATACTCATCTGATGCCATCGCGTCATACGTCACTAGCGTTGGCGTTAACCAAATTCCCCTCTCGGCCATATACTGTGCCGTCGCTTCGTCAATAAGGTTCCCGTGTTCGATACCCTTGACACCATTGTCAACAGCATGGCGGATTGCTTTGGGCGTGTATGCATGAGCAGTCACGTAGGTTCCGTAGCTCTCTGCCACATCGCAGATGGCCCGGACCTCAGCAGCCGTGAATTGCGTGTTGGTCAACCGATCTGTGGGAGAGGCAACGCCGCCTCCAACCATAATCTTGATAAAGTCCGCTCCAGTCCTCAGCTGCTCTCGCGCCGCACGAATGCACGCCGGTACTCCGTCACAGACCACAGCCAGTTGACCCGCCGAGCCCCCACAGCAGCCTCCTCCTCCTCCTTGGTTCCCGTGGTCGTGCGCGCCACGGAGGTCACCATGGCCACCTGTCTGAGACAGAGCCCGATTACAGAAAAAGAGCCGTGGTCCGGGGAAGACACCTTCTTCGATGGCCTCCTTCAAAGCAAGCGTGGCACCGCCTGTGTCGCGAACAGTGGTAAACCCCCTATTAAGCATCTGCGAGCAGACGAAGGGTTGACGAAGAAGGGAAATGGCAGGATCAGAGATGGCCGCGGCGGACGAGAGACTGAGTCCCCCTGGTACGGCGCTGATGTGGACATGGCAGTCAATAAGCCCAGGGCACAGAAATTTGCCGTCAAGGTCGACTTCTGTTACCGGTCCCAAGTCATCTTCACCCCGTAGATGATGAGCGAGGCCAGCAATCCTGGGATCGTTCTTCTCGACTAGCTTGATCACGCCATCTGCGATCTTGACGTTGACATTGGAGATAATGGTCCCTTGAGCGGTATCAACGAGGTTTGCTCTTTTAAAGAGATAGGTCTTTCGCGGTGGCGGTTTCCATGGTTTGATGACGGTTTCCGGGATCCCTCCGAAGGCCGAGGTCCATGTTGCTTCGGATCGACTCATCATGACAGGTATGGAAACTGCTGGCTGCTCTACGGTCGGAGAGTGATGGCCATGGAAGGATGAGGACGGAATTCTCATACTCTGGCTGACACGAGCACCTCGATGAGATTTTGTCCTTTGCAACTTCGAGGCTTGTAACAGGTACAGGCATGGTCAAGAAGCGGGGTTGTAGCCGCGGTATAAGAAATACATGCATACGTACATTTATCTGCATGAGATAGTGTTATTGATAGGGCTCAAGCACCAGGGGCAATCACGGCAGAAATAGGGCCTGGGACTTGTGGGGTACAGAACGACGCATTCTCGCGATGCGATACGATCAAGTCAATCCCGATGCATCACAGACTTCACAAGGTACGTCACCTCTCACGATTACGACTTTGGAGCAAGTTGCTCAAAACGCTCACTATTGGATTCCGGATAACCGGAAAGCCTAACTATCCCAAACTGATGAACAGACTTAAATTCCGATGCCACACCCATTTGTAACTCCCTTCGGCATCTCCTTATGACACCCATCACCCAGACCGATGGCAGAGTCACCCGCATCACTGCCGCTCTCCCCATTCGAAACATGTTCCTCATGTTTCTTTCTGCTGGCCAGCTCCTCTTGGTGCTTCGCGGGACATGGGTAAATCGGGTCTCCAAACGAACCTCCCGTATGACTCGGTCCGCCAGGAAGCTCATAGAAAGGGGGGAAATCATCCGGCACCAGCGTTGACTGAAGAAGAGGCCAGTCCTCGCCACCATACGTCGACTTCCCGAAGCCGTTGAATCTGACCTTCCAGGTAGTCGGGAACGGAATCATCTCGTCCCACTCGGGGGTCATGTACGTGTCCGTCGCAGGGCATCGCAGTCTGTCGAGGTTGTACGTCTTCTTCAGCTTCTCGGCCGTCGTCAAGTCAGCGGCTTCTTTGGCCTCTGCGATCTTGGCCCTCACTTGGGTGTTGATTTGTCTGATACGCTGCGGTGCCATGAAGTTGGTGTATGTCGCGTATGACGAGTCGAGCGCAATTTTCTTCAGATGGCCTTGGGCAGTGTGGCCTCGTCTGAGGTCCTTGAGCTGAGCTAGGACTTTGATCATGGCGGTCAGACTGTTCGCAGCGAGGTGCCTGGGGTGATATCCAGTCAACCTCTCGGTGAAGCTGGTGTGATAGGAGAGGTATTTAGTTTCCCAGTGTGGTGGCGCGCCAGTGGCTGAGACATCGTCCTTGTGCTTCCGATCACCGCGGTTCTAAGTTAAGTGTTAGTCACGCGGTTTTCCTGGGGTTTTTGTGGTGATGAGAACTTACAATGTCACAGATGATCAGCTGATCTTTCTCCACGGTCAAGTCACTTCCCTCTACCACACAAGTCATGCGCGCCTTGCGTATGATGGGTAGCTTCACGCTCTTCCTCTGTGCTTTCAAGACGATCCTCTTGATATCGTCAAAGGTGTTGGTCGGCACATCCGCAAACTCGGCCAACGCGAGATGTTGAACATCACGCCACTCACAACTTTTCTCCGCTGTAACTCCTGAAGCCTTCCGTTTCTCGGCTGCCAGCGTGTACAGTCCAGTGATGAACGAGTTCAGAACTGACGTGAAGGCAAGAACCGAGTTATACGAGCTGTCAAGAGCAATGAGCAACAAAATTGCCGCCACCCTACCAGTGTCGCCCTTCTGTTGCTGCAAGACCTGCTCGGAAACTTTGAATCCCAGCTCGCTCATCGGGTTCTTGTCGCCGGCTGCAGACTTCGAGAACCATGATCCAACACTCTGGATTGCCCGTGTGAGACGGAACTTGTTCGCCTCGGCAACGTTGCCCTCGTTGAGCGTCAGATCAAAGAGGAAGTGCATCGAGTCCTTGAACACCTTGCGCCGTTTCGGGAGTTTGGTCTCGTCGGCGTTGTACGAGAAGTAGAGATGGCAGTTCGTGATGTGCTGGTAAATCTCGTTCTCGGAGTACTTCGCATGCAGATTCTTCTCCGACTTCACGAGATGTCCGAAACCAAGGAAGTCAGCGACATATCGAGTAACGACGGGGATGGCAAAGTCTCTGGTGACATCGAGCTGATAACACGGGTCAGTCTTCGGGTTTTCCTGTCCCGGTTTCATCACGACGGATTCACGCCTGATGATATCTCTCATGAGGGTAGTGAAGTATGTCATCAAGTCGTCGGTATCGGTGTCGATGTCTTCCCGGTGCTCGCCATGTGACCTTCTACCGTTGGTCGTGCCTTCTTCTTCGCGCACAGCCAGAACCTCGGCGACCTTGGCGGGGAGAATCTCGGGCTCCAGGCGGACTGGATGAACGATGTGGTCCGTGTCGTCATCCAGGACTGCCATGATCTGGACATGATCAGTGAGAATCTTGGGCTCGACAGGCTTGCGAGGGTTTGAGGCTGAAGTGTCGAACATCTGCGTGACCTTCCGCTCAGAATTCTCCGCAGCAGGCTTGATGGCGAAGTCTTTGCCGTAGCCTTGCGCCGTTGCATACTCGGCGTTCTTCTGGGCGGTATAGAAGGGGTGGAAGAACCGGACCGATGTGCTGGGGAACCACTCCGGGAACGATCGCTGCAGAAGCCGATGGAACACGGAGCTCTTGAGCACATCGTTATCTGGGGTTACCTCCTTCATACCCCAGGATGTAAGCGAGTTCGTGTTCCAGTCAACCGTGTAGAACCGATCCGACCGGACGAGAGTGATGGCATCGGAGAAGATGGCGGCCCACAACGCTGAGTCGACATCACTCGGCCCTGGATCCGCACTTTGGCTTGCGTCCGACTCGCAGAAGACACCGGGATAAAGCTCAACCTTATCTGGGTGCTCATAGAGGTCCCGGAGTGCATTCTGGACCTCAACGCAGCCTGAGATGCTCTCGAACGTGTCGTGACGCTTCATCCCGAAGAACTCACGGAAGTCGTTCAGCGTTCCAACCCCCCACTTGCGCGCCTGGAGAATGCCCATGATCTCGACGGCTTTCAAGGACCGAGGTACGTTCCTAGGTCCGAAGTTCGCTTTTCCAGCCCATGTTAGCATTTGATCAATAACCAGGATTGACGGTGTATGTACTTACAGATTGGCTCGTCCATCACCTTGGTAAGGTGTTCGACCATATCCTCATCATTGAACAGTTTGGTAATTGGGTCACGCTTGAAGGCCATCTTCTTCCTGGCTTCGTCTTCGTCCTTGTTCTTGAGTCCAAACTCAATCTCCCAAGGTTCAACGGCAGGATCATTCTTCGCCCGCTCCCGCACCTGGCCCATCTCCATGAGGAACTCCTGCAATCCCATTTCCTTTGGGTTCCAGTCCGGCTTGGATTTCTTCTCAAATTCCTCCTCCAGATATTTCTCGAGGTATTCCTCGTCGCCCAGGGAAATGGCGCAGTGGAACCGATAGAGCAGGTTGAACTCAACCGTTACCTGGTTGCCCAGGCCCCGCGATACCTCCTTGGCTTTCGACTGATTCACTCTCGGATCAAGGGTGAAGTTGGTGTCATACTGGTGGAAGCCCATCAGTGCCCTCAGGTAGTCGTGAATGGAGACTTGGATGTAGATCCCGCATGTGATCAACCGAGCTGTGTGAAAGAGGTCGTCATCCAGCTTCTTCCAGGCTGCATCGTAGCCGTCGTAGAAGGCTTTGACTTGCTTGCTGTCTGGCTGGACCCTATCGATGAAGACCTGGAGGGCATCCGATGCATCTTTGTACTCATCGGTGGAAACCCGGCCGTTGCTCTCAAAGGCCTGGTTAGCATGTTTGAATCTCTCCAGGGCTTCCTGGTAGTCCGTGTTGTCCTTCAGGTTATCTTTGACAAAGTACTTTGCCGCCGCGAGGAGCTTGGCCTCCCGGTATTTTCTGGGGACCGAAAAGCGGCCGTTTTCGTTGATGCGCCGAAGTTGTGTTGCTGCGTAGTTGTGGTACCGGTTGTACATGACCAGCATGATACAAACTCCCGGCGGTTGACGAAGCAGTCTGTCCTCTGCAAACGTGTCTGGCTTAAGCAAGCCAAGGCCATACTTGTCATCACGAACCTTGCGCTGCATCTCCTCTGTGAAGCCGTACAGTGGCGACAGATCGAGGTATGACGACGTATCAGAGATGCTCTTGTCATTGTCATTGGTGCGGAAGATGTCGTGGATGATGATAGTGGCATGGTATATGAGCATGCTGGACAAGCCTGACTGACTTGGACGGCCATTTTCCTCTCTTGCCATTAACCGGTCGAAAAGATCTCCTGGATCTGGCAAGGCTCCGAGTGGATGGGTCTTCGCAGGCACGGTTTTGGCGTAAGGGGCTCCAGCTTGGCCCAGGTGTGGGTTGATGGCGCTGTTGAACTTGCCATCAGCGGTCCGGTACTTGAAAGCATCGCCCAAGTAACTCAAAGGCGGGTGCAGCATGCGGTCGTATTTGATCTTGACCTGCTCTTCGATGAAGTCGGCCCTGACCACACTGTTGTTTGACATGGATGCCACCAGCGATGCACCAGCCTTGATGTCGAGGCCATTTCCCTTGAGATAGTTTGCCAGGACTGCTGTAATGCTGGATGCGTTCTTGAGCTTTAGGATGCCCTTCAGATCGTCCGTGAGCCCGACCTTGGAAATTACTTTATCCTGCAGCGAGTTAGCTTCCATGCCACAAACGTTGGTGCATCATGAACTTACCCCAATGAGCGTATCACCGTGAAACCCGGCGAGATACTTTTGCTTGCTCAATGCCTCGTTCAAACTCTTCAGCTCAGCATTGCCAGAGTCTTCGTTTGTATGCCCCCCCAGGGGACGCTGAACACCAGACGAAGACATGATGCCCTCGTTATCCAAAAACCAGTTGGAATACAAGTGACTTTGGGCACCCGGGTAACGCTGAGAGTGAGAAACGACAGATACGTAAAAGTCTCCCTGTCCAGCTACTTTTGAGGCTACTTGAGTTGAGGATGACCCGAGGTTTTTAAGGTTGTAAGTCCATCCTGATCAGGCTGAGGAGTTGTTTCTTCACTTTTAAGGTAGGGTCGCAGATACGACATAACATCGAAAGCATTGTCCCACGAAACCCACCTAGGAGTGCATCTACAACACATCACACATGTGCCCTTATCGTATCAGGTTGTGAACACCCTTTCCGGATATTCAAGTCTGCGTTGCCGTTGGCGCCAACAATCTCATGGCTAATTATCCATTGGCTTGGTGTACACAACAGTCCGATATCACTTTTCGAGATCTCGCGAACAAGCCAATTACTGAACATTGTAACACTCCTACATTCAGTGCCGGTCAAGAAAAAAGCATTGAAAATGGATGGACAGCGCGTACCTATCTGGTCTATACTAATCCCACGTAACATTCATTGGACGAGTGCCCAGCTGATCTCTGGCCCGAAGCTCCAGCATGGGCCTCTACTCCTCAAACTTGGTCGGAACGATAGGTAGGTAAGGAGCGCAAGTTAACGACAAGCTGAAGCTGCAGTCAAAAGCAAAGGCCGTGGGGGGTCCCCAGGGTCGTACGTAGGTGGCGACCGCTTGACATGTCGACGTGCCATTTGGGAAAACAGAAGAAAACTGGACCTCACTCTCTGTGCGCCAAGAAAGTTGGGTACGCCTCATCACATGTTAGTATACGCGGTCCCTAGCGAAGCAACAAATAAAGAAGTTGTCAAAATACCTTAATCCGTACCAGGAGACGTCTTCAATTGATCCCCCTTAGTGCCATGGAGCCATGGGATGGTCCCGGATGGCCTGTTGTTCTCCTCGAGAAACTCCAAGACCTGTGCATTCACGTTGGCCGGTACAAGAAACGCTCGATAGATCCGTTTTAACCCCCCAGTCCGGGGCAGGACATGGCGATCTGTAAACCAGTCATACCAGTGGTTCCAGGCCTCTGTGCGAGTGAGCATCATTGATGCCTTGACAGCTTGTTGGACCACCGGGTACCTGTCTCGTTGGTATAAGCCAAAAGCGGCTTGGATCTTGCTTTTACTGATCGGCGCATCATGATTGGTTTCGTTTTCCATCAATGCCCGGAGCTTGTTGGTGAGCACAACAACGTCTTGCACTCCCGTGTTCCACCCTTGGCCCGTGTTATAAGTCTGCTTGTTAACAGCATCGCCGACCAGGACAATGCGGTCATGGTGGAAGTGTTGAATCAGACCTTCATGGAGGTCAGTCAGATAGCAAGATGTTCGCGCTTGGTAAAGGTCGTTGAGTGTAAGTGTGGATGTGCAATGGGCATGGCCAAGCTCTCCCATGAAGCTGTTTATATCCTGCTTGGTGTACCGTCGTCGTTCCCGCGTTGGCTTGGGCAGCCTCTGGCTGAACATGAACCATGTCTTCTCCGAGCCGGCGAGTAGGAGCGACGAGATTCCGCTCCCATGCATATGCCACTCATCGCCGGGGTTGATTCCTGGTGGCGGGCTGACTGTATGGCCGAACACGCACCGGTACGTCGCGACAAACGGCTTCTCCTCATTCACGGCTGCATTTGACGACTCTTGCAGTGCGATACGACGCATGCAATCGCGCACCTTGCTGTGGGCTCCGTCCGCCCCGACCACAATACTGCCTCTCTCCACGCATCCGTCGGTACACCGGACCACGACCCCCTCCTCAGTCGTCTCGATGGTTTCTACCTCTTTGCCGGGGAAAAGATGCTGTCTGATCTCATCAGGAAGAGCACCATACAGCAGCTGCATCAACTCGGGTCGATGCACCATAACCCATCCTGTTCCATGGCTACATCACCAGTCGGTATTAGCTGTATCTGCCCATGAATGCCTCAGGTTGCTCGCTTTCGTTGACCTACAATTCACTGCACCACCCATCTGTGTCAAGAGTCGAAAACGGCCGCCCGTCACTTGTGACCACCGTTCCGGGGCGCATGTGCGTCCCAATTGCCTCCACCGCCTCAAGGAGTCCAAGCTGAGCCAAGAGCCTCAAAGTGTTGGGCATGATGGCGATTCCAGCACCTCCTGCTTCGGGTACAGCAAGGGCATTTCTGCGTTCGAGGATCACGAAATCGATGCCAGCTCGATAGAAGGTATGCGCTGCCATCAGTCCAATTGGACCACCGCCAACAATGATGGCGCGGAAGCGATGTGAGGTTGTCATTGCAGGATCGTAAAGCCGACGAATCTTATCACTGTGAGGTCTACCAGAAGATACCGCCTCGGATGGGTTGGCCGGCTTTATACTCGACAGAATGTTTGATACTGGTAAGCAGGCTGACCCAATCTGGGTCGCCGGTCATGCTTCGCAAACATGTGAGACGCCAGATCCGATGTGTCCTTCCTAAGATGCTCTTATTAGTTGCCTCGGACCGGAGAGGGTGTACGACGCTGACTGCAGATCAGTAAGCATACGTCGGGCTTATCATGAAGCTGTGAGAAGGGTGTGTCCTATTCGAGCAGTCGGGGTCGCTGTCGCTACAAGCATACCATTGTCTTTCCATTTCCGGGGTTTCTTCGTCCTCCGTGTGTAATTGCATGTATCATTTGGCGTGATCAGCAACGGACGGCAGATAAGGACGACCGGTAAAGATGAGTCGGACACATCGAAAACTCTCTAGACTCTTAACGTGAGACATAGAAGACTTGAAGCATCTTCGGCCTCATGGCGCAACGGTAGCGCGTTCGACTCCAGATCGAAAGGTTATCCGTTCAAATCGGGTTGGGGTCAGCTAAAACTTTTGCTTCTATTTATTTTTGCGCTCAGCACTCTACACTCTTGCCCTGGAACATTCGTTAGCGCGGGACTTCACTACGCACTCTGCCCAACTCAACTACCACGCTACCAAATTTCATATAAAAAATTAGTATTAACTAAATTCGTTTTGAGAACTTTAAATAGTTTTTCCAATTTTTTAATTTAAATGTACCTGTCCTGTCATTTTTCTGTGTTGTTTTTGTTAGTTATTATAGACTTGATATATATATAATAATAATAATAATAGACTTATAACGGATTTACGGGCTTATATGATAATATATAAGTATAAAAATAAAATTTATATTTTTATATATAAATACCATTTTTATAACCGGAGAAAAATTCCGGTCCGGAGAAAACCTCCGGCCAATAATAGGGATCAACCCTGAATAGAATCCGGAAGAAAATCCGGAGGAAAATCTAGACTTCGACCTTCGTAGTCGAATTCCGGCCTCAACGTCAGTCGAACGAAGTTATACGTAATTTCATTAGAAAGAACGGAACATAACGTTTCCGACCGTACAAACGGTTTCGTTATATAACGACTATATAGAGTAGAAGTGAAGAAAGAAGTCTGAGAAGACTTTTGAGTTCGGATTCAAATTCCGGACTCTATAGTTTGATGTATGAGAATAATTAGATTACCGTTGGAATAATCAGAAAATAACGATTCCAAAGGTATAAACGGTTTTGTTACTCGATAATTCATTAATCCAAAAAGTCTATTTAAAGAGGGTTTCCCTCGAAGAAAGGGAAAAAGAAATATATTTTAAACACTCATCGATATCTCGACTAATCTACTACCATTCCCCACATTCTACATACCATTCTATTCGTCATTGAACGCTCTACACACACACATACTCCAATGCCCGTCAATGCCTACCAGGCTACCCTTTTTCTCAACCTTTAAAGAGAAGGTGATTTTTACCTCTTCATTCATCTAGAAAAGGATTTTCCTTTCATCCAAGAATTCGTCGATCGATACCTTCCAACAAATTCCTATCTAGAGAAGTAGTACCGTACGCTCTACTTCAATCATAGGGCATTACCCTTTAATAGAGGTAATTTCTTTATAGCCTTCTACCCCCCTTCTTTATAGCCTTCTCTTTTTATTTGCCCTTCTTTATTTTCTTAGCCTTTTTAGGAGTAGCGGGGACGGCGTATTCGGTTAGTATAATAATTGCGGTATTCTTCTTAGGACGGCTACGAAGGCGATTAATAATTTTGGGCTTTAGAATATAAATATATAGGTTATCATTATCGAAGAACTTCTATAAATACTAGTACTTATAAATATAACCAAGACGAAGGGGTCGATTAATTTCGAAGAGGCCGTAAATATTATAGCAGCAAGGAATACCATACTATTGAATAATATTACAATTATCGTTAAAATAATAAACGTCTATACTAGAATCATTCTTCTTTCAATCGAACGCAACTTAGACATATCAATACTCGTAAGCAAAGAGTTCTAAATACTTATAACAAACCTTTATAATTATAATTCCTATCTATAGTCGCCCTATAAAGTCCTTTTTAATTTTCGTTTCTTTATTGGCTACTTTGTACTCCTATAATTTCTATTATTCGATGAATATCTCTCAGACGGTAGTAATTAAATTATAGAAGTTTAAACGGCCTATAAAAATAAAGCTCTTAATATTTATATTCGCCAATTTTGTAGGGGAGGTAATAATAATATTAAAATTAAAGTATTTACTAATAGAATAACGTATTTATTACTATTTAGTAGGCATCTAAACCTTCTAAAAGTAACATAGAATTAAAGGTTAATTTAAAAACTCTTTCTTAAGTATTTACTAAATATCCTAAAATTCTACTTCAATCTTTAAGTATATAATAACCTTCTACATTTTAAATATACCTATTAGGGTATAAGGGATAACTTTTTTTATCAATAATAGAGTCAATACCTATAGTTTAAGTAGCTTTTAAATAAGTATTACGTAATATTATTTAATTTATAATATCGAGCTCCTTATCATCCTCCTCGTCTAATAAGAACTCTTTATCGTTAAAATTATTATCGTCTTTCTTTTTCTTCTACTTCTTTTTATTATTTAATAATACGTTCTTATAAATATAGAAAATATAAAATTATTATTAAACTTTAAGGCATTTCATCCGGGTGCACCCTATCCAAGTTAAAGGTGCCCCAACCCTTATGGGTGCCCCAATATTTCAATCCTTAGCCTGTTATTTTGATGTAAAGTATCATTTACACGGTAAATTCCATAGTGTTACATGTGCATGAAAAAAATGACAGCGATGTTCAGCGACATAATTTTGTATGGAGATTTCTATAGTACACGATGTTTTGCACATGGGATAGTTCTATGGCATTCATTTACACTACGAAAGACTATGGTGCTAAATTGAATCTCGTAATACTTGGCATGGTGTTTCAATTCGTTGTTAGTGTCCTCGATATAGGTAAGGTCGATGGGCGCATCTGGATCCCATGGCGGCATCTTGGCTAGAGTCTTGTGCGCAATGCGCGCAGCGTTTTGAGGCTTTAGGAAAGTTAGCAAACGGTTCTAGTGATTGATGCGATTAATATTTACGTACGTGCGGTCGATTCTAGCCTGTTCTGGTGATTAAAGGTGGCCTGGTTGTAAAGAGGGAGTAGAAAGAAGGTTGTGAAGGTTAAAGAAGTTCAAAATCACCAAGTCTAAAGATGGGGGTCGTGCACATGGGGCCCACTGGTTGACTGGGCTTGGTACTGTCTTACATAGAAATGTTATTGTACGATTACTGTCTAACTGTATTAAAGGGTTGAAAAAAATAACGTATACGTTAAACCCTAACCCGATTGGGGCACCCATAAAGGTTGGGGCACCTCTAACCAAAGGAGGGTGCACCCGGATGAAATGCCAACTTTAAAGAATACTCTTAATATAGCCGCCTTTATTTCTTTACTATAATTAGTAATAACAATACTAGGTTTAGGGATATTATAGCGGTTACAAAGGTTTTTAATACTTTATAATAAAAAAGTAAAGGCTTCTTCCCGTTTATTATTAATAAAATAAAGAATAAAGTTATAAACAGTATTAACGTTAATCGTACTAATAATATACATAAAATAAAGGGGAAGCGGTAACAATTAATCAAATACGTATTATTTATACTTGGTACTTTTAGGTATCGCTTAATCCTCTCTATCGTAGCTTCTAATGCCTAGAGAAGTACAATAAACCGTTTATTATTATTATTATAAATAGTTTAGTATAAGATATTATTATTATCAAAACTATAAATAAGGGCAGTAGTCGGCCTATAGCTATCGAAAAACTCTATACGTAATCGTACCCTAACGTTATAAATATCTCTTCTTATAAAGAAGGTATCCGGAAATTACTCATTATTTATAGCACTAATTTCCCTAGTTCGGATAGCGCTATAGCGGGACGCAGTCTCGATAATTTTTCGTTAGTCGTTTATAGTTTTACAATATTAGAAATAAGCGGCTAAATTAGAAGTAAGGTAATTATAAAGTATATAAACATTATTCGAATTTATTCGAAATATCCAACTATATTTAGAACTTTTCTTAACGTAATTACGCTATTTACAATTATACTTTCGAATAGAAGGCTTCCGAAGTCCCGCTAACGTAAAAGGGCGTAACTTACTATACCGATTACAAAATATCTTATATTAAATATATTAGCCAACGATTTTATTCCTACTATTACCCCGGATAATTATCTAACCCTAATCTCTTCTAAATTCGTTAACCTTGTTTTAATATTCTTATATAGTCTTACCAGTTATAATACTACTAGGAAAGTTCTCGAATTCCCAAATATTATACTCTATACCTTCGTAATACTAATTATTATCGCTAAATCGAAAACAAGGGGGCTCGGCGGGCTAAGAAGGCTAGGAAGGCTAGGAAGATTAGGAAGGTTAGGAAGGTTAGGAAGGTTTATCGGGTAGGTGCGCGCATATAGGCTTAGGAGGGAAATCTTAAAAGTTAAGGAACTCGTTATTATTACTATCGATATCGTTTACCTCGTCAAACGAAATCTAAATCGCTATAAATAGCTAACTTATAATATTAACTATACGCGCGGTCTTTCTAATTCGATTAATCTTATTAGCGATTAATGCGTTAATATTTAGTAATAGAAGTAGCCTTGAAAGGGTGGAAGTTCAAAATCGCTAAGTTTATATATTTGGTACGTCCAACTGGGCTGGGCGGCTGGCGGGCACGGCCCGCCTTATATAACTATAAACACTATAGACTGTATCACGGAATTACATAGCCCAATATTTACACACATAGAACCCTAACCCCTGGGGGTATTGGTGCACGACTAATAAAACAACTAGTGCACGAGTAGTAGAGCCCTTATGCCAAACCTACTTGC